CCCGGAGAACATTGCTTGCATCCCCGAACCTAGGTCGGACAGGCGGCGGGCCCTAGGCCTGACTGACAGTCAAAACTAAATTTACCTACCTCATCTAAGATCGTTAGCATTTATGGCAAAGCGGGCCAGACTGCGCACACTCGCCATTCTTTCATTTCTTACACTCGGAGCTGCTCCTTTGGATGAAATTCACCTTGGACGCTGCAAAGACATTGTGTCTTACCCAAAAATGCCGGATCAGGTCTATTTTGTGGCTTCCTCTGACAAGTTTCTTAGGAAAAACTTGTCTACAATATCACCCCTGGGGGAAATGGACGTAAAACTCCAGGGACGAACGAACGAACGAACGTACTTATATGTTTTAAATCTGTAATAAGCAACAACAACAATTTATATGTTACTTAGGTGGAAGCGTACGTAAAATAAATCTATTTCACACACACTTATATGTTATTGTCTGCGATATCACCCAATGTGAAAGCGGAGGCAAAACCCTACGAACGAACGAACGAACGAACGAACTTACATGTTATCATATGCTTGATAAAGACGAGAGTATCATCGTCGAAACGTTGCATGTCAATAAACCAGTAGTTGTTACTCAATAAATAGTTGTTAACGTGTTACTTTAAGGTAGGCCACAGGGATCTTCATTATTCCCTCTTGTTTTTAGTATTTCAATCAACGTCTTTCCTTGTTCTTATTTATTTCTTTATCTTTTTTTATTTATTACATGTTTTGATAATTTAAAAATGGTAAAATTATTTATATAAAAATAAAGATAGATATAAATAATTTTCCGAAAAACCATATCGGTAGTTCCAAATTTTGACTCGGTCTATTATGAGTATAAAGCAGATATCAGTTGTAGTTCAGATGGACTGAAGATTAGGAAGATCAAGAACAATAAGATATTAATATTAAACATTGCCCTGTAATACACAGATAATGGAACTTATTGTAAATTCAACGTCAGGTAAACCGCGATGCACAATAATCGATATTTTAAAAGTCAATATAATATTTTTGTTTTTTATTCTCACGATTTTCTTTTAACGTGTTGAAATTTGTGGTTATGATGATGTTGGACAAATGATTTCAAGCTTAACTTTTGTAGTATAAATATAACATACAACGAGAACCATATTGACCCCATGGTACACAGCCAGATTTTCACATGTTAACATAATGAGTTTGATTCTTAAACTGAAAATGTATTACTTATTTATTTTTTGTTTTAAGACACATTTATGACACACAAAAATGGGGTGGGTGGGATGGGAAGGGTATGAAAAAAAGACAAAACGATTGAAAAATATGTCATGAATAATTTGCTTCTCAATTGATAAACATCTATGTCCTATATTGTTTTAATCAATTATCTCTAATAAATGTTAAATGTGATTTTGAAATAAGCCTACTTTTATTTTACCTTGAACATACCCAGAAGGATAATAAGGTTCTTTTATTCGTGTGTTAAAAACGTTTTCTGTTCATTTTTTATCTATAATAATCGGAATTACCAAGAGCATAATAACGGTTGGATGTGAGATTTCTATAATGAGTTATATGAAGGGATATCACTACTCCTCTATTTCTCCAATTATTTAACAAAGGGAACATAAAGTATTCATTTGTTTGCGGATGTTTTATCAAGCTCACATCTTTGTGTAGTGTTTTTCCAGTAGCTCATTTTAGTTATAACAGCCAACTATATAAGTGTCTTGTTAATTTCTATATATGTCATTCCAATCTTTTTACTAACTTTTCCCATTTTGGTTTGATCTTCGCTAAAATTGTTTAGGACTTGTGTTTCAAATTGTATCATTCATGAGAGCTGTTTTACTTTAACAAATGTCAGACAATAATGGATTTATGGGCAAACAGCGTTTAAAACAACCAATGAGTCTGTTTAAGGTCTTCGCAGTGGAAATATTTCAATCTGGGATCAACAGAGTGCCTAAAGCATTTTCCAAATTGTATATCAATCTAGAATATTCTAGAAGGATTGCCCAAAGTGAGAAAATGTGTCTATTTCGATTACTATTTTAAACGCTTAATTCTTGATTATTTTGTTTCCCCGGAATATACTAGCTGGGAAGTTTTCTTCGATTCTTTTAATGCGCACCTTTGTGTACATTGAGTATTTTATCTGTGGTTAAGGATGTTTAAATAACAACACGCCCGAAGCCTGTCGTTTTTCATCTAGGGTTTACAGAATTCAATACTACTTGTGACTACAGGTGTAAAGTCGAGACTGTTTGAACAATCCAAACATTTTTATCAACAATAGGATTTTCACATTTATCTAAAATATGTAATGTTTAGCAAACAATATTTCTCTTTGTTTCGAAATAAACTTTTTGAATTCTTCACCATGTGATAAGTGGGTTTTTCACAATTGTTCAATACTTTTTTGAAAACAAAAAAACAGTGATAATCTAACTTTATACTGAATCCTGAACATATTTCACATCTGTTTTTTCCCCAACGAATAATGGCTATATTAATAGCAGAGAACAATTGGTTCTTGTAGAGGTTCCCTATAAAATAAATTTAATCAAATTAGATAAAAGGACATCCTGATCAACTGGCGCGCGCATAAGTCTTTTTCTTCTTTTTTTTTATTTTTTTAATTTTTGACAATAAAAAATTACTTTAAACTGGTATACTTGGATTTCGTCCACAGGTATGTGAAGAGGAGGTGGTGTAATTTTATCGTCTTACTTAATTGGGATTGATCGCCATCTAACACATTCCTAAAAATATTTAGTCTAGCCAGTACGCCACAAGTTTTATAGCCCAGTCGGAGCAGAACAGTTGGAAGTTAAACCCCAATTCATTTTATTTTATAAGTTTTATAATATGTAAATTTATTCTTTTGGCAATAGTATGGGCGTAAGATATTAGTTTAAAGATAATTTTGCCACAGTTTACCTCTTGTTCCCTTTCAGAGGACTGCGGTGGTATCTGAGAACCATAGGCCTAATATTTTGTGGCCAAAAATTTGTCCGCAAATCAATGAAGTCTGTGCACTCGTTGCAAAACATGTGTGTGAGCGCACATGCGCACATTATTTAATGGCATCAATGTATTCGTGTATTTCGCATTTCAATACCTCGATCTTGGAACAGAAAGTACCGGGATGCCCTCCGTTGAATTCCAATTACTATAATTTTTTTATATTGTACTTCTTGTAGAAGCACGCCATAGTAGAAATGGGGTATGTTTTCAATCGGTTACACAAACAATTGTTTTACTCAGATAACCATATGTCACTTGAGGTCAATTAACTTTCAAGGTAGAAAAATGTATGGACCTTCGTAAACCTCTTAACTGGATATTGTCTTGACTGGAAATTCCATACATTTTAATAGTTTTGTTCAAAGCAAAACATGTCTCAAAATGCTCGACTTACGAATATTTCAGTGTTTTTTGAAAAAAAACTTTGAAAAGAGCTATCTTAAACAAATTTAAGTTTTGGATGATCTATGTAGATGAAGAGATAATGTCATAAGAAACAGTCGAGACTGTAATATAATCAAAAAACCAAGCGCATTTTAATCATTTAGAGTTATTTATCGTATAAAACAGACAGAAACCACGTTATTTATAATATGTCCGATATGTGTCGGTGTTTGATTAAAAGTTTGTGCCTAACTGCAAAAACGCTAATGTATCGAAACGTCTGATCAATTCCATAACTGTTTCGTATTTCCCTTCCCACACACAAAAAATCGCTAAAAATTATAAAAACAAATTGATCCTAGAAATGATATAATTTGTTAGACACTAACCTGTTCTCTGATATGAAGCTGTATCACAATTAATTTGAGGTATTTGAGTGTTAAACTGATTTTTTGATGATCTACATCCATTAATAAATGTATCCCCCCCCCCCCTCCAAAAAAAAGGACGAAAAGAAATAACCCTGCAGAATGTCTACATATCATGTTACTCGACTATGTAGACTATTATGCAGTCGGAAAGTCGCAATCTAAAAATGAATATTCACAGTCTGTGATGAAATTGATATACAAGATGTAAACTATTTGAACAATTTTCTAAAGTAGGTTTACCAAAATAGGCGTCTATGATTACCAGGTGTTTGTAAGAAATAATAGCCAACATCTATCTTTAGAATTTTTTTCGCAGCTGAAGAATACAGGAATTGCAATAATATATTCAGTGATTCTTTAAAGTTTACAGTGACACCTTTGCAAACTACCACTTCACAAAGGTGTTACCCTCGCAATCGCAGCGGAATATGGGCTTCCACAGGGCTCGGTGTTTGGCGATATCCTATTTATGATTCATCATCGAGAATATAATTTGATTACTTATGTATAAAGATCCTGAAATGTTCTCGATATCGGTATCATGATTACCATTGCAGTCTAGATGCCAAAGCTCTCGCCCATAGATGTTTTAATCTTCAGAGCGCCGAAGACATACACTCTTTGGATTTTGTTTTCTTGCAGAATCAGTGGCACTGAAATGGTAGTGTGCATTATTTATCTCTTCATTGCATTCCCGTTATTGTGAGCTTCGTAAATTCTGAATTACAGTTATCAGTGAGTGTTAAACGTTGTCTTGTAAAGATATTTTTGCAATTTTCTAAAATGAAAGACCTTAATTATTTGCTAATCGATTGAACTGACTTGCCAAAAATGTGCGGCGTTTTACTTCACACAAAACCGACGAAATCCCATGTTATCTGTCGGAATAACAATGTTAAGTAGTTAATAATAGATCTATGCATTCCAAAAGTTTGCAAATTCAGTTTCTTTTCACAATACAAGAAAAAGTCGTTTATTCACGAACAGTTTAGTCGAAAAGAAACTTGTACTTTACTTTTCTTTGATGTTGTCTAACAGAACTCGTTACGTTATCGTTGTCACTTGTGCCATCATCAGCCAACTAGTGATTTTTGACGTGCTTTCAGCAAACTCTGGTGGATTTTCGACTGGCCGTCTATTACATGACGTCACAGTCAGGAGCTAGCTTGTTACAGCGGTTCGCGGCACGGGGGAGTTGGCCAGACCAAAAATAACACAATCACTGAACAGTGGTATTTAACCATTCTACGTCTAAAGTATCGGAAGAGATCACGAGAAGCATTCGAACAACAATCAGCCGTCGACTTCACTACCTTCTAGAAAAATGTGGATATCTTATATCGTTAGCACGGGTAAGTACTTTTTATTTCTCACCAGTTTTACTGTATTGGATTATATATTCTTAAATTTTTAACTTATTAGTTATTTTATTATTTTATTTGCAATTAAATTTTAGAATTTGATGGAATTTCGACGGTAGTGTATACCACTGACATCTAGATTTCAATAATATGCAGATATGCGAGGATAACACTAGTAGCATCTTCATTTCTAGCATACAATAATGGATAAAGATAAAATTCGTGGATTACAGATTATCCCCTTTCTCTTCACACTGCAAAGGGAAACTCAATAATTAGTAATTCATATTTTTTTCTTATCAAACATGTATTTATGTGATATCAAATTAAAATCTGTTGAGGGTATTAGGAAAAGAGAATATTTTCGTTTTATAATATATATGACTAAAAACTTAAGATCCTTGTTTAGCCCCAGGAAACTTATATTACATGGATTGCATTCTTTTCTCTTTGATACTACATGGATAACAGAACATAATCAAAAATATCTAAATGTTCATAACTTTTTATTGTTAGCCCCTTGTCGATTAGATAAAACTTCTGCTTCCAATCAGTTTGATTCTATTCATGTAAGGTTCTTATTATTACCATATAGGGGGTTGGATGGCCGAATGGTTAGCACGTGCGCGCTGTATCAAAGGGCCTGTCATTGAGTCAACTGGCGTGGTTTCGAAACCCCAGGAGTAGGGTCGCCTGTCTAACCTCGTGGGTTTTCTCCGGGTCCTCCGGTTTCCTCCCACTACTAAAAACCCCTACGCGCAAGCGAATTATTGAAATAAAATTAAACCATGTTAGTCCCGAAATGACCTAGTTTGTGTCGAGTGGACGTTAAACCCCATTTCTCCCTCTCTCTATTACCATATAAATTTAGTCTTTTCTGATTTTTAACAGCGATAATTTCAAAAGACTTAATTCTGTTTCCATCCTTGATTAGAGCTTCCCGCCCCCTTAAATGGATGCCCGGGTCGTATAATTTGCAGTGTAAGGATATGATATTCATGACCATGTAAGCCGATCCGATGAGTTGAACTTCTCTTTAACGTTCCTTATTTCCATGAAATGATCTTTGGGGTACCATGCGGTAAATTAATTGAATAATGAATGGTGATGTAGACGATACCAGAAATATCTTAGGCGTCAAAGATACTGAACTTTTGTTTACTCGACTCACAAAAAGAAGAACGCCGCAAGCATTTATTATTTTATAACTTGTGCCCGCTAGAACAATAATAACATATGCTGCTGAGAGTAAGTATTTTGAGTCGATATTTAGTGTGCTGTCAAGGGGAGTGTCGTTATAGTTATCAGGTTAAAGGAGGGGCAACCTTATATTGTGTTTTCTAAATCAAAGTAATACTTGCGGTACCAAGAAAGGTTCACATGTCAACGCAATGGGGTAACACTTGAATACAGGGTCATTTTAATTCGAAGTTAAGTTTCTCTTGGGTTAAAATGGTTCTTGGGTTAAAATGATCTCATATACATACTTTGTAGCGTACACTAGTTGGAGGGGGGGGGGGTTGATGGCCGAATCGTTAGCACGTGCGCGCTGTATCATAAGGCCTGTCATTGAGTCAACTGGCGTGGTTTCGGATCCCCGGTTGTACGTGACAAGTATTAATGTCGCCTGTCCAACCTCGTGGGTTTTCTCCGGGTCCTCTGGTTTCCTCCCACTGCTAAAGACCCCTACGCTCAAGCGAATTATTGAAATAAAATTAAACCATATGTTAGTCCCGAAATGACCTAGTTTGTGTCGAGTGGACGTTAAACCCCATTTCTCTCTCTCTACACTAGTTGGGTAACGCTGGTTGTTCGTGTTCCATCAACTAGAATCAGGTTGAGACAAGACAATTTTTATAACTTTTATTTTGCTGGAAAATTTGGCGAAATATAGCCAGGTTGGAGCCGACGTGCCATTAAACAATATTTCATTTCATTTCATTTTTGCTGAAAAAATGTGAAATTTGACGTTGCTTAAATTCTGATTGCTTTACTGATGTTTTTAATCCGCTGTTGTTTAGCCATCTGTTTCTTTTTTTTTTTCACTTAATGTACACAGATTATTTTCAATCCGATTGGTTTTACTTGTTTCCCTGGTCGATTTTCCTGTATCAAAAACTATCGATGAACGAGTGCGCACAAAAGGATCCTGTAAATAAAGAAATTCAAATAGAGATCAGGAAAAAAATAAAACGGCTGAAAAAGAGAAGAATAAATACATATCGAACTTTTGGCATGTATCGTTTAATTGCATTCAGGTTCGAAAATATGTGATTTTTACACGCTTTTAGTTAACGATTATCACTATTTTAAGATTCAGTTGTTTTGGCAATGTACTGTTTTATCTTTCTTGTGTTAAGATGAAAAGTCAGAAGTTTCCTTTTCAAGTGCCCTCTTCCGAATATTTAAAAAAATAGGATATTTCAAAATAGTAATTGGCGTGTGTGTGTGTGTGTGTGTGGGGGGGGGGGGTATTTCAGAGGGAATATTTTTGGACGCTAAGAAGAACTGATATAATCCTCTGATTTAGTTTCAAAAACATGAACAGGTCAGCGCCGCATATACATACATGTTCGATAGATCTGTTTTTAATCCGACTGAATCTAAGCGGTGGGGTCATCCAACGTTCGTATTTTTTAAGTTTTCTTGATCAAGATACTAGTACATTCAACAATAGATATTGCCCGGAAAATCCAAATGACGATCAGCGGTTTCAATGTCGAAACTGAAATTTAAATTTAACCATTTTTCTATGTTTTCTTTCAGTTCTTGTAATAAGCCATGTAACTTGTCACCAATTCTTGTGTCCAATAATAGATGGGCTGTACCCCCACCCCACTGACTGTGATAAATATTACCAATGTTCAAATAGAATCGGCACCCAGCTCAATTGTGTCCCGGGTACCTATTGGTCTGAAAGTAATTCAGTGTGTTCGTGGCCCGATGACGTACCAGAATGTGACAAGCGTGGTAGGAGAGGCCTACCATCGTCCTCTAAAAACAGCAAAGTGGACATCACAGATGAGAAGGGCGATCCAACTGAATTACGAGAAGAAACCCGATTGACGACAGTATTAGATAATCAGGGCATCAACGAAAGTGTTCCATTTCACGCCATGGACTTCAAGCCATCAGTAGTTCCCAGAACATCCGCAGTTGAAACTAGTTCTGGTACACTTGATACCGAAGATGTGCCCGCTAGTACAACAATAACATATGCTGCTGAGAGTAAGTATTTTGAGTCGATATTTAGTGTGCTGTCAAGGGGAGTGTCGTTATAGTTATCAGGTTAAAGGAGGGGCAATCTCAGATTGATAAATTTACGATTACGAATCCAAACTAAAGCCCAAAATGCGAAGAAATAACCGAACTAGCTTGTTTAAAGATTCCAGCTTACAATATTGAGTGGTTTGGAAAAGGTCGCTGGGTTTGTTCTACATGGTTAGGAAAGTCGATCAACAAATATCAGAGTTCGATTGTACGAGCGAACGTCTTCTACGCATGGTTTTCCTGGCACTTGAATCATATGGCAACCAAAAGTCATTATTTCCTTTAATAAAACCCCACAAGACAAGGGTAAAAGTTTCTAGGGACCTACAATATATCTTTAACAAACTGAACTTACGAATAGAATATCGACGTGGAGCGAGAAAAACATTATTTCAAGCCCGTTTCTTTGTCGGGTTAAAACGCCCATAACAATTTATATTTAATAATTTTACACTGTTATTAGCGGCCCAATTGTTACAGTTATACCGTGTCGTACAAACAAGTAATTAGGAAATCATATTGACTTTTAGGTAACATTAAGCCATTTAAACAGCTCGCTCTCACGTTCATATTGTTGAAAAGGCCGTCGTTTGTTTGATGTAAATAATCATCTCAAAAACAACAATTAAAGACAACAGATACAAACACAGAAAAGTGATACACGAATAGTCTTCTTTTGTAGAAATTGATTTAATCTGCAGCTTCGTTGAATTTAAAGGTCCTGGTTCTATTATAATTTCAAACGCATGGGAACTCGCACGAATATTACATATAATAAAACCATGATAAAAGCAATATCGCAGTCATGTTTTTATAATGACATCACATTCGGTGACTCTTCGGGAAGAAATGAAATGAAATGAAATGGGGTTTAACGTCCTACTGTTTTGCTCCTATGCTGGGCTAATGAAGACGGGCATACGCCATACAGTGTGCTATGAGGGAAATTTTGCCCGGGCAGCGGCACTATCCACGCGTCTACTCTTATATCGAATTCCAACTGCCAAGGGATCTTTTACGTGCATTCCAATGTATACACGGGACCTCGGTTTTTCGTCTCATCCGAAGGACTAGACAGCTGTCCTTGTCAGGCCCTCCGTCCTGCATCACTGACAAGGGGGAACCACGCCGGAAAATCTGGATGAACTTTCTCGGCCAATGCAGGGATCGAACACCCGACCTCCAGGCTAGCTCTTCGGGAAGAATTAGAATGTAACGACGAATCTTATTAAAGATGCAGACTGGTCAGTGTATATACGTAATTAACCTCTTGACAGTTGGAATTATGGGCATCCTGGCGTTGTTCATGTAACTCTTAGAACAATGACTTTAGTCGTGAATTTTACATACATGTATATGGTTATTCTTAATCTTTAAGTGGCATTTAGCGATCGGTAAACACATTAACAGAATGTTAGCGGCGAGTGTCTAACCTCATTTCATTTAACTGTATGTTGTGGGTGGTTCTGGAGATGTTCCACCCATAAAAACTAGTGATTGTATCCCATAAAAACAGTGTTCTGTTAATGGTTATTCTTCTTTATATAGCCAACTATTTATTTAACTGGTTCTTATAAACCATATTTTGCAATAGATTTAATAGTTTGTTGAAGACAGGCCCGTAACTAGGGGGGCTCAGCCCCCCCCCCCCCCTTGAAAAAGTTTCGTCCCCCATGTGAAAAATTTTCGACCAGAGAAAAATCGATATACATTGTCCGTCAATATTACAGCACCCCTGAGAAAACTTCCCGCCCCCCTTGTTGCTCTGAGCTAGTTAAATAATTTGAGCATTTAGAATTAAAGAGTGTTGTAAATTGAGTTGATTTAATTTCGTGATGGAAATACCGTTACAGACTGTTATTGAATGTCTGTTGACATATAGCGATTTGGCTAATGTACGAAAATTCTCTAGCAAGGAAAATCCTAAACTTGGATTTGAATCTAGTATGCACTGACTGTTGTCCAGAAAGTATTTGTGACGATGCAATCACATGAGAACAGATAGATAATCCGATTTACACAAAACGATAGAGATGTAGAAATGAGTCGCTATTAATCCCCACAAAGGCTTAATATTGGAGTCGAATGTATAGATACTGGCTTAGAGGGTTAACTGGGGTGGGTTTAATCAAATGAATAGATGGATATGTCCGGCCAAAGGAACACAGTACAAATATCAGTGCGTTCCTGAACAATCATTGTGTACATACCAAAAGGTTAGAAGACAATACCCTCATCTTGGTTTGTACTGAAAATACACATTTTACCCATTGTCGCCATTTAATCACATATTAGACCAACTGTTACCCACCTCACTATGCATTTGTAATGGTGCTGATATAATTATTTAATAAAGAGAGAAAAGGGACAGCTTATCTTAACTGACTATATCCTTGTCCTAATTATAAACAATTTCCGTTAACTGAATTTACAACCCGATTCACCCGGATCATTTACACTTCCAGCAAACTTTTATCTATATATGTATACATCTTCCTTGTAACCCAACACCACTCTTATCCTTATTTGTCATGCCAATATATCAACACCAACAATATCACCTCTTTGTGCCAGTTCCTAGTTATATTTCTTAACCAATACCATTTTATCGTATCCTGCAAATTACATTCATCTCCTCGCATTTCATATTTGTCATTTAGGTGTCAGTTCTTCATTAAGCTGCATTGGTGAATGGTCCTTCCTGTAAGCAGTTATTTTATTTCAATCATCTTTTTTCCATTATTAGAATCCCAATGTATTATTTTTAATACGCTTTGCTCTAAGTCACTTTATCACATGGTGGCGCGATGGTTCCATATTATATAGAATTACGAACAGGGCCCTTATTCACGAAAACTTAAACTAAGTTACAATCGAAATTTTAAGAAATACTACAACTTCATTGGATATATGCAAATTGATTTTACTGGTCAGCCAATCGAATTGCAGTATTTATTAAAATTTCGATTGTATCTTGGTTTAAGTTTTCGTGAATAAGGGCCCAGGTCTTTCTGCTAGATGGCCGAATGGTTAGCACGTGCGCACTATATCATAAGGTCAGCCATTGAGTAAACTGGCGTGGTTTCGATTCCCCAGTTGTACGTGACAAGGAGTAAGGTCGCCTGTCCAACCTCGTGGGTTTTCTTCGGGTCCTCCGCCCCCCCCCCCCCCTACTGCTAAAGACCCCTACGCGCAAGCGATTTATTGAAATAAAATTACACCATGTGTTAGTCCCGAAATGTTGTGTTGAGTGGATGTTAAACCCCATTTCACTCTCTCTCTCTCTTTCTGCTGGACATGCTTCGGTTCATGTTAGCTGTTATATCCATTCCTTCCATACATTCTTCTCCGAACCTAACCTTCTTTCAGACTGTAATTTCCCTGTTCAGAGTATCCAGTCATCATGCAACAAAACCCATTACTATCCCTAACTTTTTCATAATGATATCTAACATAATTCCTTTAGCTTACATCCTTTTATGGCACCAATCATATTTCTTTTATGTTAACGGGTGTTCATTTACCTCTGATCAAATTAATTGTTGATTCCCTATCAATCCCACCCACCCCTTCCCAGCATTTTCAAATGATTCTACAAAACCATTCCATTCCAGTATATCATAGCTATATAGAACAGAACCATTTTACTTTTCAAATGATTTTTTCTGGTTTCAATGCATGGTTACTTACATTTCTTAAGACCAGTGTTAGTTAAAACAATATACGGATTGATAAGTTCCTTTGATTCAAGTGATAAAATGGTTTCAGGTTTTTTCTCTGATTTCCGATGTCCTAATATTGAGGGATTTTATCGAGATCCCTTCAACTGTCGGAACTACTACTACTGTATTAACTGGGCACCTTATAAAAGGATATGTCCACCACAAGAGTTCTTTGATAATGATATCTTGGGCTGTGCACCTAAATCAGAAGTTGAAGGCTGTCTGTATTATGGTGAACCGGAGAATATGGAATTCCTTACCCCGACTACTCCTGGTAAGTATGTGATATTGTGGATACTACCAAACCCGATAAACCCCGAAACCCTGCACCACCCTATGGGTTATATCTGGTAATTTCCATTCAATCATTATCACGGTTCTGATGTTACTAACTAATATTATTCGGTTGATTGGGCCCATGGGTGTACGCAGACTGTCAATATATACACGACAGTTCAGGTTCCCGTCCCACCGAACGACTAAACGCTGTTCCTTTCAGGCCTCCAGCCTTACATCACTGAGAAGGGAGATCCAGACTGGAATATTCACAGGGACTTTTTCAACCATGGAACCGCCTGTTAAATTAACAAGCACCTTACTTACTAAAATTAAACATTCTTAAGTTGTACAATAATTGACCTTTTGCCACTTTCCTTCCACGTATTAATCAATAAAATATTTACCAACCCACCAGCCATATTTTATTATTTTGTTTTGCTTGATCGAGTTTATAGATTGTAATATACAGATAAAATACTCTCCTTTCCAAAACAGTAATCAGTTTTGATTTTGAAATTGTTTAATATTATCTCTTATTGTGTTGTTGAGTTATACTTATTTATTGTTTAAAGATAATGTTTGTATGGTGGATTATTGGTTGATTTTTTGTTTTAATTTTCCAATTGATAATATTATCATCCCTTTGTACTTATATTTAATTCCTTTTAATTCTAGGGAAAGTTCAATTCAACTGCCCCAAAGATCATGGTTATTATCCCGATTTAGACGATTGTTCCTTTTACTTTGAATGTATCCTTGGAAATGCTTTTAGAAGACAATGTATGCATGGCACCCTATTCGACAGAGTACGCAATAAGTGTACATGGGAAAATCTTGTTAGAGACTGTAAATCATTGACACGGGGTGATAAAGATATAATAACAAAAGGTAACTTTGATTGGATTGCATAAAATTCTCCACCGCCTTTCGGAAAATGCAGGTTATTAGGAAAATTGGTCTGTCAGTCTGTCTGAAATACAGTAACCCTGCTTCTAAGTGGGGAAGAATGTATAAACTTGGAGTAGATGTTGATTGGGTGTAGATGTCTTAACTGAGTTTAACGATGAACATTTTCGGATCAGCTTAGTCTGAACAGAGATGAGCAATTCGATCTATTGCTACTCTGCTTCTGATTGAGTGAGAGTGAGAGTTACACGCAATTTTATTTGCAATCTGATTAAAACACAGATCCTAATTAGTTTCGTTTTTTATAGTTCAAAATTTCGTTTCACTTGTCTTTACTACCCAAGTAGAGGCCAGCGAAAGTATAAAATAACGAAACGAAATTTAGAACTGTGCAAGTATTATCTGTTTATTTTGAGATTATTTTGTTGTTTTGTAACAAACCACCCTCTTGTTTTATTTCGCACGTGCTTAAAGCTTCCGAAATTGTCTTTTAATTTGTGTATCCTAATTTCCATTGACCAACCGAGCTTCAAGAATTAACATTAAAGGCAATTGGGAAATATTTGTTGGTCTGATCTATGATGAACGAGTGACTCCCGATTACTTCCCTTTACCCTAGACCTTTGTTTAGACTCTTCCACACTGTGTTACGTGCTGGTCCCGCCAATTACTTGTGTAAGGGCATGTAAAAATAGATTATAGTGTCCGATTTAAACAAACGACCCATGGTCTTTAGATCCAACATGAGATACGTAGATACACCATTCAAACATTTAACCACCATATCCCCATCAAACGGGAAGTCGTATCTTTAGAAACAGTGAGCAGGTTATTCAATAACAATTTAATTCAGAAGTGATGTTTTTTTAGTTCATTATATTTACTAACACTTTAAATTCTTTTAAGGTTCAGTTGTTGTTGAATTTGATTGTCCTGAACCAGATGGTTATTATAGAAAACCCGATAACTGTCGCGCCTATTATCATTGTATTGATAATAATGCTGCATTACTTGAATGTGAAAGTGGTTCTCTGTTTGACGTATATTTAGGTAAATATATAAAAATATATATACACTTCTCTCTAATTGTGAAGGAGTCGCGGTGGCTCTCTAACCAGGAGGTCTTGGGTTCAGTGGGATTTCGATTCTAAGCGTGTACGTGACAAGGGGTATCCTGCTCTGAACGTGGCAACGGCAATAATTTTCTACATGTCACCAAGCCATAATAAAACGAGAGCAAGCTCTGGCATGACTATTGATCTGAGAAACCTACACCTCCGTAGACTGGTGATTTGGGTGTGGCTGCATGTAATGTAAGTGGACAATGGACGCCCTTCCCAATTTATATGTAATTTTTTTTATATTACAGGTAAATGTACCTGGTCTAAGATGGTGTCAGATTGTGATGAAAATGATAAACCTATAGATACAATCAAAGTACAACAAACAGTAGATATACAACAAAACCAATCCAATGACCAAGTTTTAGTTAAACGTCCAGGTAATTACGATTTGTCACCTGGAATTGTTCAGAGCTTCTCTGTAATCCCGGCGCTACATAGTTATATTCTGGTTAACTTAAGTTTACTGTCGACATATACGATTACAACAACATTGCTACCCAACCCAGAGTTATTGCCCTTGCATTATAAATCTCGTGATCGAGACGGATAGTAAATTCATAACCCTTTTAACATGTGCCTTGTTGAATATTGAACACTTCCGTCGTTTATTAATATGCGTGAAAGTTATTCAGATCTACTTTGCTTGCCGGAGGGAATGCTTAAAAATAAATGATATTGACAAAAGGAGCAAAAATGGTATTAATGAACTGATAGAAGATATTTATACAGGTCTGGGATTAATTCAGTTCACCCCTTTAAAGCTATAATATTTTTTTTATTCCCTGTAGTCTAAGATTTAGTATCTAAGATTTAAATACTGCTAAAGTCTTGTATTGTCATGAAAATGTAATGTTTTGTGTAGCGAACATGCAATGATCCTATTACAACATGAATATCACTTCCTTATAGGTAACTATATCTTTTTGAAAAAAAATCATAGTAACAAGCCGAATGTGACTGACAGACCTCCATTTAGCTAATCCATTACAAGATAACTAACCTTTCACAAACATTTTTAGGGAAGCTAAATAGATAAATTATAATTTTAGCCAATCACAAGCGACTATTGTCTGTTGATATGTATTTTAACAATGGTTGTCTTCAGATTGTTTTGACATTTTGAAGAGACGGAGATCTATTGTTTTGCGCGCCTTTGCTTCCTTGGAGTGTGCAAGGCTTACACTCGTATAGTATCCAAGATGTCTGCCAGTTTAGTTTTTCTCTTCGATCTTTTCTGTGTTTGTGCCTTATCACACATTTCAGCTCAAACGACGGAATATACTTATTTAGATATCACCTTGTCCGATTATACCAAAAACATTGTTTATCCTGCAGGATCCATTTTTGACTTTGCTTGTCCGTTACCTAACGGTCACTTCCGAGACGAGGAAAATTGCGCCATATTCTACCATTGTTTGTCCGATGTACCATATAAAGGATATTGTCGCAGTGGCCACGGCTTTGATACCGACATGCTGATGTGCATTTCTGCTGATAAAATCCCCGGATGTGAAAGTCAGCAAGTCGAAGAACCGATAAAATCCCTGGAGTCTGCGGAAGTGACTATTCTTGAAGCAGTGACACCAGAGGATAAGCCAGGGATGTCTATTCTTGAAGCAGTGGAACCAAAGGATAAGCCAGCGGTGTCTATTCTTGAAGCAATGACACCACCGGATAAGGGTAACTTTCAAATACCCTTCCCATATATTAGTTCACCTTTAATACCCATATTTAAAGCCCGATTGCAACCTCATTTGTGTCAGATTATATAATACCATAATTATCTTACCAATATTCTTTAATTTCTTCTCTTCTGGTATTTGTTTCTTTCTTCTTTCCACATATAACATTCTCAGCCTCGTTAACTCCTTGTACCACAGTTCTTTACATCTTTTAATTTATTTCTGATCGGTGTATTAAGATTTTATTCCAGATAAAAAAAGTAGTATTGACATGACTTTATTTAATTTCGGTCTATTCAGTTTTTAACTTCGATATTGAACAAATCGCATTTTCACTGAAATTAAAGGTACCTAAAGGTACCTACTTAACAAACTTTATCTCATTCTAAATAAAGATGTCTCAGATTTTCATTTCGATTTTTATTATTAAATATTAAAACTTGTATACGTCCGTTTCATCTCAATACATTTAACATGGTGTTGGTATATCTTCATTTTCGAATAAAAATATTTAATTTCATTAATTATCTTATATTATTTATTGAATTTCTAATTATATTAGTAATTACTCTTTTATTACCTAAGTACGACAGACCTACATTATACAAAGATAACGTCTATTGTTGGTTTGTTTTTTGGTTTGTTTTTCTTGGCGGGGGGGGGGGGGCTACTTTACTACATAATCAGAAAGTTGTTCCTTTTTGACTAGCTAGTACAATCTGTTTCACAGAGAATTACGAGTCTAGTGATAAATCTCTGTCAAAGATGACTGCCTTAACACGTGCTGTCACAGCACGCGGCGTCAATCATTGGCTGAATGGCGCGTGCATTGTTTACATAAGACCTTTATTTATTTTTCCAATACATAAAAAAAATGTTTTTGAATTTAATTTGTCGCAGGAAAAAAGTTAATATTTCTGGCTCATTAAGCCGCATCGATGTCATCCTTATCAGTGATTGTAGCGGCCTAGCAAATATTCACTGCGGATCAGTGTGTAGCTAGTAGTCAAAAAGGAAAGGAAAAGACATAGTTTGTACATAGCTCTGTATTGCCCCTACCAGATATGTGATTTATTTGTGAACACTATATAAAAACACCACTTGATACCATACATTTACCTCTTTTATTGACATTAGATTTGGGTGATGAAGTTGAGTGGATTGATTGGGAAGCAGAAATAGATCCTGCAGAATCCATGGGGCCCGAAAGAAGGATGTGAATTATTCTATTTTTTAAAAATTCCAAAATTTGACCTTGACCCAATTATTTTTTAACCCAAGTAAATTATTAATCCTAATAACCGTTTTGATTAATGGATTAAGATAAAGCGTCGCCAGAAACTGAGCAGATTTCCGTGACAGAAATAAGAGATTAAGGATTCACGTTTTTCTCCACATTCTATACATTATGTTTACATTAATACGTAGGAATGCAAAGGTGACAGGTTAATCCAATTATAGTTGTCTTATCGTGACTACACCAAAGTCATGGGTTTTTTTTATTAAAGAACTGTGAAATATGTTTTACAGATTGACATCTTTCTTAAAACAATAGATGAAAAACAAGATTAATATGTTTAATTCTGATGAACATAAAACATAAATTTATTGTACGATTTATTATAATGTTAAGTCTTTGAAAAGAAATGTTACTGTTGTTTATGGGTCTGATTCTATTTGAGTCATATTTCAGATAACACTGACTAATTGGTTTGCCTCAAGGTTAAATTTTTTTACTCCAATACGATGTTATATTGGCCTGCTTTTAGATAATGTAACAAATGGTGGTGTGAACTTATGTCTGTACACTTACCACCAGTGGCAAATACAGTCACGTCTTTCAAAATTGAACTGTTTCTATTATATTTGCGAATTTTTTTAATCATCGTTGTATATTTTATAGTTCTTAATGTGGGCGTCATCGACTATAGAAGTTTCAAATGCCCAGAAGAAGAAGGTTATTTCAGAGATATAGAAGATTGTGCTGTGTATTATTTCTGTACTAAATGGAAGGTATACCAACATCAGTGTAAACCAGGCACCGTCTTTGATATGGTCAAACACATTTGTACCTGGCCTCACCTTGTGGATGGATGTGACGAAACTAAAGAAAGTATAAACCAGGACAGTACCGCAGCAAGCACAGGACTAAATTCTGAAAATACAGAAATCAGATTTAAAGAGCCTATATCTCCAACTCTTCCAACAGAAACGATTGAACAACATGGCGAAAATTGTAAGTTACTACATTAAATTTGATTAAATGAAGACGGCCATACGATTACAGTGTACTACGGCCCACTCGTATATCGAATGCCAACAGCCAAGGGTTCTTTATGTTTGCTCCTACTGGTCTAATGAAGATAGGCGTACTTCATGCAAGGAAATTTTGCGCGGACAGCGGTGCTACGGCCTACTCTTATTTCGAATTCCAACTGTCAAGGGTTCTTCTAGGGATTTTCGTCACATCCGAACGACTATACGTTGTTCCATGCACCGCTGATAATGGGAAATCACGCCGAAAAATCTCGATGAACTTTGTCGGCCTACACCGGGATCGAACACGGGACCTCCTGGTTAGCGAACCATCGCGGCTCCAAAATTTGATTAAGATTTCAAAAGTATTCAGCTATTTTTTTATTCAAATGTTTTTTTTTTTTTGCTGTCATTTATTTAATCCAACATTCATAGTTAAGAATATTATTTTCAACGTTTATTTGTTTGCCTGGTATTATTGTTTTTGTAAATAATGCAACAACCATTTCTGTTGCAGTACCTGATATAAATGCCATCACAGAAGCTTCTTCGATTACTTTTGTGTGTCCACCAATATACGATGGTTACTATGGAGACCCGATTTCATGTTCCCGATTCTATAGATGTATAGGTGGTGAAATGTATACATTTAGTTGTCCACGTGGTACATATTTTGATAATTTACGATTTTTGTGTAACTTTGAAAGTGAAGTTACAGATTGTACAACAGGAGGTATACGTAATACTATGATAAGTCAGAATGGTAAGTAACAATATTTCAAATTTTATTTATTGAATCCAATACTATTTATTATTATTTTTAAACTTTATTGATTATTTTTGTTATTATTTTTCAAATATGTTCTATTTATTTATTTTCAAAGATTATTTATTTTATTATTTTCAAAGATTATTTATTTTATCATTTTTAAAAGTTATTTATTTTATTATTTTCAAAAATTATTTATTTTATTATTTTCAAATTTTTTTTATTATTTTTATATTCAGAAATTATTTATTATTTATTTTCAGAAATTATTTATTATTTATTTTCAGAAATTATTTATTATTTATTTTCAAAAATTGTGTATTATTTTCAAAAATTATTTATTATTTTTATTATTTTCAAAAATTATTAATTATTTTCAAAAATTATTAATTATTTTCAAAAATTATTAATTATTTTCAAAAATTATTTATTATTTTCAAAAATTATTTATTATTTTCAAAAATTATTTATTTTTTGAAAATTAATTAATTTTGTTCAACGCATTTCTTTTTAAATTTATATTGTTAATTTATATTTTTAAAGTATTGTTTATTTATTTAAAAAGTATTGGTTATTTGGTTATTTTTCAAAAAGAATTTTTTTTTCTCAAAAATTATTAAGACTTTTTAAAAAATCACTTAGACCTTTTCAAAATTATTAAGACTTGTTCAAAAATTATTAAAAAAATTTCAAAAATTATTTTAAAAAAATTCAAAAATTATTTTAAAAAATTTCAAAAATTATTTTAAAAAATTTCAAAAAGTATTCTTCAATTTGGTATTTCCTTTTCAAACGGTATTTATTCTTGTAAATATTTATGAAGTTTATCAGTTTCAAAGATTATACGTTTTTCTAATGTTTTTTATTTTTCAATATTTATTTATTTATTTGTTTACTTTTTGTTTATCCATATATCTATTTCATATAAGAATGCTTGAAAATGGGCATTTTGTTTGATTTAATTCACCATTTCACATCTCAATAATATTCACAATATAGTTTGCTATTTTATTTTCTCTAACTGCTAATGGCCATATTTGTCTGTTTTATTCTACTTTCTATTTCACACGGATTTTCTTGCATCGATCTTTGATAGTCATTGCTCTCGCATGATTTTATATGATGACGGTTCTTTTCTTTATTAATTATTAATCCAGCATGTTGTTCCTAATACAAATAATTTATTATACAAATATATAAACTTAGTTGAATGTGTTGTTTTATGTATAGATTATGATATTGGACCACTGTAAAGTTCTTCTAACAGTCTGGTAATTTGCCTGGCTTCATTGACAGTTTTTCGAAAATTCAAAAATGTCAAATGATGCTTTATAACTGTTCATGAATTATAGGGATGTAAGCTTTGGGTAGCAATCATTTCTCTTCTATTCCAAATTTAGTTTTCAGAGCTGACTTACACCTTCACTCACGGTTCTAAAATTTAAGTCAAAATGAAAATGATTCACCCACGGTTCTAATATTTAAGTTAAAATTAAATTAAATTTTGGTGCATTGATTCCTTTGATTTCTACCAAAAAATGCTTACTACAACAAAACAGTATATTTCAATCTGTAGTTTCGCCATCAAATACACGGAGAGCAATTAAACTATAGGTAGAAGGTGTAAGGCAGTGCTTATGTACATGAAAAGCTTAAAACGTTGGATGTCTATTTACTTCAGTTCCTTAGATCTGTTTGTTTAGTTGATTTGGCGGAACTTGGTTTTTAATAATATGGTGTTCTGTAAGCATGGTAATGCTTAAGTTTTGAAAATAATCTATGATAATGTAAATTGTGTAACCAATGAATGATTGAAAAACATTTGATTGTTGCAATCCTGTTAACATTAATATTAACCAATGTGGGCATTGTTACTAATGATCTGTCATACTGAGTATATATGACTTCAGTCTACAAGATTAACGAAGTTTATTTAGATATGTTACATGTAGTTTTACCATATAATAATATGTAATTTGGTGAGTACTGACTTTTATACTAAGAATGTAATTGCTTAGTTGTACAGTTTGGGGATTTATAATGAATCCCTTAAGCTTTAAGTGTGGCCCCTACTATGTTTATTGCAGGAAGTGTCCTCATTTTATTACAGAAGTGGCATTATACCTCCTTTATATATCCCGGTGACATATGTAGAGATTTTGTAAGAACAAACATTATGCTAAATAAGCGCCATAATTATACAAGTACAGTAGAATTTGTATGAGCAGCCACTCCTATTCAGCGACATCTATTTGTAAGCGGTCACGATAAATTCCCCCCGTAGAAATTCTGTTGTTTCATCTCTTTATTCAACGGTCACTCCTCTAACGCGGCCAGCGGTCACTATTTTACTAATAAATTCAACAAAACATGGCCCATTCAACGGCCATTGTTGAATGATACCATCTTGTCGTTCTTTGTAACACTCCCGCTAATCCCGAGAGTAGTAGTTAATTAACTGGACCCCCACTGATCAGGTAAAAAGAAATGTAAAAATAACAATCAACCCGGGATTATCTGTTAATTAATCTTTTGTTTTATTAAACGACTTACCTGATCATTGTTTTCACGCGTAACGACACATTATTTGATACTGATTGAATAAAATAAAAGTACCGAGTTTTGTCACGATCACCTAGTATCTCTCTTAGCGCCTCCTATAATATTACATACAGAGTTACACCCCCTGTAAATAGGTGATAAAATTAGCGATGTTTTTTGTTCATGTGCTTTTTTGATAAAATAAAATGAATTCATCGATTTTCTTCACAAAAATGGATAAATATTATCGAATGCATCACAATGGTAGACAGTAGTATCGAAGGTTGGTACAAAATGACAAGTTTACAGAAGTTATGTCCGAGATTTGAGTAAAGAATTTTCGTTCGGCGCAAGATTCAGCGACGGCCAAATTTACCGCTTCCAATGCATCCATGCGTAATATTTAATTTATGTCGGCACAAAAAGCAACGAGATTTTATTAAGAGGCCACTCCCGTTAAGTTATGTCCGAGATTTGAGTAAAGAATTTTCGTTCGGCGCAAGATTCAGCGACGGCCAAATTTACCGCTTCCAATGCATCCAAGCGTAATATTTAATTTATGTCGGCACAAAAAGCAACGAGATTTTATTAAGAGGCCACTCCCGTTAAGCGGTCAGTTGTGAAAATTCCCTTGGGTGGCTGCTTAATGCAGATTCTACTGTAATGTATTGTTCTAGACCAGGGCTTTAAGTAACACAAGTTCATTTTAAAAGGTTGAGCATTTCATGAAGTAAAACAGTTCTTAATTGAAGTTAGTTTTTTTTATTAATTGGTTGGATTTTTTTTTTTTTTTTTTTTTTTTTGCTTTCGTAATTTTTACTTTCTTTAATTTATAGCTGATGTTAATATGGCTTGCATCAGTTTACAAACCCCTTTCCTTACCTGCATGTATTAATATCGATGTTTTGTTTCCTCTCAGTGGTTATATGTTGTCATCCTAACCTCCCAACCCTCATTTATGAATAAAATAACGTATTTAGATAACAAGCATCAATATGTTCTTTACGTATTCTGTGAATCGAGTTTCCAGGTGGTCTAGTTCTCAGCTCAGTACTGTTTTGCCTTAAGGAAACATTGGTTATTTTTGTTTTAAGTGATTTTGTCTGATATTCTTAATTGTAATTTAATTCAAACCTTCCGTGCCATTTTCAGATTTTATTTAAAACATTCAATTATAGTGTTTGTACACATTTTAGTAGATACTTCAATTTTCATTGGCTAAGCACTAAAATCAATCTAATATTATCCAATTAAATTACTAAAATTTGAATTTAATCTTAGTTAAAATTTCGTGAAGCAGGCCCCTGATACTAAGTGCTGTTTTTTCTGCGTCGTCTTTATCTACGACCCTTACTAACTACTAAATGCTATTTATCTATATTTTGTTTTAACCTACTATAATCATCTTTATTGTCAAGAATAATGGGAATATTATGTAGGGAATACAATCATATAATATTAGCTATTTTAATTTTAGATGAAGGTGAATCGTCATTTGATCATCCACCCCCTGATTTTAACGCAGGTGAATATATATTATTTACACCATTTAACATAACAACTTTTCATGTTTAATTATAAGATAATAATGATATGATTATTATTTTCAAAATTTAATTTTTAAGCTGTAAAATATAAGTTGTATCCGCTGTTCATCAGAAAACTTGATACTTACTTCATGTTTTTGGCTTTAATCTTTAAAAATATAAATAAATAATAAATATGAATAATAAATATGAATGTTAAAGTATTGTACTTGTAAATGGTTTAGTACTGATAAAAGATAGGACGGGTATAAATACCAGTAAGCTATCGTATATATTTGCATTTCAATTATATAATTCCTAGTTGGGAAAAGAAAGCATATCGCATTAACACCCTCGTTAAGGACAGCACAATCCAGGTCATCCGTGAATATTAGTATTAATATAAAATTATGCAGTAATATAGCGACAACAACTTCCTAAATAAAATATTTACCTCTGTTTGTTTTCAGTCAATTTGCAATGTCCAGAACGAGATGGTGTCTTCGCTCATCCAAGATCTTGTTCCAAGTTTATATACTGTACAAAATATATTCCCAAAATATATGAATGTCCTCGAGATCTAGTCTACAATATCCACATACATACTTGCGATTATCCAGATGACGTCGTATGTAAGCTGTACGATTAACAAAATCTATAATATTATCACTTTCAACCCATAAAAAAATCTTAATTGTCCACTACATAAAGTAGTATTTGTTTAACTATTTTTATCTAAGTTTTACGTGGAAGTTTTTATGTGCCCGTTTTTCATGGGTACAGATGATGTCACAATATAATTATCACTCATATTTTTATAACACGTCAAATTAAATTTTGTCTCTCGATATGTTGATAATTACATATTTCGTCTAGTAATATTAATATATTACTTTAACAGAAGTATACATATTTTTTTGTACATTGTTTTAACATTTTTGTTCATAATAGTTCTTCATTTATATGCAATTGTCTCAATTTATGCTAAAATCGAAACCAAGCGGGCGCTCGAGTCTAGTGTTCTACGCAAATCGGGTGCTAAAAATTATATATTCTTCTGTTTCGTCCCACCCAAAAAAATCAATTCTTATTTGCATCAACTGTCTCTTGATAATTAACAGATAATTGATAATCAAATCTTTGTATTGTTCAATGTCTATTTTTTTTTCGAACTAACCTATTCTTTTAAATACTTGTAATCTATTTCAAATGCTGGTAATCTATTTCAAATACTAGTAATCTATTTCAAATACTAGTAATCTATTTCACATACTAGTAATTTATTTGAATACTAGTAATCTATAACCATACATGCTGTATATATACTGCTGTTTTTGTATAATTGTATATTGATAATGTATAGTTGTAAATATTCCTTTTATATTAAATTTACATTAAGGCTTTTTTATTATACGACCGAGTCATGAGTTATTTCTTGCATACAAATGTACAGCAAAGTAGTGATACTAGGTTTCTACAGCAGATAATATCAGACCACATAACTGTCTTCATTATACCCTTAAAAAAGTAGGGGATATTCAGAAACGATAAAAAAAATGCGGAAATGCACTGCTGTTTTTATTAGAGGTAACCAGTGTATTTTAATAACTGGCCAATTGCCTACACATGAACATAAACAGTTCATATGGGCGGCTTATCTGACGGCCCCATTTCACTCGCAAAGAGATACACTGTCAAAAGTGAAAATGGACGTTTTTGATTTTTGCCTTAATAATGAGTAATTGCTCCACCAAACCTCAGACATTCAACAATTCGTCGTGGCATGCTCCTAATCAACCGTCCAATCACGATTTTGGGCAATCTGACCCACTCCTCTTGTAGTGCCACGGCCAATTCTTGCAGTGTTGTCGGTTGACGTTGACGTCGACGAACACGTCTCCCGATCAAATTTAACGTAACACACTAAAGCAAAGATTGCGCTAAACAGTAAATCTTATGCAAGAACCGATAGGAAAGCAAACATGGATAGGATAAACCAGCAAGCGGCAGTTTTCAGCAACCCTTCCTTGAAGTGTCAAATTTGACAATGAACTCCTCCCACGTGTATGGCGCTATTGCGTGTCGCACATGCAGCTCAGTGGTTCTGTTGGGGCGATAAGTTCTTCATCTGTGAAGATACTCTCAAAGCATGTCAAGTGCCCATGACTATTTATCATATCACAACCTGCATAGGTAGTTGCATTTCAATATCCCCTACTTTTTTTGAAGAGTATATAATGCAACAGATAACTGCCCCACTTTTAGCACTGTTGGTACCGAGAGGTAGAACATTACTGCTCCATTCGATTTTATTTTACACGAAACTAACAATCCAGTAGACGTGGTACAAGGGTTAATCAGCGAACTGGATGTATGAGATGTGTTATTGACGTTTGGGAAAGTAGGACGAGGGGAAATGTGTAGGGAGTGCTGTAAAGGGATAGTTAGATGTATTATGAATGGTTAGAGTGGCTGTGGTGTTACGGTGAAATACTATGCCGCCACCGTAACACCACAGCTTTATGATTTGTTAGACAGGAGTGATGTAATGGGTGTCAACAACTGTGTATGCTGGTACCGTCGCAACGTAGCCGTGAAATATATATTGAGGGGGGGGGGGGGAAGGGCGGAAACGGAAAAATATACAATGTTGACAGTATGTGCCAGGCATGAGGCTGCGCAGACCGAGCGGCAGCTCGATAGCGAGTGTGTGGGAGGGTCACCCTCATAAAAAATTTTTTTTTTAAATTTCAGTTTTCTGTAAGCAGTGAAAACACTATTTTGGCATTGTTTGCGGGGTTAAACCTAAAAATCACATTAATACACCTATTGCACGATATTGTGAAACTAGCTGACGAAGACAGCTCGGGCGGCGATTGTTCGACTCGGGGCTGCTCTGTCAGTATCTAACAAACGCATTTAGTTCGCGTACAACTTTTAAAAACCGAATGTCAGTATGGTATTTCTCACATAATTGGTTATCGCAAAAACAGAGTAAACTGAAAGCGAGTAATCTCGACTAGTCTATAGCCTACTTACAGTACTACACTGGTCACTAGGCTTCCTATATTATTGTTTGTGGACGGTTTACTACTCAGTGATAAGCCTGCGCCGCAAAAAGAGGTCTCGCCTTTTATTATTAGTATAATGACTTCCTCATGTGCGGCAGGTTAGTTTGCTTCTAAAAACACTGTTTTCCGTTCCAAAAAATACAAAAGTAATTTTCTACCAGATGACCATGGTTCTTTTCACCGAGACTAGATAATTTCTCTCGGTGTTAGGATATAGCTATGGATAAGTTCATACAAGGTCAATAAATCCGCGGTCACTTCGGGTCACACTGTTGAGAAAATAAACCGATGGGTTTGTTTAGTAGCAAATCGAGCGTGAATCAACTGAGTTTGTACTGAAAAATTTTTGAGTGATATGTATGAACTGTCTTAACACATTCGGTTTATAATTAGCGATACACAGCTACAGTGGCAAGTGTTGTACTTCACAGACTGTTTACCTCCGAACTACCTCCGCACGAAATCCCCGATTTGGGTACTTGTTAAAAGAAAAAGAAATAGTACCTGTGCGCATGCCAGTAAAAAAAAAACTAAGAGTTCGCGCATAAAAATGCCCGAACGTACCAGGCGCCAGGTCATCCAGATTACAGTGACTAGACAACAAAATTAACGAAAGAAAATATATTACATCAAATATTTATTCATAAAAATTGATATAACATGTTTTGTAAACGTCTTTCTTTCCTTGATTTCGTTTCAAAAACACATTTAAGGTTCGTAGCACGTGGACGTACTAGCGAACGTGCATGTCCAATTTATGAAATCATAATGCATCCCCATTGGACAGGAATTCTTCTTCAAAACTCCATATGTACAAACGTAGAATTTGCTACAGTCTGACCAATCAGGAAACTGAAAATATTTCACGTGGTTTTTGCAGATGATTAGATCAGGACCTACAATCAAAAGTGTGAGTTTTTAAAAATATTTGAAGCAGCTTTTAAAATTTTTTTGTTTCAAGTAAATACTCAAGGATGCTGCTCATTGAATGTGACGTTTTTTAAAACCGCATATAGATGGTACATCTTCTAGGTCAAGTTCCTCAGAATTCCTGCAAGATTCATCATGACAGCCCCCACACGCGCTGACGCATTTCAGGCCATTCTTCCTGCAGCTGCATATCATGGTACCGCACTGATTTTTCAGCGACTTCCACTTACATCTCACAGAGTTTAAAACGCTTTCAGGGGCTGCAGGAAGGTCTGTCATGATGGGTTCGTAGCCTTCTGGTGTCTTTTTCCTATGGAAGGATATTGCTGCCAATATTAAATGCTCTGCGACAATGTCGTTTCCATTGATTATATGTAAAAAGTACAATGTACAAAGTCCTAATACCGATATTGATAAAGTCAAAATACCTCTAAGGCAAGAGTTAAATGTAAAACGTCAAATGTTAAGTGTTAAATGACAAATGTTTTGTGGGAAAAGGCTTTTTTTGACGTGTCTACATTTTGCATTTCTCTCATAACATTTTACATTTGCGCTCTGCCACATCCCATTTGTCCTTCACGCTTTCTACATAGCAACTTTCGCACAGCATCAACTTGCATACGCAAATGTAGGATATCACGTGACTTATTAACATATATGGAAACCCGGCACAAGCACACTATAAGGATATTCACCGCACGACAAAAGAAATCAAGCTGGCACACATTTGTCCTTCACGCTTTCTACATAGCAACTTTCGCACAGCATCAACTTGCATACGCAAATGTAGGATATCACGTGACTTATTAACATATATGGAAACCCGGCACAAGCACACTATAAGGATATTCACCGCACGACAAAAGAAATCAAGCTGGCACACCATAAACTATCTAGACGACCGTGCGTAATTTTGAATGTGCCAGGAAATAATTGATAGATTCAAGCAGCCAAAGAAACATACTTTCCAGTAATTTATAACTCAATAATTGGAATTTCGTATTAATACCTGTATTTTTATATTTTAAACATCCCCATTCTTTCCGGTCTCTCTATAAACAGGGTTGAGTAGCCTTCTTTGATCCATTAAAAAAACAACAATATATAAGCATTTTGCCCAACAAATAAATAATATATTTAAAGAGAGGAATGATTATACATCTTTTAGTATGGACATAGAGAATTTTTGATTAAGCCCTGTATCTTTTTTTAAGTTTAGTTTAGTGCCCCCCCCCCTTCCTTTACTTCAACTTTAATCTTATTTTGTAAAGTTAAGCAAATATGAATGTGCCAGAAAATTATTTGCATATTTGTAAAGAGCAATCAGTGATACTTAACATGGTATCTGGAATTTCGTATTTAGACCAGTATTTTTACTTGAATACGCCTTTAATAGTGTGATATTTATTGGATTTAAATTATGAAAATACGATTGTACCAGAAAACTATTTACATATTTACAAACAGAAATGAATGTGATTTTCACGAATATGTAACATGATACCTGAAATTTCGTATTTAGACATTGCACAGTCCCCCCTCCCCGTAATCATCATAAAGTGCCATCCAAAGTGTCAAGGTGAGTAAATTTGTATTGTGTGCTAGGCTGATTTCCTGTTATAGTGTCGTGAATATCCTTGTTCTGGCTTATAGTGTGCCAGGTTTCCGTATATGTTAATAAGTCAAGTGATATCCTACATTTGCATATGCAAGTTGATGCTGTGCGAAATAATATTATGCTATGTAGAATGTGTGAAGGACAAATGGGATGTGGCAGAGAGCAAATGTATAATGTAATGAGAGAAATGTAAAATGTAGACACGTCAAAAAAAGCATTTTCCCACAAAACATTTGTCATTTAACACTTAACATTTGACGTTTTACATTTAACTCTTACCTTAGAGGTATTTTGACTTTATCATTACCGGTATTAGGACTTTGTACATTGTACTTTTTACATATAATCAATAGAAAAGCCATTGTAGGAGAGCATTTAATATTGGCAGCGATACCCTTCGCACTGTTACGGATTCAGAAAAAAACACTATAAATGGTATATTAACAAGCGATAAAAAGGCCCAAAAGCTTAGTAAACTCATTGTGACATCATCCATCTGCAGGTCGTCGTTTGGTTAAAATTAAATGAAAGCAAGCTGAATGCGAGCGAGTGGGGCTGGAAAAAGACACCAGAAGGCTACGAACCCATCATGACAGACCTTCCTGCAGCCCCTGAAAGCGTTTTAAACTTTGTGAGATGTAAGTGCAAGTCGCTGAAAAATCAGTGCGGTACCATGATATGCAGCTGCAGGAAGAATGGCCTGAAATGCGTCAGCGCGTGTGGGGGCTGTCATGGTGAATCTTGCAGGAATTCTGAGGAAGTTGACCTAGAAGATGACGATCAATGATCATTCTATGAAATCTGACTATATTATCATTTACCTATAAAATCAATGTTTGTTTATATCAGTGTGTTTTATTTGTAAATATTAATTCATTTATTGTGAATAATGATAAACTTCAAGAATGAGGTAAATTTTCAAAATTTTCAAATTTTTGGCGCCATTTTGACTTATGACGTCGTCATTTTTGAATTCCTTGGTATCGATTTCCTATAGGCTCCTAGTACATTATTAACCCCAAATATGAATATTAAGCGAGTTATCATAGCCATTAACGGATTTTAGGGCGATTTCGGGGGTCCAAACAAAAAAGCCCCCTAAAAATTTTCCCCAAAGCCGTTCAACGGGGAAAATTTTTCTGGAAGGCTACTCACCCTACTTGTTCATATGAAATAATAATCGCTTGGGTAGGAATTTTTTCCCACTAAATATGTACCTCGACCAGGCTATATCCCATGTTATTAAACAAATCCAGTCAAAAGCATTGACGCTCGCTTAATTTATTCGCACATTTTATACTTACAGTTATTAGATTGCTTTTGTATTTTGCAGTCCGCTTTATAAGGCCAATCACACACGTTGTGTTTGATGTTAAAATGAAGACCTTCTGGACACATACCAATATATAGATGAGATGGAGAACACGCTATATATCTATCACATAACTCAGGATGGCGGAATAGACCAATTTTACCTCCACAATATGTCGCCCAATCAGTGACAAGATGTGATGACACGTCACTGATGAACAATACTGAAATATAAATAATGGAACATGTCCCAGAACAATGTTGGTATCCAACGATTTGTCAATATCTTAAGATCTAATACAAGTTTAAGCACATGATCTTGTATGACATGCTTTGAAGATGGGGCCATTTAGACTATAAGTATATCACAACGAGCTTAACTGCCTTTTAAAGATACATTAAGTAAGACTTAGATAAAGAACGGACAGTTCTTGCTATAATAGTTCGAAAATCGATAATGTAAAAGTATATATTGAAAATTTCATTAAAAATTGCCAATCGGTGGTCAAACCTGACTGCGCGCACGCTTAGTCAAAATTTGAGGACAATAGTCATGTGTTTGCTACCTTATGTATATTAACCACAACAGTATATCGATATAGGTCCATGTAAATGATGCAACTATTATTACTTTCATAAGTTGTCATAGATTCACAGTACATTGTACGTTCTTGCAAAATTATTAATAAATAACATGCATTACAGTACTCAATTTTCTCTAACCATCGAAATTCTCCAAAACATTCCGAGCAAACTTATCACTGTTTGTAGCTTTGAAAAGATGTGTGCTTTGAGTGTAACCACCATACTGGTATATTCGAGACTTAGCCCCGCTTCTCCATTTTCAAATTAAATAATTAAATGGCCAAACTGTTCTAATCTAATTAAAATCTCGAACATCCAATGCCATCGAGAGTGGATTAAGGTCTTTCCATCTTAATAAATGTCTAATTAACAATTTATATAACATTTAAGGCCTAAAGAAAGACCTGTAATAGGCAAATAGAGCTCTTGAATAATGTATCTTTAAAACAATCTCCATTATTTCCATTTTCAGAAATCAAATTTGTATGTTAAAATCCGAATTCAGATACATTCATTTATGAATCTGCCTGGAGGTGTGGATTTTTCAATTCAAAAAGGTAACATTCACAAGTATACAATTGGATTCTTGGAAATCAATTTAATTTTACTCAATAATCAATGTTCTACTTTACAGTTGGATTAACAACTTGTTTGGGCGGAGTAAAGGATAAAGGAAAGTGACATTATAATACACAGATACCTACCAACAATAGACATTTTAAACCAGAATATCGCCATCTTTATTCCAGTGTTGATTTTAATCCTTATTATATCCCCAGCAATTAAGGCTACGTGAAAGCCACATAAATTATTCTATACCTCCAGGTACATTTTCGATAACTAAACAAAATAATCACTGTGCGTCTCTGATAAACCGATAAAAAAGACAAAATAAAGAATGAGAAAAAAAGGGTAGAAAAAAGGGAGGCAACTAGCACCTTATATCAGATAGAAATACAAGCTATGCACTCACACACTCTTACAGCAACAATAGGCTGTTGGTGACATGTATACTATAATATTTAGTCGCACGTGAGTGGTCAATGGCGAAATAGAAGACTCGGGGAGTCACAATTTGTTGCTTGTCTTTTGATGTGCCTCGACTAACTGGAGAAATAAAGCCGGTGTCAATATCTAATCTTTGTCTAATGATAATCCTTTCATTTAACACCTTGAAAGAGGAATAAAATGTGTCTTATGTAATGTAATGGCGATGGTGTGGTGTCTGAGATTCAGTCATGATGACATTATAAACTTTACCTGTATAAAATGGCCACCATTCAATTCAAGTAAACAACATCTGCGCTATAAAGCTTAGATTAAACCTTTCAACTAAATATACGGTCTCCGCAGATCCCCACAGAGTATACAAATATCATATTTTGCATTCGCTTGAGAACATTTTTCCAGGGCAGTGCAATCGAATTAGCTGGCCAGACTATTCCTTGTATATTACACCGTACAGCAATGGAACGTGTATATAGTCCGGTCTGTGATCTTGACTTGCTGTTTTCCTTTACCCCGATGCAGTCCCAAACCAGAAGTAAATTAAAATCTCTTAAACAACACACATTTTGAAACTAACATACGGTTATTGTTCTATGTACCACGTGTACAATGGACACTGGTGTGAAGTGTATGTTACAGATCAGAATATTAGTGGTTAACTAACATGTTTCGAACTAAAATTTTAAGATGTAACGTGATAAATTCACAGCAATGTTTTAATAATATCTTATATATTCGAGAAGGATTGGACAATGGGAAAAGTCAATGCAAGTTTTTAACTAAAGGTAGAACATAGGCATAACGTATGTACATTGAAATACTCGCTATCTAATGTGCTATTCCTCGATATTGTAGCTATTATCATGAAACAGAAGCTGGCATTAGCTGATACCAACACCCCAAATATCACCACACGAACGTGGTATTTGTAGCCGTTTTTATCGTTATTCTGCCCTTTAGGGCCTGGTTAATCAAAGAAACTTTAGTAACTCTATGACGCGCGTAAATATAACCCCTTTAGAACCTTCCTGGTGTAGTTAATGTCCATTTTACACTAATTTAATCCTTAAAACTAAATTTACTGGCTTATTTGCTAATTTATAATACCATTAGGTTATCAAACCTAAGACTATATTGTTCCACATTGCATTGGGTCCAATGTATTGGGGCCATTACATTCAAATGGGCGATTTGTGGTAAGTAAATGCCATAATGTTGTAATAGCTTAAGACCATTACCTTCATGGATTTGAGTGATCTATCGGGATTGCAAAAAAAAATTTGGGTTAAGCAGGCGTTCTGGATATGAACTGGTTTGGTCATAGTTTTGGTACCCACCATTAGTCACGAAAGACTCCCTCCCCTCCGAACTAATTCTTAGAAAGATGGCCACGCGGTTTCCATATTAGTACATTTTGTTTGAATCCCGGGTAAAGTCTTTGCAGCGACTGTCAAATCAAGTCAGTGGTGCCTCAACTATGTGCGTTCCCATCATTTCAAAGAAATATGCACGCTTAGGGACATCAGCATCAGACATGTCTGGTGTTTCAGAAGATTCTAGGCTATAGATTATAATATACATATATAGGTACTTTGTTGTACTTTATAAAATAGATTTGTATGTAAGATATGTAAACACGGGTGTTGAACAATACGGTTTAACTATTAGAAAACAAAACCTAAAGTCCGTAACGTAGCACGTATATCGAATTTAATAATAGCCAGGAATCCAACTGTACAGATAGTTGGTCAGTAATAGGCTGAAACCTGATAAATTGTTTTTTTTTTTGTTTTTTTTTTTATTTATCTTGAAGAAAAACAGCAGAAGTCTCGGATTTTGTTCTTTTCATTATCTACTGGATTCATGTTGGATACACTTTTCAGGCTGAAAACAGACAAGATTAAGTTAATCGTATTTTGTATGCCATGGTGTCACCGAGATCAGTTACAAAATCACTCGGAGAAAGTACCCAATTCACCTCTCACTAAAACAGATTTAGAACAGCAAAATATAATATAGAGTGTATTCTTTCAAAATTTTACACAGATAAAGTCAATGTTGGCATATAACCAAAATATGTGGTATATTTAACTGTATTTACACAGAAAGCCAAAATTTAAGCTAAAATTAGTAAATAAACTCACTTCCGTTTAATCTTTCGAAGCACAAATTTAATTTAAGAGAGCTTACCCCAGTATCCTATTCAACACCACATTTTGGCCACATTTGTTTCTTTAAACAAAGCAGGAGCAAACTACTTGCTAAAGCTTCAATTTTAGACGGGCATGATCAGCCTTACCTGATAATAGTTTGCTACATCCTCTTTGTTCAGGATACCTATGACAGCACTCTTTAGTTACTGCATACTGATATTTCTGCCATCTGTATTTAACACAGACATATACAATACAATCTCTAATCATCTGCTCTTTCTCAGATTTACATTCATATATTGGTTCTCTTGCAGCAGCAATAATTGCTGGTGCCTTAGTCGCTGTTGTTGTTGTAGTTGTTGTAGTTGTTAGGGGGATTGTAGTAGTACTAGTATCAAAAACACCTACAAATAAAGCGCATACATACAAGTTTATTGCTTGAAATAGTCATGTTAGGACAGCATCCTGTTAAATATCTTTGAGCCTACTATGTAGTACCATGGATTTTTCTGTCAGACGTGGAGAGCGGGGGACGTGCTAAAAGCGGTCGCCACCTCCGGCGTATGACCCATGCATCTTTTCTTACTACATATTAGTAGCCTTGTGATCGTCTAGTATTTTCACTTGTCGTTTTTGCTTCCCCTTCACGTTGCGTATTTACTTCTTACTGTTTGTCTTACCAGGAATAACAATGCACCAGTTTGTTTTTACATTATAAATCGCTACATCTTTTCCCTTCTGGAATTAAGCTGGTGTCAGTGTCAGACGAAGTCTCACAAATATGATAGTTTTGTAGCTTTGGGTTTTAGACCTTCAATTATCTAATTGGTCAAACATGATGTAAATAATTATAGAGATTGCTTTATAAAGCCAAATGATGCAATCGTAACTTTCCGATAACGTGTTAAACATCAAATTCGCATTTCCACGGAACCAGCTAATGTTTATCAAATTATAACTCTTTTTTATATAACAATCTGTCATTCCTTCACTAATTTGACTTAAGTACATATTAAACAATATGTTTGAATCCCACAACTTTCCAAAGACATTAATTAATAGAATATAATGCCATCATTTTTCTCTATTCCTTGTCTATAAATTTGAAAACAATGTCGCAACGACAACATTTCTACAACTATAGTACAATTATTTGTGTAAAACGGCGAAGGTAATTTTACGAGGATCGTTCCGCTTAGGCCTACTGTTCCAATTCCAAAGAGATCGTTTACGTACACAGGGTTGTCACCCCTTGCATACTTTAACTGCTTTATTCAGTGCCTTTGCTTAGTTATTTGTCTTTATAATTAAAGAAATTTTAAAATACATTTTTTATACTTTTAACACTTTATCTAAATAACTATTTTATTAAATCAATTTATATGTAAAGATGTTATGTTTATTTCACCTTCAACGCACCTTTTTATCGAAAAAACATATACATGTATTATATCTTGGAAAAATCATAATTCTACCCTCTCTATTTGCTGAAATATGAACTGGAATTTACACAGGTGTATGGAAGCGAAGGTAAGTGATTTCCTGTCGACCCCGGGCATATGCCCCCCCCCCTTCATGTGAGAGCCCTGTACGTACATTGCCGATATGTACACTAAACAATGTCCTTTCCTAACCACACAAGTTTAAGTATATCTTATAGGGCACTCAAAACATTACATAAAGGCTCCAAAACATTAAATTGGGCCTGCTGGTATTTATCAATATCAGTCTACAAATTATTTTAATGCGATGCACATATTAATAGTATTTTAGACTTACCAGGAAATAATGTGAAGCATTTAGGATGTAGCTGTTGCTGACAACATGGTATTGTTGCAGTGAATTCAAATCTTTGCCACATTCCTCCAGAACAGGTATATATGTAACAATTCTCTATTTTGCCATCACCGGAAGAACACTGTGAAGTGGTTGTAGGTGGTGGTGGTGGTGATGTTGGGGGAGGGGTTGTCGATCCAAATAATTCTATAAAAAGAGTAAAAATTGCTGGTGAGCCACAACACACACACAAATATACAAAAGGAAAACAAAATATCAAATAAACCCACGGACACCCTTATTTTGTAACATTAAGTGCTCGGTCAAGCGCCCAAGAGTGGCAATACAAATTGGCCCCTTACCATAGAACTGCCCTAATAAAAACTATTTACAGCTAGATTCAACCATAGCGGTTATGTAAATTGGTTCCATTTCAGATGTCAATAAGGGTTTCGTTTTATTTTTGATGCAACGTTTCAACCACAACTAACAAATGTTCTTTGAATCCAGTTTTCAGATCAAGTGAAAATGAAAGTTTGTTTAGCGGTTACAGCGATTTATCGTTTGATTGGTCGATATAACAGCACATGTCGACGATAGAAACTTTGTTAGTGTAAACTAAAAATCAGAAATAAGATAAAAAAAACAAAATATTACTGTAATTGAGAGAAGTAAGACCCATCTAAAAAGAGCCAGAACTAGAGATAGTATTTCTCTACATAATGAATCAGTTAAAACCGTAGCTAATTATAAAATCAGAGGTATTTTATAATATAAATAAATACTCACCGGGGAAAATCATTATACAACGAGGAAAATCTGGTTTTGTATTACAACATTCTACAGTGGCTATAAATTCGAATTGTTCCCACCTTCCTTCATAACAGAAATATGCGAAACAATTCTCCGATTTACTCTCACCAGAAATACATTCTGAAGTAGTTGTGGGAGGACCTGGGGTTGTTGGCGGAACAGGTGTTGTTGGTGGACTTGGTGTTGTTGGAGGAAGTGTGAGTGATGCACCTTTAATAAAAGTACATACAAATCTATAGAAAGCCAAGATCATTGACAGATAAGACAGTGTCATAAATTTTTTTTTTTTCTTATTCATCACCATTATATTACAAATATATTTATATGCTATATCAAGTGAGAAAGCAAATAGGGGAGGGGGATGAGTTGGGGTGGGGCTGGGGATTACAACGTCTGGTTCCTCAACGAACTCCTCTGACCAGCAACAACGTTTGACAAGGGCAAGCGATCACACCTACCTGACACACATGTTGCGTTTTGCATCAAAACTATTCAATTTTGTTTCCAAACGATCGAATGGGTTCCAACTTAGTGCTTAGTTCCTTTCTTTTCGAAATTGTATAATCTGGCTACTGACATAGCTGTCTTTGGCCTTTGTTCAGCTGAATGTGAAAGCAGTATCCCAGTTCTCAAACGAGTTCACAGACCAACGCACATCAGGATGCTACAACCACGAAAGGACAAGTGAACATTATGCTGTTGGTATTTGGATATGAAATTTCCGTGCACCCCTGTCTGCTGCTAATTTAAGTGACAGATCTTGTTGTTATGTGATAGAATTTTGCATATATAATTTTGCAGTAATTTTCTATTCAAAGTACTATACAAGGATGCAGGAAATGACGTTTGCGGCGGTCTAATTTTCAAAATGGTGTTGCCCCGGTGCCCGAGACTCAACGGAACAATAAGCGTGTTGCTCTTCGGGCTTGCCTTCTCATTCCAATTCTTGATTCTGGCTTGGGGCCTGGGGGGTTTATAGATAGATCAAAGGACGATATATTGGTTTGATTGATAATTCTGCGTTTTAATACCTGTTTAAAGTACATAAGTAAGAAGACGACCCAATGACAAGACTTGCATAATATTAAGTAAAATTAAGTCGGTAAAATTTAAAATGCGGAATATATGATTAGGAAGCGTGATCTCACCAAAGCAACAATTTAATTTGAACCTATATAATATCCCCGCCTATGTGTAAATATATTTCAATTTGATATAATCAACCATAATACATACATTTTAACATACATGTGAACTACATTTTAAGATATTTCTTTTAGAGAGAAAACATTAAAGAAATTCACAAAACATACCGGTGAGAGTACTTATTACAGAGACAGCTAGTAATAAAACAATTACTTCCATAATGAGTGTGTGGCGGTTCTCTTTAGAAAAATCCACAGGATGAACCGCAGGTAAAAGAATTTATACGTACAGCAAGTTAAATCTGGAAAGGCTTAAACGTGAGAAACGTCATATGTTGGCTAAGGTCATACGGCACAATATTATCAGCTGTTACTATGATCTTATGGGACATTGTACTGGCTGACAATTTATGGATTAAAAATCGATGGCAGTGGGTCTTTAATCGCATTTGAAAGTTGAGATTAAATCTTAAAATTTAACATAAAAACATAGCCACGTAAAGCGTGTAAATGCGCCAACACAGCATCTATATGTCTCGAAAGCAGGTTATCTTCTGAAAGAGGCTACAGTTTTTACTGGGAAGCATGGGTACAATGAGTGGATGACCTCTATCGCATTTACCAGTTCCCCGTCCATCCCTTGCAAAATGCGGACGTATCTCGCATGACAACCGCTTATTGGTTTCGCGGTCTCAAGGCTGAAACACCATCTCGTGTGACCGATCTCCGTATGCACATAAGTGGCGCACAATATCTATTACTCGTGATAAAATTATCCGTGTGGCAGTTGCATAAGGGAGTCGTAATTTATTGAAATGAATCACAAGTCTGATTTATTTTTCAATTAAAAAATTAACCAATTACTTAAAACGTTCCAGACTGACATCGATCCATTAGCGAAATTATGCATTCAGTGAGTCCGATACAGTATAGAACTTGATTATGAAATCTATATATTGATATACGTGTCATTTTCAATAATTTAGGTTTAATTAATTATATAATTATCAATTACTGAAAACATTCCAGGAGCCAGTTGCGAAATGGACTTTAAGGGTCCTATTCTATTTAAAAAAACATTATTACAGACGCATATTTTAACATATTTGTGCCATTTTAAACAAATGGTGGTGGGGGGTAATTAATTATTTAATTGTTAATTTGCTAATTGATAAAAAAACCTCTCCAAGCTAAGATGAATCCAGTAGCGAAAAATAAATTCATATCAAATTGTCAAGAGAAAGAAACTTATCTCAAAAAATTTGAGTCCCTTGCTTTAGTCGGCGTACTAAATTGTTGATGGACGGACGGGAGACGGACAGTTTGGTTACATAATACGCCCACACTGAAATGTAGGCAACGAAAATGTAGTTTGAGATCTTTTTGATTTAATTAGTTAATTATATTTTTACGAATTTGGAAAGAAATCAACGCGAAAATGGATTTCGTGAATTTGGACTCCTTTTGACAGTCTTCATGTACAATACCTTTAATCAGGCATTTCAAGTACAGTTAACTTGCGGAACTTGAATATGTCAGAAAAAAGACACTGTTTTAAGACGGGAGAAAACATCCTGTTTGTGAATGATACCCAGCAAGTAACAATTTTTAAATTAACATAACCTACCTTTTTCATATAATATATATTAAGATGCTCTGTATATATTAATTTTCTAAGCCTTTTCTATCGAAATAAGCGTCATTTTATTGATCTCTTACAATCTGTTTCACATTCCATTTGCTATTCACGCACAAAATACATGTTCAATATTATTTTTATCCCGTCACCTCAGTTTTTTCAAAAATTGTGTCACATGTCACACCAATAAATAAATCAACAACTGGTAGTTTTGTGCTCCAAGAGAAAAGATCGCCGAAATCTGGTGGGTCAACGCGGAAAAAAGAGAAAGGGTCAGTGCCTGTAACAAAAGGTAGACTTTTATCTCAGATAACAAACTGATATAAATTCATTGTACATGTTCAATATTATTTTTATCCCGTCACCTCAGTTTTTTCAAAAATTGTGTCACATGTCACACCAATAAATAAATCAACAACTGGTAGTTTTGTGCTCCAAGAGAAAAGATCGCCGAAAGCTGGTGGGTCAACGCGGAAAAAAGAGAAAGGGTCAGTGCCTGTAACAAAAGGTAGACTTTTATCTCAGATAACAAACCGATATAATTTCATTGTAACCAGATCCTTACTTTGTTTAAGCATCGACATAACCACGGTTTTCCAAAGGAAGAAGAATCTTCGAGCTTTCAGTACCGATTAATATAGTCCTGGGGCCTGTTTCACGAAATGTTAACTAAGATAAAAATCCAAATTTTAGTAATTTGATTGGATAATATTAGATTGATTTTAGTGCTTAGCCAATCAAAATTGAAGTATCTACTAAAATTTGGATTTTATCTTTAGTTAAGATTTCGAAAAACAGGGCCCAGATCTCTATAATTTAAGATCGGACCACTCCTAGGTTATCAATATACGAAGACGAAAAACCGAACATTTTACAAGGCACCCGTTATATCTGAACGGATAATATACAGAGTGTCGCATTTCTACACCAAATGCGTATTCAAAGTTTCTCATGTGAAAGTGAAATTCAGAATACTAAACATCAAGCTTACCAATATTACATATTTACACCAGTTTTATCCGCGTTTATTAGTTTATACAGAAATAACGCCCCGTTAAATGAGATGAAAGGTAATAGAAGGATTAGGGAGGAACTTATGCGAGAAATCTATAAGCAACAATCTTGAAGCGAAATATTTTTAATCTTTAAGATCGATAGTATAATCTTTTTAGTAATAGATTATATTTGAAACTAGATTTAACTGCAACAGCTGCAAATGACGTATCACAGTACAACGATTTGAGGCAACTGGCAAATGAAGACTAACTTAACCGAAACATTTCAAAACAGAATACCAACGCAAGACACGGTTGCCCATGGCGAACCTAATAATATAGGCGTACTTCTATTATTTGTCAATCTTGAGTGATTAATCCTGTGATATAATTTGATGAATGAAGAAAACGAAATGAAAGGAAATCTATAGTTTAATAAGCATTATGGAAGATTTAGATAAAGATAAGGGTTGGACATTATTGCTATAATAGTTCCAAAATATTGAAAATTTCATTCAAAATACTTTATCTGGGCGAAGTTATGATTATTTGTAGAAGAGATCAAACAGATAGTTTAATATCGTAGCTACAGTACTTGACAACTGAGGCTAGGTCTCGGTTATCCTTGCGGATTTCGACCATCCTAAATGTTTATTCTGCTCTTGACTAAGTTGGATTCCTACATAGTTAAATTTTTGCCCCCCTGCTTCGATTACGTTACACGTATTAAAGGGCGGATGACTCTATTTGTTTTTTTGAACCATAATTGGGTCTAAAAGCACATTTTAATGTACTATGTGTGCATATAAATTGATTTATAAAAGTATTCAACATTTTAAAAAAATATTGTAATTTCTAATCCGTTATTTTTGGGGAAATACGCGAACAGTCCAGACTGAACTACAATCGTTTACGCTTTATTAGCCCATTCTTCACGGGGTTTTTTTTTCAAAAAAAATTATTATCTTATCATTACTATTTACTGCCGCATTGTAATTTAGGATATGTTTTTCTTTGTTCATTGGTTTTGCGCCCGAAAGGATATGGTACACAACTCGTGTACCATATGTTAAAACGTTTGTTGTCTTAAATATTGGAAATTAGGATCCCACATTTTCACAGCAACATAACAACATCAATATGGATTGAAATGGACCAATATTGAATTCTAATTTGTGTTTTTATTTTTGAATATTTTGGAAGATATTGAGTTAGAGACTTAGCTTCCTTAATGATGTTTCGTAAAATAAAAGAGAAAAATTCAAATCATTAAAACCATTTTCTAAAAATATGTACAAGTATAGGTACAACAGTTATACGTCTGTACTTTTTATAAACAATTTTAATGCCACCGATATTTACATTAAATTATTAAATGGCGATTATATTTTAATCCATTCAAAATCAGGGCCATCGATTCGATTGTTATGTTAGTAAATGTCTGATAAATAAATAACATTTGACGTAAAAACCAAATCCTGTAATAGGCAGATTTACTGCAATAGACAGATTTAGCTCTTTAATGAAAGAATAAAATCATGAAGGAAGACAAAGTCTTGTTTCTTCTCGTGTCTAAAATAAGGTTGTTTTAACTTTTTAAAAGAGAGAGAGAGAGAAATGGGGTTTAACGTCCACTCGACACAACTAGGTCATTTCGGGACCAACATATGGTTTAATTTTATTTCAATAATTCGCTTGCGCATAGGGGTCTTTAGCAGTGGGAGGAAACCGGAGGACCCGGAGAAAACCCACGAGGTTGGACAGGCGACCCTACTCCTTGTCACGTACAACCGGGGATTCGAAACCACGCCAGTCGACTCAATGACAGACTTTATGATACAGCGCGCGCACGCTAACCATTCAGCCATCCAACCCCCCTTTAAAAGAAATCAACCACATTTTTACGGGAAATTATTCATTGTAACAATGTTAAGTGTTTCTAAGCTAATTCGATTTCCCTACCCCATAACGATATTGAAAATGATGAAATTTAAAGATACATTATGGGATATTAGATAAAGAGCTGGCAGTTCTCACTATACTAGTTAAAAACTAGATAATGTAAAGGGAATTTGCTGAAATTTCAGTCAAAGTGATCCACTCTGATCCGAGAATTTAGCGATTGAATTTTCGACCTAGCCTCGATCATCTTTACTAAAGTCGATACGATAAAAACATAGTCTCGATTATCCATTTCATGATTTAATCCCGAATGAAAGTTGAGCAGCAAATCGGATCCTAATCCAGTAAATATCACAGGCTGGCAATGAAATCGAGAGTTGATTATGGTCTGGATAAGTTAATCAATGTCTAATTAATAATTTAGATAACAGTTCAGGCCTAAAAAAAGACCTGCAATAGGCAGATTTAGCTCTTGCATAATGTTTGTTTAAAGCAAGATAACATAATCATTTATTGGACACTGCACAGTTATCTGTATTATATCTACATGAACACGAGTCATAAATTATCAATATGTCTATCATAAAATCATTTTTTAAAAAAGATGTGTGATAAAATAATCAGAGGTCACTGGAAGAATGCATTATTGAAAAGGATAGACAGGGCCGTTTTAATATTATTAAATTCATCAGAGTTTTAACATTTGCAATGACACTATACAATCATGTTGTATAATGCAAACCATGAGATTACTGTGTCAAATTTGCATATTTTAAGCATATTTTAAATTCATTAAACTAATTCTTTATATTTGAACTACTTGCAACTAAACAGAATTTTAATGTCCGTGACCTACAAAATATGTATTTGCGTTTGTGCACCATTTTTGAAGGCCTCTGATTTTATCTCACAAAAAGTGCTCCTAAAATATGTTCTGTCATTCTTTAAAATAAATGGTAAATTTAAGCAAAAAAAAAAAAATAAAATAAATAAACAATAGACGTGGTGGGGCAGCTTTTCAAAGCCGATGTTAAGCTTAGCTCTCAGGACTGCGTCATAGATTCTGCTTAACCCACTCGCGCCACCTACCTGAGTCAATGCATTGCGTGAGATCAAGGTAGGGGCAGTTGCGTGATGTAAAGGTGGCGCAGTAGTGGCGAAAAAATCGTGTCGGGTTTTTTCAAAATGTTCTATATTTAGCCAAAATCGTCGTTACCACCAAGAGTAACGCAACAGAAATATATAAAATTTATAGATATGTGAGGAACACATGTTGTGAGATGTGACGCAGGTTTGCGCAGCTTTTTGCTGCAACTGCCGGCGGTGATGCAGGGATGACGCGAGTTTGACCCTATGGTTGCGTCATCTGACTAAAATTTATGGTGGCTGATTGGTATCATGGAAAGCTTTGGGCAGAGATAACTGACGAACGGTTGTTGAGCACTGAATATCGATAGAGTGCATCCAATTTTCGTAAAATCAGGGACAATAATCCGGGAATAACGTTCCGACGTGTGTCGTAGATATTTGGGAAATAAACATATATTTTAAGCTACTCCAAATTGGATAACAATTGTGACCTGTAGAGTTCCCACGAACAAAGGTGAACAGACGTCATGATACGACAGAGACAACGGCACATGAGAATGCGGGCGAAAAAAAAGAGCATAAGAATGAATAAAGAAGTTGTTTTTATGTATCGGATTGTTATTTGTTAATATCTGTAATTGTTAAAAATGAATAAAGGAGTTCTTTTTTATGTGCCGGTATCATCTTGTGTAAATATTTGTAATTAATATTGTTCTAACAAGAAAAGAGCCCTGTTCCTAACAGGTGCGTAAAAGAACCTGTTATGTATATGTGAAAGAGAACCATGTGCGTAGTATGTACGTAAAACAACCCCTGCCAGTTCAAAATTAAAGAAGCATGGACGCTGTCAGGGCAAATAAATTCTCCTTCTTTGTATTTTACAAACTGTCATAGAGAAAAGATAATTTTATCCTAACGAAATACTGAAGTATTGAGTGTGTTGAAAAGATATGTTAAACCCAAATTTATAAATATATATGTTTATGTTTTGCGATTATATAGAATTTATTAGCTCCATAATATTGTTATTCATAATAAATTGCATTTTCATTGTTACCTTTTCTTTATTTTTTTTAAATTTATAATATAGCATATCAATGTTTCTACGCGGTTTAACGTCCTACTTTTCTGCAGCAATCGGAACATTGAAGAATGGCATGAACAGTGGCGTTTGTTCATCGAATTCCAGCTGTGGCGGGTTCTTTTATGTGCACGCGGGGGCTGGTGTTTTTTGACTATCTACACAGCATACACTGTTCTTGCCAGGCTCCCGTCCTGCACTACCGACAGGGACAACCCACGCTACAAAATTCCAGGGAACTTTCTTGACCAACACCAGAACCAGTGGACATAATCCTAATATTGCTATACCATTGTCACGACATTTTAACAGGACAGTACGCGAAATTACATTTTTAAAATGACGTGATGCCCAGTTCGGAGCAAAACAGTAGGACGTTAAACCCCATTTCTTTTCATTTCAGCCACCATACCATTTGGTGTCGATGTTCGTAAATTATTGTTCACCAAACAATCTTGCAGAAAAAAAAAATGAAATGAAATCGGGTTTAACGTCCTACTGTTCTGCTCCTGACTGGGCTAATGAAATCGGGCATACGCCATACAGTGTGCCACGAGGAAAATATTCTACGGACAGCGGCGCTACGGCCTACTCTTATAATTTTATATCGAATTCCAATTGCCAAGGGATCTTTTACGTGCACGCCAATGTACACGGGACATCGTTTTTTCGTCTCATCCGAACGACTAGACATCTGTCCCTGTCAGGTCTCCCGTCCTGCACCAATGACAAGGGGAAACCACGCCGGAAAATGCTAAGTACATTATCGGCCAACACAGGGAGCGAAATCACGACCTCAAGTCTAGCGAGCCAGCGTCTTACTCACTTAGTCCTGCAGAAAAAAAGACGGAGAAATGAAATCAGCTATAATAGATTAGTTGACTGATTTTTATTTTCAGGATTGATTGAATTGTTTATATTTTCGGCCAAAATGATCTTTGGTATGATTACTTTTTACTGTGTATAGTCCTCAAACTCTCTCCATGCGGGTGTTCGATCCCTGCATTGGCCGAGAAGTTCATCTGGATTTTCCGACGTGGTTTCCCCTTGTCAGTGGTGCAGAACGGAGGGCCTGACAAGGACAGCTGTCTAGTCCTTCGGATGAGACGAAAAACCGAGGTCCCGTGTATACATTGGAATGTACGTAAAAGATCCCTTGACAGTTGGAATTCGATATAAGAGTAGGCGATAGTGCAGCTGCCCGGGCAAAATTTCCCTCATGGCACACTGTATGGCGTATGCCCGTCTTCATTAGCCCAGTATAGGAGCAGAACAGTAGGACGTTAAACCCCATTTCATTTAATTTTCATTTCATTTTCTCTCCATGCGTGACTTGACTATGAATCTATACGAACAGTTCAATAGATGTGTACTTTAAAATTAGCATTCATCTCATGACCCCCTTTCTTTCATCCACTGACCTTGGTTATACTGGTTCATCAAGAGACTAGTCTATCAAATAAATACATGCTATTTTCCTCAAGATCTATTTATAGATCGGTAGTTGTTTTTGATCGGCCACTTGCCACCCACAGCGAACAAATGGATTCTTCCAAAAGGTTTTACAGGGTTAAAAAGTATGTTCTTCTGCTCGGAGGTTGATAGCATAAAATAACGAACATCAGAGTAATTTATTTTAAAGGATAATTCCATAAAATCAAAATGGCTTTAGAAGAAATTAAGACGAAATTTGGTGGAAAATGGAAGCTAGACCGAAGTGAAAACTTTGAAGAATTTTTGAAGGAAATGGGTAGGGACATATTTGTTTGTATATCGGATTGAGTACACCATATATTAAACATATTTGTTGTTTATATTTGAACTGGGAAACGACCCGATTTGACAGCTCTTAAACACTAAGTACGATTTAGTGATGCTGTTGTCGTTGAGAACCTGAATAACACATTTTATATATTATGGCTGCCTCATGAAAACTGTGTCAAGTATAATGTATTACATGTTACGTAAATGTAAAGTCAAATTGACACAGGCCGGTGTTGTGGATCGAAATGAAATGAAATGAGTGTAACGTCCTACGGTTCTGCTCCGAACTGGGCTAATGAAGACGGGCATACGCCATACAGTGTGCTATGAGGGAAATTTTGCCCGGACAGCGGCACTATACGGTCTACTCTTATATCGAATTCCAACTGTCAAGGGATCTTTTACGTGCACGCCAATGTGTACACTTGACCTCAGTTTTTCGTCCCATCCGAACCACTAGACAGCTGTACGCCCTTGTCAGGCCCTCCGCTCTGCATCACTGACAAGGGCGCCGGAAAATCCAGATGAACTTTCTCGGCCAATGCAGGGATCGAACACCCGACCTTATACCCACTTAGCCACCGTGACCCCCCGTTATGGATCGAGACGAATACTCCTTATCTTGTCAATGCACAGAGATGAAAACCGTTCGCACACAATGTCGTGCACGCTTACAGAATCCTTGGTAGTAGGGTTTCAAAAAATGGTCCAACAAGCTTCTATCTGATCCAGGAGGGGGTTCCGACCACCTCTCTCCGTAAATAACATCATACAAATTCACTTATTATTTTGTTTCTGTAAAATATTTCAATTTGAAATTCTTGTTGCTTTCCGTATAGTCAGATTGTAGCTTATGAAATTTAATGTTATATACGAATCCAAATGTGCACCACAAATCACCACACTGACACCCCGATTTATTTTTCAAAATTTTCTTTGAGGTGCCACTCCCCCTCCCGGGACCCATCCTAACCAAATATCCTGCCTCGACACTAATTGCGCACGATACCATGAAAGGTAAATTACAATATTTTATTCTCAAATTGAATGAAATAATATGTTAATTTGGCAAGCCATATTATAGTGATTCAGGAAAACATGAATTGTGGCCACATCATCATAACTCTGTAATAACACTGTTAGGGATTACGTGAAGGATGTCACGTCTCGCCACGTATCAGTAGCTTATCCATTAAGTACATTAATTTTTATCTAGGATTCAACAAAATATAAGTATATATAGGTGACATCCTATTTTGAAAATACACTCGTCAGGGAAAAACAACTTCACACCAAACTAAATATCTGATACACTTCCATAATAATGCAGTACTTGATTTTTTAAATTGACGCAATGCTATCGTAGTACGCTCAATCTCTATTGTTGCAATTAAGCACATTTGATTAGTCTAGTTGCCGAGAAAAGGGTCATTTTTATACAAGGTTCCCTGTCTACCCTTATTCAAGAAAATGTGATATCACCTGGCGTTCGATTCCTGTGGGTAAGCGAACCTTGGCAATAAGCCCACAACACCCCTTGTGGCTAATATATGCTCCGACGTTCAAATTTACACGTTATCATAGATAACAAACCTCATCTCTCCACCCTCCGTGTTTCGAGATAAAAGATGGGCCTATATAGTTCTACATTGCAAAGCCCAACTTGAAATACATCGGGTTTCATTAAGCGCAATTGACAACATTTTTTTTATCAAAACAACGATTGATTATTGTTATTTATAACATTTCTGCCACATCCAACTACAATTACGCATATAATCCTACCTGAAATGTGTAGAAATCATCGCATTTTAAATCGAGCCGTTGTAAGCCGTTACTAGGAATCTATCTTGAAAAGCTGTCTGTCATTAAAAGAAGCCATTCGACACACCTCGGTTAATCCCGATTCCATACAACCCTGCAATGAAAGCTCTACGCATTCTTCGAACGATGCCATTTTGAGTATTTCTTTCTAAGTAAACCGGTAGCCGCATCACAATTGTGTAGGTGTAGCTACATATTACCATTGACCGTATTTACGGTCTATGATATCACTTACCTTCGCACAGCCGAGGATAGATGTAGGGTACATGATGTTGTTCAGATGTCGAGGTTTTCCGAATGAAAAGAAGCGTGTAGAATGGCGTTTTCAAGTCGGATACAAACGACGCTTCATTAATTTAAACGCCAATATTTGGAAAAGGCGATAGCTGTGTCATTACATTGGCCCCTGTAAGTTTAATTAGTCATAATGATATAAAATTATTTTATTTTTAAGATGTTACATGTATTAATAAAAAAGAAATGAGTTTGCCACGTTAAAGCGGAAATTTCAAGTTTTTAAGTTATATTTTTAAAATTTATTAAAAAAAAGCCTTAAAATAGATGGTATCCATAAACAGTCCTACCTTGTTAAAGAATAATCCTATTATTCCTATAATTCACTATTGCCAGCTGAGAAATTGGCAAAAATATAATTTTCAACTTCAAATTCCAACGTTGAGGAAATGGCTGACCATTGTTTTCAATAGGAAAATAAGGGAGGTAATTGTGTTGTTATTTCCTGTGTAAATGAGTTTTAAGTGTGAGAATGACACCTATGATCGTATAATAGTGAGTTGATAACCTATTGAGCAAAAGACATATAGAAATAATTATGTTTTGACTTTCTTAGAAAATATGAAATTCTCGCTTTAAACTGAAGGCTCCCAATCGTAGCTAAAACAAACACATCAGTATATCTCAACGTTTTTTGCTACCTTCTCGTAGCTAACGTTAATATCATAGAAACGGAATAATAAGTAAATTTCATATAGATATATTTGAGGGTTCCCAGGGCCTTAAGGCGCGCTCCCCAACATAGATCCCCTCTCTCTCTCTCTCTCTCTCTCTCTCTCTCACTCCCATATATTATGCTTATGGTTCAGAAAAATTACTCGTGTAGACATACATACGACAACGAACGGTCCTAATAAAGGCTCCTTTTAAATCATACCCTCTAGCTGTATACATGACTTAAATAGTAATATTTTAATATTTAATTCTACAGGAGTGAACTTTGCAATTCGTAAAATGGCGGGGCTTTCTAAACCAGAACAGGAAGTACGCGTAGAAGATGGTTCCGTGGTTATTTGTATAAAAGCCGGATTCTGGAATAAAGAGTCAAAAATAAAATTGGAAGAAGAGTATGAAGAAGATAGAGACGGTGTCAAAATGAAGGTGAGTAACGGTTGGTCATCCAGGAGAGAGTCTATTACTTATCTATTTATATCTGGACTAGCTGTCAGAAGATAATACGCGTTAATCGGTTTCACAATGCGTCTCTATGCCTGACTTAAAGTAGCTAAGTCTCTAACTCAGTATCATCCAAAATCTTCAACATTCAAATCGCGAATTATTTGTCAATTTAAATCAACATCGATTTTGTGATCTTACCGGTAAAAGATGGGCTTCTGATATCTAATATTTAAGACAAAATAAACATTTTACCATTGGTACACGAATCGTGTACCATAATGCGTTTCAGCGCCATTTGTATCAAGGAACTCGGAAAACCAGGCTAAGCAGTCATGTCAAACGGTGACATCATATTCTTATCTGGAGAGCATGCACAATAAATACTATCGGTGTAGACTGGAATAACCAGACACTAGAGATTTCAATTCGATTGAGACTTCTGGCGTATTTCGCCGAACATAACTGATTAGAAATTACAGTAAAAACAGAAACTATTGAATGTAAATCAGTTTATATACATTCATATTATAATTTATCATTACCTCTGACATTTTTTTGACAGTGCTTTGCTAAATATGAGAATGGTCAACTGATCGTGGATGGTAAACCTATAGACAAAACAGATTTCAAACCACAACACGTAGTCAGGGAAATTATTAATGATGAAATGGTTATGGTAAGCAATGATCGAAGTAGCTTATAAATATTTATTCATTTTCTTCGTTTAATCATACAATTATCATATTCTCTCCGTAGCTACAACACCATAAATCCAGATCCAAAATATGGCTTCATATAGTAGTAGGTATCATTCACCATAGCAAATATGCCATGTATACTTTCTACCGGGATTCAGTATAACACACTAGCTATTCAGTCACACAATATTTACCGGTTCATCCTCTCACACTCAGCGTATTTGAAAATATATTATGTATGTATATACAACTTGTTCAACACATATGGAATGAAATGGGATTTAACATCCTACTTTTCTGCACCAACTGGGCTAATGAAGGTGGGCTTGCACCATAAAATGGGCTGTATAATAAGAGAAATTTTGCCCGGATAGCGGCACTGCATTCTACTCTTATTTCGATTTCGGGGGTTGGATGGCGAAATGGTTGTATAATAAGGTCTGTCAATGAGTCAACTAGTTGGTTTCGATTCCCCGGTTGTATGTGACAAGGAGTATGGTCGCCTGTCTAACCTCGTAGGTCTTCTCCGGGTCCTCCGGTTTCCTCCCACTGCTAAAGACCCCTATGCGCAAGCGAATTATTGAAATAAAATTGAACAATATGTTACTACCGAAATGACCTAGTATGTGTCAAGGGGTCGTTAAACCCCATCTCTCAGGTTTCTGTCTCATCCGAACGACTAGACACTGTCATTGTCGGGACGCACACCAACGCGTGAACAGATAGCGACCTTTACAGTACTGAATACTTGGGAAACAACATAGTTTTGCAATAATGATTAGATTGGTCACTGGTTTCTGACATACATTAATATATATTGTTACAGTTTTATATTTGGCTTTACATTAACACTCCACATTTCCCACATGTGAGCCAAGTTGGCGTAAAGTATTTAAGGTGTTGTAAATACCTTTACATTATCTAGAAGTAAGAATATCAACTGGCCTGAAACGTGTTCCATTAACACTTATCCACTACATGTACTGTCTAAATACTACAAACAATTTCTAGCCTTAAATTTAGCCACCCTTGTAAGTTAAGAGAGCTAACATCAAATTTTCCTGACGGTTAAAACTCCAACCCTCGTTCAATTTGGGGAGTAATGAAGGTAGTGACAGTAGGGGACAGGCAATGCTGGCTACTTTTTCTCTATATAAAAGGTTTTTCTCTATAAGAAAAAATCTACCATAGCACACTGTATGACTAATGATCGGCTTCATTAGACCGGTTGGTGCAGAAAACTAATTCATTTCACTTCTGGGAGCCGCGGGAGGAGGGGGGGGGGGGCGGCGGTAGGTAATGCGCTTAATCGCTTGCCAGAATACCACGGATTCTATACGGAGAATGTTCCTGTTGATTTTCTAGCGTAATTCCCACATGTCAGTGGTAGAGGCCTGACAAGCAAAAGCGTTTATTCCTTCGAATGGGACAGAGGAACATTTGTTAGTTGAAATTAAAAATTAGAGTATGCCTCAGTGCCGCTGTCCGGGGAAAAAGTCAAGACCCAAAATCAACAAAAATGACCATGCAAAAGGGAATATTAGGGAGAGAGCTATAATTGCTTTAAATAATCTGCAAATTGTGATAATTTTGGTGGTCTGCATCCTAGTCTAAAACGGAGTTGTCACCCTTTGTCATTATTCCCGCACCACAAGATAACTAAACAGATTTGTTTTGTATTTTTCAGAGGATCGTAGTAGGAGATAACTACTTGACATGTACAAGAGTTTTCAAGAGATTACCTCAATAGAACAATAGTAAATGTTACAGTTCTTGCATATTTTACGTTTTAATGACAATCGGTTTACTTTTATCGAACCAACCTGAAGGGAAGGGTGTTGTTAGGCCTATATTATCTTTTACCCTAGATGCCGACGAGCAATCAAAATAAGCAAAAGCACCAAAACCTTCCAGAATAAAAAGGGTATATTATGGGAAATGAACAGGTAGTCTTATTTCCTGACTAATTTTCTAAATCGTTTCAATTTTCACACGACAAGAAATGGAGCTATTGATAAGTTGGTTGGTATGGGTTGGGCTATATGTCGCTTCGGTCTTCCTTCATTTATATTTACTTTCGTTAATGTTACGTGAGGTTTTGTTACTTATTCATCTTTTTATCATATTAATATTCTCTTAGAATACAGTATTCGATTTTTGTTGAGTCTTTAGCTGTAACTGGACAATATCTACTTTCGTTATTGTTACGTGAGGTTTTGTTACTTATTCATCTTTTTATCATATTAATATTCTCTTAAAATACAGTGTTCGATTTTTGTTGAGTCTTTAGCTGTAACTGGACAATATCTGTTATCGTTTATCCCCAAATGCACTGTATATTCTTAAACGACCAGATGCCTTGCCGTGACTCACAGCTGAGAACCTTTATAGGTTTTTTTTACAGGCGAATGATCAAATTTATTTTACATTTTAACGTAGCCTCTAACTATTCACATGTATACATATAATGTAAAATAAAAGGAACATAATAGTGCTGATTCTTTGTTTATTTTTCTAAAATAGATTTATACCCAATTAAAATAAATGAAAATAAGTAAATCAGTTTAAATTGTTTCAATGGCATTTAGTAATTGAACTAGAATAAATGAACTGGAATACAATTACTGCTTATTACCGAGCGACGTTTCGGCTAGTCTTCTCTAGTCATTATCAAGAAATGATAAAATATAAAAAAAATATAACAAGACAATATATATATGTACACAACAATACTTAGTTAATGCTGACCAACCAGAGATACTCTTCTACTTACCTGTACCTAAAGAAGACCTAACTTAGTTAAGGATTATAAAAGTTAAATGCTAACAACAACATTCAATACGGCATGTAGACCACTTTACCTGAAATTGACACAAATTGATTAAAGTATAACTTGTTGTGAAGTATATTCAATGATTTGATCAGGTTTTGATAATCACAGTAGGTATGGTCGGCAACTGTTTTTATCGGCGGGGCAAAACATTTTTTCGGGCGATCCTTGAACGCAAATAATATAAAGTATGTAATACCAAGGTTGTGGACCCGCAAGAGGTCTGAACAAAACTGCCCGACAAATTGGCCGCGTGGAGCCTCTAGAGGTCAGAATTTTTATCTGATTTTGATGAAAATTAAAATATATGTTTACATCCCAGAGATTTTGATTCCTTTTGATATTCGCGCATATCGGTGCATAGCTTCCTGGATTATGTCCCCTGAGTGTTCGGAAAATATAGCCCTTTTTTCAGTTTGTTTTTTCTGTCCATCTCTTGCAAAATGTTGGCATGACAACCGTTGTGAATCAGCCTTTACTAATTACTTCTACAATGGGTTGTAGGTTATGTTATTCTTTGTTCATTACAAAATGGCACCCGAAACCATAGAAGGAAAAGACTCGTGTACTGATTATTGGATATCAGGATCCTTTATTTTCACGGCAAGATAACAACATCAATATTTCGAGTATTACGGAAAATATTGAGTTAGAGACTTAGCTTCCCTAAGTGACGGGGATACAATTAGTTTTAAGCGCTACAATCATAACCATGATGGCCACCCAGTGGCTGAGATATGCTACAAATCGACTCTAGAATGTTAACCATGGCCATCTTGTCAAACGGGTGGACAGTAGCTTGTCCACCTACTCTTCACCGAATTTCGAATGTCAAGGTGTCTTTTGCCACGCCCAGCTGGTACAGAAAAATAGGACGACAAACCCCATTTCATTTCATTTAATGTTAGCATATCGAACATACAAGTTATAACCTCGGTTTGCTATCTGAATGAACATTAAATTAACTAATCCAGTTACAGTTTCTCAGTATTCTAACACAACTATGGTTGCCCAAGGTCGAAAAGGCGTTTTTCTTTTCTTGTCGCAGTAGTCATTGGCAACCACAACAGTAGGAAATTGTACAAACAGCCGTAGACAGGGTTAGGTCGATAATTACTTGCTTTAGTCTTTTTTGTGAACTCCGATCTTCGGTTTTGTTTGGTTGCTATGAGGTCATACAATCTGATTAAAATACAGATCTATATTTCGTTTCGTTTTTTTATACGTTCGATGACCTACACTACATGAAAATCTGTGTGAATGCTAGATCGGCGACGGTCCTCCACATTTTAGCACATATGAGAAATGGAGTTTAACGTCCACTCGACACAAACTAGGTCATTTCGGGACTAACATATGGTTTAATTTTATTTCAATAATTCGCTTGCGCGTAGGGGTCTTTAGCAGTGGGAGGAAACCGGAGGACCTGGGGAAAACCCACGAGGTTGGACAGGCGACCCTACTCCTTGTCACGTATAACCGGGGATTCGAAACCACGCCAGTTGACTCAATGACAGGCCTTATGATACAGCACGAACGTGCTAACCATTCGTCCATCAGACCCCCCGGCAATGTAACAACTCTTCAAGATCATAGTGTAGTAAAGGCAAGTAAAACGAAATGAAATAGGATCGGTGTTTTAACCGGATTGGTAATATTATTTCTATGAAATGACTTCGCCAACAGTTGTCAAAACTAAAGAGAATTATGCGTTTCAGCATTTACGTGCTATTATATTTATGAACATGTTATAATAAAACCTTATTAATTTATTTGCTAGTAAAATAAACATTGGGTACAATATGGTTGCCTAATACCGGGAATTCTCGTATTTAAACCCTGGGCTTAATTTCGAATTTGACCATGTTAATGGTAAAACATTTCTTCTGAAATTAAGACCAGGGCTTAAATTCGAAAAGAGGAAAAAATGACAAACATTTGGGTTATTTTTTTAATTTTAAATGGAACGAATAAAATTCATTAACAACAATGGTTTTTAAAACACAATTGTGATACACCGTCACATAAATGTTCTGAAATACAAAAAGAAACTGTTCATAAACTTATAATTTCAAAGTTCTTTGAACAAATCAGATCTTACAATCATCAGTACCACTCTAAAATGATTTTGAATTGAAGCCCATGGGCTTAAATACGAGGATTCCCGGTAATTTCAGAAAACATTTACTTACACTTAAGGCTATTTATCCACATAATGTATAACGTGATATTGTCCCATGTGGAGGGGATATTTGAAAGACTGTGTGGTACATGAAAATATCTTTCATATTCTCCCCCGATTAAGGTGAAATAATGAAATTATTTTCATTTATCGCCACGGTATATATGAAATGTTACATCCAATTCCAGCGATATAATAAATAATCTTTCATTTCGGGTATCTAAAATGCACATCGCATCAAATAGTATTCTTGTTTTGTTTGCGTATATCGCAGGGTAACATGGAATATATTTAAATATCACAGGCAGTGATTCCTATGTATTGAAGAATAAAAGGTCAATAGTGCGATAGATACCGCAATATTAATGAGGTAATATGTCAATTTGATCATTGCGATGAATTGTGTCGAGTTATTTATGGAATCAAATTACTACTATGTTGTGAATTGTACAAAATTTGTGGGCCCTCTAGACCCCTCAAATTGTGTCCGGTTTGGATGAAAATATATGTTAATGGTAAGGCTAAATAAAATAGGACAACTTGGTGCAATTTTGCAGCAAAAATAAATGATATTTCGATGCCCGGAAGTCGGTCATCTTGTATATGGTTGCCATCTTGTATTTTCGAATTGCTAATGGGCCTTTTCAAAAGAGTAGTCCACATTTGAACGATTTGCCTGTATTTTTATGCAGTCATCTGTTGTACTATTATGTATCACATATATGAATATGTGCTGAAATGTATTCAAATTAATTATTTAACATTTAGTTAAAATAGCAAAAATCAGCAGTGGGCAATCTCTCGGCTTGGATTAAATACTTTAAATTCTGAAAATAAATATTCACTTAAATAGAATCATCCCACCCATCACATTAGCTGTATTTCACGCACAACAAACATGGGTCAAAGTTCAGGCAAGGCATACGTTTTAAAAAACATTGCACTGGTAGATACATTACATTGGTCTTCTAAAATCGTCCCGTTTTCGTCATAAAAACAATATTATTCACATCTCGCCAGATTTCATCTTGAACAATAAATTACAATCCACACAAGGTGTGTAGATACATCTATGCAGCACGTAAGTCTTGGCAGCAGCATATCTGAAAATGAAAACTTGGATGTTGGTCAAAATTATAAGAATCATTTGTGTCTCCCCGAAAACTGATCTCTATCGTGTTCACAAGCTTGAATAAATCTGTTAAATTCTGTAGCCTCCTATCACGTTTGCAAGGTTTTCGGCAAAGGTGGATAACTCCGGAATGGAAGATCATCATAACACAGAACATCGATAGGGTTCGCCCTCTCGTGTCCTTAATACTTCACAACAAATTTGAACAAAATATGTTAAAAACTGTAGTATGTATGCCATTCACAAGGTTTTCGGCAAAGGGTCGGTGGGTAATTCCGGAATGCCGATACGGTTTGTTCTCTCATGAACCAAATCATGCTTCCCACCAGAGTTTATAAAACAGATTTTTCTAAAAACTATAGCTTCTATCGCCACCATGTGGTTTTCGGCAAAGGGGGAGAGACTCCGGAAAAGAATGCCGCGGGTTGCTTATTTGGGTTCTTCCGCTCATGACTCCAATGCTCCCCACCAAATTTGAAAAAGATCCATAATAAACTATAGCCTCTATCGATTTGGGTCATAACTCTTGAAAGGAAAGTCGTGGAACTCCAGGGTTCGCCCTGTCATGGCCAAACTGCTTCACACCAACTTTTAAACGAATCCATTAACAACTTAGCCTCTATCGCGTTCGAAAGTCATTTGTTGAAGGAGGGACCGACGGATTGGGTGTCGACATAATACGCCCACGGGTTATTGACCTGCTAAGATAGAAACAGAACCTACCATGAAAGTATGACTCCAGAAACGTTATCAGTGATCTTATCCCGGACCAAAGGGTCCATGAACAAGTGAAAATAGGTTGGAACTATTCCAAATAAATGCGACTGACCAACTGTATAGCAAAAGACTTCTAAGCTAAATTTTAAAAAAAATAACACGTTTGGTTGTGTCGACAAGTCTCGTCTAAATAGCGCAACACGAGTAATTATTTCATCTTAGGGAAAAAGTATAATACATGTACATTACAAAACATAACGATTATGCGCCCTTTGTGTAATAATGTGAGTAAACGATGAGGGGTTCGGCATGTTTATATTCGATTTAGACGCATGTCACTTATGAAAGCATTATTTTCAATATTAGATTAACATGCACTGTTTGGCTGATGAAGTAGACAACGAATTGCTAGTATTCAATTAAACTGTTTGCTATCATTTTAAATAAACAGTAATGCAGACGTACGCAATAACACCGATAGATATAACCACTTGAATATATTAGTAACGTCACGTAGAAATGTTAACAAATAGGGTTTGTAGCTTAGGTGATATTATAACACGGGTCAACAACATCATCTCAAATAGGGTTTGTAGCTTAGGTGATATTATAACAAGGGTCAACAACATCATCTCAACAGCCTTTATTTACAGAGATTGAAATCGGGTTTCTTCGTTTTTAAAACTGGGAACCATTTTATCAACTCTTAATGATGAACCTACATAAAAACGAAAAACGATAGGATTGTATCCGCTGAGTCTGGTATTTCTCATCTAATGGTATACTTTATATAATAAACAAAATGTGCGGAGTCGCAGATAATAAGACTTCCCACCCAATAAATCAATTAAACATTTTATTCACATTCCAAGCCAATAATCAACAAATTTAAATACGAATGTCAGTAAATGATTTAATTCAAAAATGGATAACCGAGGCTTTGTTTATTATCGTAAAAAACAGTAGCAATGAAAATCAAGAGCACACTTTTCTTCAACCGGCTATAACTCCGCATAGAATGAAGTAAGTTGAGTGAAATTTTCAACATACTGTATTCCCTTTTTATTGCCTATTTTTTTTTTACTTTTATTTCAAGAACTGTCAGAACGATGTTTGTTGTGCAACCAAATATTGGTCAGTGTTTTTGCGACGTACACCACACATCTGTCATTATTTTACAACGATCTCCCGAATTTGTTGAAATCCATCCGCAGGGTACAGCCTCCGTCATCTTGGAATTGATATTAAAAATCGAAGTAAGTCAATCGGAGCGCAATTGTTCAAGAACAATCATTCTAAGTTTCATGTCGATCGTACTTCAGTTAGCGGAGACTTGGGCTTTTTCGGAAGAGCGTCGTTCCTAAGAGTAACAAAAAGAATTCGAAGAGTCTCGCCCCCAAGAAAAACAAAAAGAATTGGAAGAGCATCGCCCCCAAGAACAACATAAAGAACAACAAGACCAGTTCCTGGTCCAAAAATATATATGGCATTAAATATGATTTCCATGTGGCGATATGATTTGCAATCTTTTAAATTATTAAGAATTTTTATCAATCACAGTTGACGATGTTCGGAATATGAAAAACGTATAAGTAAATTACCTTGGGATAAGCCAGATTTTAAAATTAACCATTAAAAAAAAAACAGAACAAAAAAAACAGAACAAAATTGGTTGACCATATAGATGAATATGCGCGTAACCACAGCTTGCCTTGACGTAACCAAGTTCGTGATAGTTATAGGACAAGATATAAATTACGTTTAATTTTACTTAGCAAATTGTTTTGTAAGTTAATGTAAGCGGTGTGGAAATACTTCAGAATTAAATTATATGTGTATACCTTAAAGATGTTTGATTATTAAATAGTTTCTAATTATATTAATAACGGAAGGGGTGGTGTGCAAATATAAAGCTTTAAAGGAACTAAATCGCCAATATTTGGTACCTAGACATGCTAATGTAATATTAATGTATATAACTGATTCACATTCAATCGTTTCCCTTTTTACTCTAATTTCAAATCAGTTATATTCTGTGAAATACTCCAGAAGTTTCAATCAGATGACAATCTCTAGAGTCTGGCTATTCCAGTCTACAACAATAGTATTTATTGCGCATGCTCTCCAGATAAGAATATGTGACATGACTTGTGCAATACATGGAATATGAAAATTTTAGTCAATGTCACGGCAAATGGGAACAAATTCTCGTGAACGAGAATAGAAATGGGACATAATCTCGGATTGTTCGGCCGGTCACCTGCTCAAATCTGATCGGGTTATTGTGACCTGGTACGGAAAAATGTATAGACGACTATTTAGAATGCACATCGCCACGACATACTTATCTAATGTTTACGATTTTCCATTGATTGGTAACTGGAGAAAAGGTGCGTCGTGCAAATATTTTTTGTTTGCTTGGTTACCTCAATTCGAGTATTATCTAGGGTTCATATAAATGAGAGGGGATCTGGGTAACTAGTACAGGACGCCAGGAAGATATCCTTATAAGATATACAGATCTCACCAAGCTGTCTACAAAAAAGAAAATTTAATATGAATTGGTGGATACTTGTCGCAATTTCTGGTAACAAAATCTGTTCACTATTATTCTTAACATTTCTTTTTTCAAAATTATAAACTAAATATTTTTTTTCCAGGGAAATGAATCGGGGTTTAACGTTCTGGGCTATTGAAGACGGGTTTTGCAAGGAAATAAGGCGGTTGGTCGAGGGGAGTCAGGTTGAGGTCGATCGGGAGATTCATACTTTGAGTTTTTACTTACTGTCTGAACCCTCGTAAATTTTAAATGGATTTCTTCGATTATGAACAAACTACTTAACTTTGGTTATTATAAACGTACCTGTGTATTTGAAATCAACTCCCGTTAACTAAAATCCATTGCACAACTCATTATCCCAACGAATACATACAGTATGTTTTTCTATTCAGAAGGAAATCCTACCATCTTCGAAGGAATTATTAGTGAGCAGAAATTCGCCCATGTATCTGTTATCACTCGTCACTTCAGTCAGTTATATAGAGGGATAACTCGTGTTTTCAATTTGCTTTCATCACTCCCGATTGTTCAAGCATTGATTACGCATCTATCGTAGCAATGATCTCTGTAATAAAATAATATTGGGAACGTGTTTAACCAGTTCTATCACATATGTGACAATGACTGGCACCAATATTGTGCTTTAATAATTGTTATGTTGTCTATGTTATATATCCTTTGTAAGGCGCCACAAAGAAGTCAAACTGATTGAATGTCCAGCGCTCTAGAAAATGATTGTTATATATATATACCAGCATACATTCACGCACAACATTAAGGGTATATAAAGAAGAAATTTTTAACCAACAAGTTCAAAGGACAACTTATATCTGCTTTTAACTTCGTTTAAATTGTGGCGTTGTAACACGGACATTGTTCGCCGATCAATATCACAACTATTAAACAATACGGGGGGGGGGGGGGGGTGAATGGCTTAATGGTTAGCACGTGTGCGCTGTATCATAAAGCCTGTCATTGAGTCAATTGGCGTGGTTTCGATTCCCCGGTTGTACGTGACAAGGAGTAGGGTCGCTTGTCCAACCTCGTGGGTTTTCTCCGGTTCTCCGGTTTCCTCCCACTGCTAAAGACCCCTACGCGCAAGCGAATTATGGAAATAAAATTGAACCATGTTAGTCCCGAAATGACCTAGTTTGTGTCTAGTGGACGTTAAACCCCGTTTCTCTCCCCCCCCCCCACGGCTGAAATTATACCATTGTTAGCCCCGATATGACCTAATTTGTGTCGAGTGGACTCTAAACCCAGTAACTCCCCTTTTGTTGATTGTCTTTCACATTTTAAACATTAATATTTCAGCTGCTACAACAACATATGTCCAAGCTGATACATGTGCCGAATGTATAGAGGCATACAGCAAGAGTTCACAGTCATGCACGTAAGTATTTTATTACTGATTTTGATGTAAGCGGAACATGTTTTATGTCATTGCCATAATATTATTGATTTGTAGTGTCGAGATTGTGGATTCAGTTCGTAAATAAGGAAGCTTACTAGGAGTCAAGGAAGAGATATTTTTATTCTTCAGCCATTACACAACTCTGCACATTGGAGGCTGCTCTATTGAAGTTACATTTTAAAGTTATATTAAGTACGAAAACACAATAAGACCATTAATATGAAATTTACCGTGACACAACTGTATATTGTAAACGAACAATGTATAATGAGCTAAGTTCAATGAAATGAAATTAAATGAAATTTTGGTTTAACGTCCCACTCTCCTCCTCACGGGCATGCGCCATACAGTGTGTTGTGAGGGAAATTTTGCCCTGACAACAGTGCTAAGGCCTACTTTTATATCGAATTCCAACTGTCAAATGATCTTTTACGTGCATGCCAATGTGTACACGGGACCGTAGTTTATCGTAACATCCGAACAACTAGACAGCTGTCCTTGTCAGGCCCTGCGTCCTGCATCACTGACAAGAGAAAATCACGCGGCCAACACCGAGAAGCGAACGTGCGACCTCCAGGCTAGCGAGCCAGCATCTTACGCATAATATTTGATAATGATAAAAACCTAAAAAGCCATGTTAATGTGATAAATACATTATAAAAATATCATAAAATTTGTTAAAACCAACATAAAAATCATAAACTTCTGCGAGAAACTTTCATAAAATTATGAATTTATGACCATCTTACTCGGGGCTGTGAACTGAAATTCGCTGATTCTAATATGAGTAGGTATAGATAAAAAAAATATCATGCATGTATATACAAATAAAACAAAAGAGTACAAAGGAATTGTCAAGTTACAATATACAAATGGAGAAAAGGAAGCATTTGAATTATAGTTCAAAAGTTTGGGTAAAATAAAAGGGTTTTAGACATCGTTTAGACAGGTCAGGACTATTTTGGACTTCCAGTGTTCGATTGTTTGACTCTAGACTTCAACAACGCGCGTTCGTAAATAATCATACTCGTTAAAGTAATGCCTTTTGCTATACTTAATGTTAATGAGAGGTAACGACATAATGATACCATCGCTCCCTGGTTAACTAAATGAAAAGTCCTACTGATTTGCACCGACCGGGATAATAAAGGCCATACAGTACGTTATGAGGGAATATTTGCTCGGGCAGTGGCACTACGGCTGTCTCTGATTTTAAATTACAACTGTCAAAGGGTTCTTTTACGTGCACGCCAACGTGTACACAGGACTTACCAGACAAGGAAAACCACGCAAGGATATCCAGAAGAACTTTCTCGGCCAACACCGGGATTGTAAACAGGACCTTCATGTTACTCACTGAACCACCGTGGCTCCCTCCCTGGTTAACAGATAACACTTGATAGTTCCAATGTTGATGCTAGATGGTGTAAAATTTCAGAATTTTGGTTGTGCTTAACACTTTTTACTACAAATATTATTCTTTACCATAAACAGGGATGCAAATACTTACTCAACGTGTGCAACTGATTCTGCTAGCGATGCTTGCAGTACCACTGAAAAAAGTACAGCCACTGATGCAATTGCATCCAAATGTACAACTGGTGAGTATAAAAAAAAAGTTATTGATGAATTCTGTGACTGACATTTTTCATAATACACGTATGGAAATAAATGTTCAATGATAGACCAAAAAGTCAGTAGGTTAGATACTAGGGTTAGTTAAAAGAACAGTACAAGAAAAAAAAACCAATAGAACGAACGGCGAAGAAACACAGTCAAAACAATCACTCGGAAATACTCAAAATCAGATGGAACAAACGGTATAGAACACGGTTAAAACAAAGAGAGATGGGGTTAAACGTCCACTCGACACAAATTAGCTCATTTCCGGACTAACACACGTTTCAATTTTATTTCAATAATTCGCTTACGTGTATAGGTCGTTAGCAATAGTAGAAAACGGGAAGACCTGGAGAAAACCCACGAGGTTGGACAGGAAACCCTACTCCTTGTCCCATACAAGCGGAGAATCGAAACGTCACAGAATTTAATAGTCATCGCAGGGGGGGGGGGGGCTGCGCCACACACAAACAATTACACAAGACAAATCTACGCACAGGACACAAAATACAGACATCACAAATAACAAACGTACATGTCAGCAGTGAATATTCTGGGAATAATTTGACCTGAGAGATAATTGGTTAGCAATAAGGTTATCGGGGTTAAAAACCACTGTGGCCGACACATCGCACATGTGTATCCTTACGACCAGTTTGATACTATAGGGGCTATTTTAGTTCTATATAAGATGCTCTGTTTAATATATTGAGGTGGTTAAACTAATGGATGACAACGAGAAATGGACTAAGTAGGTATTTTGCAAGATTCAACTTTCTTAGACTAGCTCACAGACAGTTCCTGTTGCCATCAATTGCTGAAAGTAGGGTACTCTCGTCCAGTCATCTCGTGCACAGATTAGTCCAATTTTACGTCAACGGTTGTCTATATAATAACGAACGGGGTTAAATTTCCCTTCAGACATTAAATTTTAGTATTCTCCTTGGCTGAGTGGCTGGGAAACGGACATCATTCGGAGTTCCTAGGGGAACATCATATCCACAGCCTCCTCGGCTTAGGGTTAAGACATCATTTGGAGACCGGGATAGAGACAACATGTAGTGTTTCAGCCGTTTGTTCTGAGTTCTACACTTGTTAAACTCAGACGTTGTAATTTCCCGTATTTAACCTTTGTGTTATGGATATTGCATTTCATATAGTTATGCAAGCGAAGTGTCTCAGACTTAAATTATGATCATTGGAAATAGTTTATACACAACGTGGAGGCCAAAATTAGTTCCTCATTCATGTGACCAGGATAGTCAAATCTGACACCGTAGTGTTACACCAGCTTCCAGGAATAATTCATTTAAATGACCTAAATGTCTTTGATTTAGATCAAAATAAACTACATGTAATGTGTTATTTCCATTAGTGATTAAACGGTCTCTAAGTTTAAAAAAAAAATTTCCAAAGAATAATTTGAAATATATTGTAGTAATATGGAGGGAAAGAATTTGTGCTTTGAAACATCTATGTAAAATAATATTAGGATTTTGATTAATTATTCTCCATTGTCAAAATATTAGCTATGGTATAAGTTAAATTCTGAAACGCAAATTAAAATTGGCTATAAATATTGTGACAATAACAAGACATGGGGTCTAAAGACAAGAATGCAGAAATATGATGGCTAGAACAATAGCGTTATCTTTCATATTATTGATTCTTACTTCATAACCACAAATATGGAAAGTATATGCTGGTTATTTTGATACGTTAACTGAGCTATAGATTAATGAACATGTTGGTCATTTTTCTTTGTTATAAAACATATATCATATTTGTTGACCAAATAAGGTAACAATCCCTAGCGATGTTCAGTTTGGGGTGCATGTCCTTTCCATATTTAGAACTTAGTTGTTATCAGTCTTTAGATTAACACCTCAAACAAAGGAATAGGCACCTATAAAATAGGGTGGGGAAATAGCATTCGGGAGAGCTCACTCCGCCGGTCATACCAGCCATTTAGTTATTTGAGACTAGGAAGAATTGTAACACTTCCAGTTTGTAGAAATAAAGTATTTTAAGAAAAGAACCTGAAGCGTGAAGATTGAATATTGAGGACTGAACATCTGATAGTACTACAATATGTTAACATGTTTTAAGAGATTCTTTCGAAATATATTTGTTTATTATTTTTAAAAGATTAATTGACAAGCGGTTGCCATGCAAGATACACCCACATTTTGCAAGAGATGGACAGAGAGAACAAGCTCAAAAAAGAAGTGATTTTTTCGTACAATCAAGGGCCATAATTCAGGAAGTTATGATCCAATATGTGCGAATATCGAAAGGAACCAAGATCTTTGGGTTATAAATATGTATTTCAAGTTTCATCAAAATCGGATCAAAATTGTGACCTCTATAGGGTCCACAACCTTGATATACCATATTTTTACGCTATTTGAGAACGAACGGCGGCCATTTTGTCTGTCAATTTTGGGCCAATTTTCACGAAAATCGAACTCCGTCGGCCTTAGGGTGTAACGGTGACATAATAATACGTTTTTTTAAATCTGATAAAAATTATGACTTATATAGGGTCCACAAGCTAAAAACGCGATTTTTCGTACAATCAGGGACCATAATTCAGGAAGTTAAGGTCCGATATGCGCGAATATCGAAAGAAACCGAGATCTTTGGGTTATAAACTTACATTTCAAGTTTCAACAAAATCGGATAAAAATTGTGACCTCTGTAGTGTCCACAACCTTGATATACCATATTTTTACGCTATTTGACAACGAACGGCGGCCATTTTGTCAGTCAATTTTGGGCCGATTTTCACGAAATTCGAACTCAGCCGTCCTTAGGGTGTAACGGTGATATAATAATATGTTTTTTTAAATCGGATAAAAATTATGACCTCTATAGGGTCCACAAGCTAAAAACGCGATTTTTGGTACAATCAGGGGCCATAATTCAGGAAGTTACGGTCAGATATGCGCGAATATCGAAAGGAACCGAGATCTTTGGATTATCAACTTAGATATCAAGTTTCAACAAAATCGGATAAAAATTGTGAGCTCTATAGTGTCCACAAGCTAAAAACGTGATTTTTCGTACAAACAGGGGCCATAATCCATGAAGTTTCGATCCAATACATGCCAATATCGAAAGGAACCGAGATCTTTTGGAGATAAACCTATATTTCAAGTTTCGTCAAAATCGGATAAGAATTGTGACCTGTAGAGTGTCCACGGACAGGAGCGACGGCATAATACGTCCACATGAAAATGTGGGCGTATAAAAATATGATTGTTTACAAAATTCATTTTCGTTTTATTGTCGACAAACAGTTGGTTATAATTCAACGATTTCTTATCTATGGGAATACAATTTTGAACGAAATCAGACTGTCACCGAACAAAACAAATCAATATCACATTAAAAAAATAAACTCATCCATTATCCAATTTTCAGTAAATCATTTTACACAACGTATGTAAATCGCCTTGAAACACACTAAACATGTTTATTCCTCTTCTTTGAGCGACATTTTACATTTTATACACGAAACACAAAATAAAAAATTCATAATTTGGAACACACGGCGTTATCAAGCAAATGGAGCTGAGAGACCCCAGCGAAACGTCGCTTTAATCGAAACAGTAATTTTGTTCCATATTATGTTTTTGTGTTTATTAAGTTTAGTTCTATTCAAAGAAAACCGCGATTATTATTATTATTATTATTATTATTATGTAAACATATGCATCTATTAGTTGGCCTGATAGATTTGTCTCAATTTTGCAGACAATCGTGAAAGCGCTGATCTCTTCACTAAAAGTTTATTTTGCACACGTTTGTATTTAAAGGACAATATTGGTGTCAGTCAGTATCACATTATGTCATTGTGATAGAACTAGTTAAATGCTTTCCAAATACAATTTTAATACAGAGATCATTACTACGATAGATGCGTTGTGAAGTTTTCAAGAAAGGGAAGTGCCGAACGCAAAAGGAAAACACAAGTTATCCTTCTATATAACTGACTGAAGTGACGAGTGATAACAGAAACACGGGCGAATTTCTGCTCACTAATAATTCCTTCGAAGATCCAAAATTATTACGTGAGGCTGTGAGTGGATATCTGATAATTCAAAAAAGTAAATGAATGCCACTAGATAAGAGAAAACGAGAAAAATAGAAATAGCCCGTACATTCGCTTGTTTTTATTCATTTTATACCGATATGTGATAATGACTGACACCAATATTGTCCTTTAAAATGGTTTATTTATCATGAGCAAGTCAAGATGCAGTAAATCTAATATATGTCTACATGTATTTTGATATCTTTAAGCTCAATAGACCTGTTGTTTTTATTTTTAAATACAATCATTTTATATCCTTATATTATACAGCTACATGTAATAACTGTACCACTGCATATGATACTGGTGTGGCCGCGGCTGATGCTAATAATTGCACGTGAGTATCAAGATACTAAATGTTGTACAATTCTTAAATCTATTTGGTAGTTAAGCCAAACGTAATGATTCATTTGTTTTGGTACCGTTTCGCTTGGTCTAGTCGTGTGCTGGTCAAGGCCAACTCGCTGAACTGGTTCTAAAAACATGTCTGAGATAAAAGGTGACTTGGTAGTAGTAGTGTGTTTTGGTTTAGATTAAAATTGAAATTTGTAAGTGGAACCTTTCCTAACAGAATATGAGACTGTGATACAATTATATTAGATTATACACTGTATATCAAAAAAAAAAGAAAAAAAAAACAAATTGAATAAAACACGACACCCTTGACTTTATCTCGGGTAATGATATCACATCATTCTACATTAGTATTTTGATGTTTGAATTACATTTTGCAATGTAACAGTTTTTGTCCTTGATTGTTCCATAAACATATATAATATGTTTTTGTATCATACAGTGTAGCACAGACATATGTAACATTTTTTATGTCTTATAGTGTAGTAGAGATTTATGTAATATGTTTTATGTCTTATAGTGTAGCTGAGACATATGTAACATGTTTAAATGGTGTGAGTGATAACTGTACTGATACTACTGGTACCACTGTAACACTGGCTGACACAAAAACAGAAGCTGGCAAGAAGGAGACAGAATTTTGCAGTAAGTTACCCGATTTGCATTTAAATGAAATGTAATGAGATGGGGTGCAACGCCCTATTTTCTGTACCGAATGGGCTAATGAAGACGGACATACTCTATACAGGGTGCTTTGTGGTAATTTTTTCGCGGTGAGTGTCCCTACTGCCTACTCTTATTTTGAATTCCATGTGTCCAGGGTTCAATATGTGCACGGGACCAAGGGGTTTCTCCCATCCGAATGACTAGGCGCTGTCCTCGGCAGCTCCTCTGTCCTACACCACTATGACAAACCACGCCTGAAAATTCTGAGCAACTTTCTCGACCAACCCGGGTACTCCTGACAATGACACATGCTTTGGTGTGTATATTACTTTTATCGATTTTCTCCACAGCACCAAATTTTTTTGTAGATGTATCTGTCTAGAACTGAGTTTTCACATTTCTAAGTATAACATATTATGAATCAACACTTCGGAAACGAGTAGACATCTGCGAATTCTGTTTAGCAGCGACCATGTTGAAAATACTGGGATTATATTGAGACAAAGTCCTTTGCGTGTATTAAAGGGATATGGGTCGACAAAAATGTTCATAAACATAACCCATAATTAATTACGTTCAAGCACAGGAAGTGATCTTTCATGAGCACTGACTTTCTTATAAGTATGTTATCAAAAGACCAGTTAGTTCGCTCCAAATATGTTTAAATTTCAATCATAGATTCACGTTCGTGGTAGCTAGGAAATAAGCAAATCAACTGTTAAATATAATAACAACTCATAAATATTCATACCCTTTCGTATTCCAAGGGAAAGGCTATTGTATTTTAATATTTGTTATATTCATATCAATTTCAGATTCCGCTGGTAGTTTAAATGTTTCTGTGATGCTTACTTCATTGATGATGGCTGTCGTTTCCTTAGTTCGAGTATAAATTTCATAAATCCCAACACTGTTGTTTTTATTTATTTCTAACAATGTCAATACTATAGCTTTAAATATGTGAATTTTTTGTTAATTTATAAAATTGAAGGTAATATTTTATAGCAGCAGTGTAGAACTTCTATTGTCGATTTAAGATCTTCCATATACATGTACGTAGAACTTCTATCGCAGATTTAAGACCCTCTCAAAAATTTTAGTCTCACAGGATTGTATAACAAAAAACTTTTATATAATACATTATTATTGGTGTGATAGTTGTAAACTGTTATTTCTTTAATTATCAAAGTGTTTAAAATGTTTTATATTATTGTTTAAGATTTATTTTAATACACGTAGAACTTCTGTTTGATTTTGTTTCTCGAACTGATGTTTAGCCGGTATGATGTTAGTTTGATTTTAACTGACGGATAAAAATAAAGGTTGTATGAATTTCGGAAATAAAACCTGAAAACAAGTAAATAATTTGTTATTAACAATTTATATACATCATCCAAATAAGCAAATCTGTTATATACATAAACAGGGACCATGCTGGCTCGCTAGTCTGGAGGTTGCGGGTTCGCTCCCGGTGGTGGCCGAGAAAGGTCATTGGGAATTTCCGGCGTGGCTTCCCCTTGTCAATGGTGCAGGACGAGGACCTGACAAAGACAGTCGTCTAGTCGTTCGGATGGGAGTGGCGAGCACGTAAAAGATCCTTTGGCATTTGGAAATGGAAATAAGAGTAGGCGGTAGCGCCGCTGTCCGGGCAAAATTTTCCTCGTAGCATACTGTATGGCTCAATCGGAGCAGAACAGTAGGACGTTCAACCCCATTTCATTCAATTTCATTTTATATACCTGAACACTTCTCTTATTTTAAGAGGAATACGTGAGGACTTTGTTCATCGAACTACTGTCAAGTGTTTCTTCTTTCTGTCACATAGTCACATAGTTGATCATATGCCTGTCATCGAGTCAAGTGGCGTGGTTTTTATTCCCTGTCTGTACGTGACAAGGAGTATGGTCGCCTATCCAATCTCGTGAGTTTTCCCCGAGCCCTCCAATTCCTTCCTACGGCTAAAGACCTGTGCGAATTGTTGAAATAAAATTGAACCATATGTTAGCCACAAAATGACATAGTTTGTGTCGAGTCGAGAGCAACAGACTTGAAAGACGCGTTAAATATGGCGTTCCCCAAGGGTCTGTACTAGATCCCGTGCTGTTTACCATGTACAAAACCTAACCCGGTCATCTTCGCTGGCATAAATCATACTGGAGATCAATAGCCCGTCTGTGTTTGTTATTGTTGTAGATATATTTGGTCCACACTAAGGCTTACGTTTCATTATACACGATTTTCCATTTTACGACAATACGGTACGGACGATTGTGTTTGATATTTATTGTTATGGAAAAACTTTTAACTGCTAGACATAAATGGAATATAAGATAGCGATAAATTTAGTGGGTAGGCTAATAAAAAAAACCCCTCTGTTCTGGAGACTATCACATTGTTCATTGTTTGCCAGGGGGGCATCATCCCGAATCTGAATCTACACATATTGAAGATATATAATCCATCGAAATCCTATACATGTATTTCAATACATTATGCACATTTTTAGGAAACTTTATGAGTTTCCCTCCAAAATGAGCCTCCATTTTGAATTTTGCCCCCTAGCGGAATTTAGCCGTCACTTTTAGGAGGAATACCAAGGCTCATTGGATTCAAACCGAGGTCCGAGAGAATCTGTCACGAATTTTACCCCAGGAAATAATCAGAAAATGACTTATGCGGGCCATCTTGAATATTTAAATTTCCACAAGGGTGCCTGGGTGGCGGACTATAATTCCAGGTTTGTCACTCTAGTTTATATATATATATGTAGAGATTGTGATTATCCAGCCCCATACCTAAGAACACACACGACGATTAGTGCGTCCTTTTCAAAGACAGTTTGAATTTTCATTTCTGCCTGGTTTTAGTGAATATTTATGATTTTGGAGCAGAAGAATCAGGAAGTAAATAGTCGGTGATCGGTTACTATATTGGCATCACTGGCTTAAGATTCCCTTAACATATTGGACTATTTTTGGTTATAAAGATTTAGATCATCGGAATGTTAAACCAGCGGTTGCCAGGCAAGATAGTTCATATTTTGCAAGAGATGGATAGAGAACAGCTAAAAACAAAAGCGACTTTTCGTACAATCTGGGTCCATAATCCAGAAAGTTATGGTCTGAAATGTTCAGATATCAAAATCTTTGGTATATAAAGATGCATTTTAAGTTTAATCAAAATCGGGTAAAAATTGTGACCTCTAGAGAGTCCACAACCTTCATATTACATACTTTTACACAATTTATGTACAAAGAGTGGCCATTTTGTCGAGCAGTTTCATTTCGATTTTCCCGAAATTCGAATTCAACCTTCATTATGGTGGAATGATGATATATTTAAACGGTTTTTAAAATCGGTTAAAAAAATTGTGACCTCTAGAGAATCCACAACTAAAAAAACACGATTTTTCGTACAATCAGGGGCCATAATCCTGGAAGTTATGGTCTTATATGCGCAAATAGCGAGAGCAACAGAGATCTTTGGGACATAAACATATGAACAAATATTTTAAGTTTCATCAAAATCTGATAACAATTGCGACTTCTAGAGGGTCCACAACCTTGGTATTACATACTTTTACACTATTTGCGTACAGGGAGTCGGCATTTAGTCTGGCAGTTTTGGTCCGATTTTTAACTAAATTTGAACTCAACCGTCATTAAGGTGTAACGGTAGCGTTTTCATCTTTAAAATCGGATAACCAGCTGCTGCCAGGCAGGATACGCCCACATTTTGCAAGAGATGGACAGAAAACAAGCTAAACAAATTTTTGTACAATCAAGGGCCATAATTCAGGAAGTTACGACCCGATATACGCGAATATCGACAGGAACCAAGATCTTTGGGTTATAAAGATATATTTTAAGTTTCATTAAACTCGGATCAACATTATGACTTCTAAAGGGTCCACAATCATGATATACCATATATTTAATATTTACACTATTTGCGTATGAGGGGCGAATATTTTGTCAGGCAGTTTTGGTCCGATTTTCATGAAATTCTAACTCAGTCGTCATTAGGGTGTAGCGGTGAAATATTCACGCGTTTTTTTTTCAATCGGATAAAAATTATGACCTTCTAGCGGGTCCACAGGCTAAAAATGGGATTTCTCGAACAACCAGGGCCATAATCCAGGAAGCTACGTTCAGATATGCGCGATTATCAAAAGCAACCAAGATCTTTGTGATATAAACATAAATTTAAAGTTTCATCGAAACTGGATAAAAATTACACTATTTGCGTACGAGGGTCGAAAGGAAGCCAGAGCTTTGGGTTATAAACATGTATATCAAGTTTCATGAAAATCGGGTGATAATTGTGACCTATAGAGTGTCCACAAACAAATTGTGGACGGACGGACGTACAGGGATGACGGCATAATTACAAGGAAATAGCTCCATGACGGATGATGGAATTTCGATTTTGATAAGGTTTATCCTTGCAACTAGTCCAACAATTTAATGAAGTTCACAATAAAAATCGCTCTCTTTAACCGAGTAAACGATTAAATAAGGACAATTAATAACTGGACCCGGGAAAACGCGTATAAATTCATGTATGAACCGCCCCTTCCCCGTGATTTAAGAATACGATAAAACGATATAATGGCTCGCTATAAACTACAAATAATGTGATTAAGTGAAATAAGTTGGATTTCATCGCGGAAAACCCTAAAGTACGCTGGAGAAGGTACCAAAGAAAGATATTACCCAGGTATAAGCATGGGCTGAATATACTTGGACCCCCCCCCCCCCCAAAAAAAAAAAAAAAGATTTACATAGTAGGCCCAAACTCCTATTTATTTACAACAATTATTAGGATTAGTTAAGATTCTATCTGTATAAAACCTGTACATATCCCAATATGGTTTGTACTGCTAAAATAAAACACAGAGATAATCATCCTGGAAACATGCGTGAAGTGAAAAGCACCTGTGTTCCATAAAATTGTGTCTAGTTAGCCTGTCAGTAATATTTTGTTAATTTTTTTCTGCCACTTATCAGAGTGAATCGCATGTAGGTACCCAAAAACATAACCGCCTAAACCAAATATTTATCGCCCGCTCAGCCAACAACGTAACCATAATGCTTTTGCACGCGGTGTCTTGGTAGACAGCATGGCTACATGGTGTTTGTTTATATTTTTTAGGGGTTTTAAAAAATGGGTTAGGGTTAGGGTTAGGGGTTAGGGTTGCGGACCCCCCCCCCCACCCCCCAATATATATTTCACGGCTCTGGGTATAGATAATTAACACGAATGTTAAATATGGGCAATACAGTACTGGAAGTCAATTCAAGCGGATGGCGCGATGAATTAAAACGGATAGCTATTTTACAAATAAAGGACTAAGTGATATAGATTTCTTCATAAAAGTTAACAGTGTACAACAAAGGCCATCATTATTAACACTGTTCGTAGTGGTACATGAGGCAATCAGAAGAGCAGATCCGGTATTTTAACGGGAGCCAAAGATAGAAGTAGCAAGCAAATTGTAGCTATGAATTTTCATGATCTAGTATATTGTTATAGTGAATATGTTTATAATTATTTTACCCCATACCTTATACACCCAGACAACTTCGATTTACTGAGCAAGTAAATGGTGGACTTATTATTATAAAACTAGAGCGAGATGAACAAGACTTCCATTTGACCCCCCCCCCCCACACACACACACACACCAAAAGTAAACCAAAAAGAAAAAATTGGGAGAGAAATCTGTTTTCTTCTTCGACGTGAAAGACGAAACATGTAATGGTCTCCAATACAGAGTTTCTTTTTATTAGCCTGCCCACTGAATTATTCGCTATCTTGTACTATATTCTCGGCCACCTTTGGAATGCATATGTGTCAAGCCATTTATGCCCAGTAGTTGGAAGTTTTTTTCTATAACAATAAAAATCAAACACAATCGGCCCTAACCTATAGTTGTGAAATGGAAAACCGTGTTTATGAAAACGTAAGCCTTGGTTTAGGCCAAATATATCTATAACAAGAGACACAGACGGCCAATACCCCTACATTATGATTTATGTCAGAGAAGATGTCCAGGGATCTAGTACAGACCATTGGGGAACTTCGAATTTTAACACATCCTTTATGTTTTGTACCCACCTGGGTTGATCGTGTGATCTGATAAGTAAAGGTTGACCTAGCAATCTGAATTGGACAAAAAACTAAGGACGACCAGGACACGTTAAAAAGAAAGAACACTTGTGAGTTGAAATCCGCTGAAAACTGTCTCCAAGTGTTTGTCTCAAACTAATATATATAGTATATAACTATATGCTTATTTGAATGATGTATATAAACTGTAAGCAACAAATTATTAACTTTTTATTTCGCGAAATTCATACAACCTTTATTTTTATCCGTTAGTTAAAATCAAACTAACATCATACCGGCTAAACATCAGTTCGAGAAACAAAATCAAACAGAAGTTCTACGTGTATTAAAATAAATCTTAAACAATAATATAAAACATTTTAAAAGCTTTGATCATAAAAACAAATAATAGTTTACAGTTAAACATCTCAATGAAGACAAATATCACATCAAATATGATGTACAGTATAAAAGTCATGTACATGTATCATACAATATTGTTTCAAAAAATGTTATAAAAATTGTTATTAACTTCGTATGGTGCATTTACATCCTAAATTCATACAACCATCTTATTTATCAGTTGAAACAAACCAACATTAAAGTGGTGAACATCATTTAGAAAAAAAACCCACATCAACTAGAAGTTCTACCTATAGGTACATCTACAATAGAAGTTCTACGTGTAGAGAAGACGATCTCTGGTAAAGAAAAGATCTTAAAATCTACAATAGAGAAGAGGATCTTAAATCCACAATAGAAGGGTACGTGTAGAGAAGAGGGTCGTAAAAAATAGAAGATCTTTATGTAGATACGTAAATTTTAAATCTGCAATGGAAGTTCTACGTATAGAGAAGAAGATATCAAATCTACAATAGAAGTTCTACGTGTAGAGAAGAGGATCTTCTATTGTAGATTTTTTTTATCTTCTTCTCTATACGTAGAATTTCTATTGTAGATTGAAGATTTTCTTACCTACACGAAGAACTTCTATTGTAGATTTAAGATCATTTTCTCTACACTTACACGTAGAACTTCTATTGTAGATTTAAGATCCTCTTATCTACACGTAGACCTTCTATTGTAGATTTGAGATCTTTTTCTCTATACGTAAACACGAAGATCTTAAATCTACAATATAAGTTTTACACTGCTGGCATAAAACATTACCCTTGATTTTAAAAATCGACATAATTATTATTATTTAAAGCTATAGTATTGACATTGTTGGAAATGTATAAAAAACTGTGTTGGAATTTATGAAATTTATACTCGAACTAAAGAAACGACAGCCATCATCAATGAAGTTAAAATCACAGAAACAGTTAAACTGCCAGCGGAATCTGAAATTCATATGAATATAACGAATATTAAAATACAATAGCCTTTCCCTTGGAATATAAAAGGGTATGAAAATTTACGATTTGTTTTTTTTTATTTAACAGTTGCTTTGCTTATATCCTAGCTTCAACGAGTTTTAAGCTAGGAATTCAAATTTGAATATATTTGGAGCGAACTGACTGGTCTTTTGATAACATACTTATAAGAATGATCTCTTCCTTGGTTTGAACGTAAATAGGGTTTCTTTTTATGAAGATATTTAGTCTACCTATACACGCCTATACTTTTGTCTTAATATAATATCAGTATTTTAACATGGTCAATGCTAAACAGACATGGTCAATGCTAAATTTCTACTTGTTTCCGAAGTGTTGATTCATATCTAAGATTTAGAAATGTGAAAACTCGGTTCTAGACAGATACATTTACAAACAAATATGGTGCGGTGGAGATAAGCGACAAAAGTAATAATAATACTTTTATCGCTTATCTTGGCACTGTCCTAACCTGGACATCTGTTCTACACTCCTTTGACAAGGGCAAACCACGCCTGACAATCCTAATCAACCCTCTCGGCCAACACCGAGTTCGAACCCGAAAATGAGAAGCTTGCTCGCTAAACAGGAGTTTTCGGGTTTGAACTCGGTGTTGCCCGAGAGTGTTGCTTAGGATTGTCAGGTGTGGTTTGCCCTTGTCATAGGAGTGTAGGACATAGGTCTCGGTTAGGACAGTGTCAAGTTATTCGGATTGGACAATAAACCGAGACCCCGTGTACTTGAAAGGGCTAATGACAAATTGAATTCGAAATAAGAATAGACTGTAGCTCCGCTGTCAGAGTCAAAATTGCCTCATAGCAGTGTCTCTATGGAGATATGTCCGTCTTCAATAGCCCAGTCGGTGCAAAAAATAGACCGTTACACCCCATTTTATTCCATTTCATTTTTAATTTAAATATGCAAATTGGATAACTTACTACAAATTTCTGTCTTCTTTGTGGCAGCTGTAGTTTTGGCGTCAGCCAGTGTAGTAGTACCACAGTCATCATTTACACCATTTAAACATGTTACATATGCCTCAGCTACACTACAAGACATTAACACACAAAAACGTCTCACACGCATTTTTAAATATTGAGGTTTTACGGCAACTTAGGTCGGGTTTTAAAATATTTTATTCATTATCTAGTAGGCCAGACGAGTATAATTCTCCTTAAGAGTCAAAGCACAATCACCAAGGTTAATACTTACGAGGTAAACAATGAGGTTGAATAAGTGAATATTTTGACAAAAATTACATAATAACTTTGCAACCTTTTGCAGGCAATATCAATGTAGCATTTACATACTGAAATCTTTAATGTTTGCAAAGAAAATCATCGAGAACGTAAATCGGGAGGGGACCAAAATATTGTTAACGGGAATAAGTTCCTTACAACACCTGTAAATATGTATAAAATCGGTTCGGACAAGAAAGGGGTGTTTACCAACGGATGAGTTAACTACAATATACGTCCACATTAAAACACTGACCTATAAAAATCCCGAAACATTGATAAACCGGTTTAATTGGAAATTAACATAAAGTTCAAAATAAGTTTTGTTAAATACTTACGTGCATGTTTTTATACTTTCATCATATGTAGCTTTACAATTGTCACAATCAGTAGCTTGAAATAATATCATAGTTTACATATTAATGACGTTAAACATATTTATAACGTTACCAGAACATTATTACGTTACTACGCAAGAAGAATAGAGACTTTTGGCAAGAGTGAATTCCTGGTCCGTATCGCGTATCCGTATGGATTTGGTGTGTGACGTCATCAGTGTGTGTGTGTATTTCTCATACGTGATACGGCACACGGATACGGCAGCACGTATCGATCAGCTTTTATACGGAGAAGGTCCGTATAACATCGTCGTCTTTTTACCGTCTTTTGTGCTACTTGTAGAGTCATTGTAGACGCTGAATTGTTGTATCGTAGCGTTTTTATGAATCTATGTGTATCATGGAACACGAAGGTGTGTATTTGATGTGATTTTAACAATGATAAAGAGTGGAATTTAATCATTATTTTTGATGGTTTTCACGGAATTTAATTTTCATACTTTTCCTGCCTGTCGGTCTACATGCTGGTTGATCTACATGCTAAATTCAGGGAGGTGGATCTTTGCAAATCTGTAAATGACTTTATTCTATGGTAAAGGGGTATAAACTTTCTGAAATGATGCATTAGTGAAACCAAAAATTGCTGTCGAGTTGAAGTCGAAGATTTTTTAAAAAGATTCGACATTAATTTTTTTTTTGAATAGCCCAGCGACTGCCGAGTGACTTCACCAACTCCGGGAAATTGTAGTCTAGGTACTTGACTAATACTGATGGTGATCTTGGTAGATATCTGTCATCATGCTGTAATAGAACTAAGTTCAGCTCAGCTATATGCATACTTACGCGACGCGAAAATCTGCCAAAACTCTAAAACTACATTGACGTAACGTATCACGTATACGATACGGATACGTGATACAGATGGTAAACATTCCGATTGCCAAAAGTCTCTATTAAACACAACATTACCCCGCAAGAAGATATCACCCACCAAAAAAATGTTATGTGATCTCATAATCAATGTGTGTTATGGAAATCAAATAAGCATCAACCCAATACTAAAATGTAGAATGTTTATATGGAGATGAAAATAATCCGTGATATATAATGCTGTTTAAGTGAAAACAAAATATCTAAGAAGCGTTGATCTGTCAAGGGGTATATAAATCAACGAAAAATCAAAGCAAAACCCCGATGTTCGATAATGTTCATCTGCACGACTGAACCGAAAACCCCCAAGGCAACAAAGTCTACGAAATAACTGAAAAGTGTATCTGGAGTTCCTATATTCTGTAAATACGTTCTAAATCCCTTTGCTACCTGTCAAATTTTGGCGCCAAAGTTACATACAATGCAATAAAGTGTTCAACGTTTTTCGGGTTGTTCCCTTGCACTCTATATTATCGTTAACATCTTTGTTCCATTTTCTTTTCTTTTTTCATTTTGTTGTGTTTTGACTTTGTTCCTATATCGTTTGTTCCTATATCGTTTGTTCTTCTGATGCATATACTTGCACTAGTAAGTTTAGAGGAGATAAATAAATCCGCGACCTTGGATAGGCCCTGTTTCTCAAAAACTTAAAGCTAAAATCACCAAAATAGATTTTAACTAAAATCAAAATGAAATTTCAAATTTTATGCGTTTCACGAAGATATATTGTAACTTAAAATGTACTTTTAATAGATTTTAGTTAAAGTTGCTTACGTTCGCGCAGTGTACATTTCGGGTGCAGGCACTTGGGGTGCAAGCAAATTATAGGCTTCGAAACTGACAACTGTTGACATGTTGAAATTATTAGGTGTTTCTAATCTATTGTGCAAAGCTTTTCATGAAATAAGAAAAAATTGGTTGGTGTTGGTAAATTTGTTTAAGTTTTTGTGAAACAGGGTCCAGGATGTGCAAGCCGTGAACATGTAACTTACGACAAAATTCTGTTGTCAGTGCTGCAGCTTCCTGTTTCACTTCTACAAGTGCAGTAACGGTATCACCAGTACCACAGTCATCATTTACACCATTTAAACATGTTACATATTTCTGTGCTACACTATTAAGACATAAAATATGTTATACAATGTCTCTACTACATGGTCAATATGTAATTTAGGCATCAAAATACGTCGCCCGAAATAAATAAATTGCTGTTTTCCATAAGTATGTGTTATAGTTTAATGTGGAATAGTGATTAGTGTGAAATCATTACCCGAGATAAAGTCAAGGGTGTCGTGTTTGACAGATCGGAAGTTTTATACAATTTATTTTTTGTTACCCTATGTTATAATTTAATATAATATTATCATCACAGTCATATTGTGTTAGGGGGGGTTGGATGGCTGAATGGTTAGCGTGCGCGCGCTGTATCATAAAGTCTGTCATTGAGTCGACTGGCGTGGTTTCGAATCCCCGGTTGTACGTGGCAAGGAGTAGGGTCGCCTGTCCAACCTCGTGGGTTTTCTCCGGGCCCTCCGGTTTCCTCCCACTGCTAAAGACCCCTACGCGCAAGCGAATTATGTAAATAAAATTAAAGATACATTATGGGAGATTTTTATAGAGAGTTGGCCATTCTTACTATAACAGTTCAAAAGTAGATGATGAAAGAAGAATATATTGAAAAATTCAGTCAAATTACTGTATTCTGAACATAGTTATCATCGTTGTAATATTTGCCTAGAAATGGTAGCGAATTGTGGCTTCACCTTCGCTGATCGTTTGATTGACAGGCGTTAACTCCACCTACATATCTCGATTATCAAGTAAAGTTTTCAATGGCACACGGAAACGCTTTACAGCGTCCTCGCTAAGTACACTCTATCATTTAGCCTCGATCTAACTGACGTATTTTCATCAGGTTACCCCTTATTTGATTTAATCAATTAGTGAAATCCTATTTAAATCCGAGCTGTAGCCGAGCCATCCGTGGGTCTACAGAGTTGATTTTGGTCTTGTTGTTTAAATAAAGATCTAATTTATAATTTCTATAACATCTGAAGCCTAAATTAAGACTTGCAATAATCAGATTTAGCTCTTGCATAATGCATGTTTAAACCATATGTTAGTCCCGAAATGACCTAGTTTGTGTCGAGTGGACGTTAAACCCCATTTCTCTCTCTCTCTCATATTGTGTTAGGAAAGGTTTTACGACTGTCAATCGTACTCTTAAAGGAGCTAAATAGCTAATATTTGGGACCTAGAAATTGACACAAATGGGTCGCAACGCACAGTAATGTAATATGAATGTATATAAACTGATTCACAATCACATTCCGTTTTTACTCTAATTTCAAATCAGTTATGTTCGGCGAAATACGCCATAAGTCTCAATCGAATGGCTGTCTCTAGTGCCTGGTTATAGTATTTATTGTGCATGCACTCCAGATAGGAATATGACGTCACCGTTTGACATGACATGTTGAATAATTATGCCTAGCTTCGTTCTCCGAGTCCCTTGTTACAAATGGCGCTGAAACAAATGAAATGGGGTTTAACGTCCTACTGTTTTGTGGAGCTGAAACGCATTATAGTACACGAAGTACACGATTCGTGTACCAATGGTAAATAAATTTTTATTTTATTTTAAATATTGAATATCAGAAGCCCATCCTTTTCCGTTAAGATCACAACATCAATGCTGATTTAAATTGACATTCGTGTTTTGAATGTTGAAGACTTTGGATGATACTGCGTTAGAGACTTAGCTACTTTAACCCAAACCCACTACGTTACTAGAGGTTAATGCCGAATTACAACTGAAGCGTTATCTCAGAATAATGTTTTAGAACCAGTTCCGTGCGTTGGCCTTCAACAGCACACGACTAATCCGCTAAAAACAGAAGAATCGCTACGTTTGATTTAGCTACCACATAGATGAGAATTGTAAAACAACAGTAATGTTTAGAATCTTACTTACGTGCAATTATTAGCATTAGCTTCGGCCATATCAGTATCATATGTAGTGGAACAGCCATCACATGTACCTGTATTAATACGGGGATATAACATGATTGTATTTTTAAAAAAAATACATTACTCTTGAGTATTGAGCATAATACATGTAGACCTATATACAATTTGTTCCTTGGTCACGGAAAATATATATTTATTTTAAAACGGACACTGTTTATCTTAAAGGATTTTGTTAAAAATCTATCAGTCTATCGCCCAGATTCAGCCGTTTACATAGTAAGTATAAGGTTTGTTGAATAATTGATAAGTTTATGTCGCTGTATACATTAGCTGTCATTGTTTTAACACTTTTATAAAGGATACTACTTATCTTCGGGGATTTTGGTCAAATTTGGTAAAAAAAAAACCTGCCAATCTATCGATCAATCTGAATATCCATTATGCTCTTGAAAAAAAGTAGGGGATATCGAAAAATAGTCATGGACACTGGACATGCTTTGAGAGTATGTTCAAAGATGAAGAACTTATCGCCCTAACAGAGCCACTGAGCAGCACTTGCGACACGCGTGTGTAATGTCAGATGAGTTCAGATTTACTCTGGATTTCACCGATATGCGTGCTCGCGTTTGGAGGAGTGTAAATGAGCGTCATGCTAACGTTAACGTCAGACAGCATGACAGATTCGGGCGTGGGTCTGTTATGGTGTGGGGAGGAATCACCATGACTGGCAGAACGGACGTGCATATTGTTCAAGGAAGGGTCATTGGTGTGTACTACCCTGACCACATCCTGGCACCGATAGTTCTGCCCTTTGCTCAACGTGCAGGTCGAGGTTTCATCTTTCAAGATGATAATGCCCGTGCCCACAGCGCTCGAGTCGTAACTTGACTACCTCCAGCGTCACCATATTGTCCATATGCCTTGGCCAGCCATGAGTCCTGACCTTTCCCCTATAGAGCATGTCTGGGACATGACCGGGAGACGTGTTCGTCGACGTCAACGTCAACCGACAACACTGCAAGAATTGGCAGTGGCACTGCACGAGGGGTGGGTCAGATTGCCCAAAATCGTGATTGGACGGTTGATTAGGAGCAAGCCACGACGAATTGCTGAATGTCTGAGGATTGGATTGAGCAATTACTCAAAAATCAAAAACGTCCATTTTCACTTTTGACAGTGTATCTCTTTGCGAGTGAAATGGGGCCATCAGGTAAGCGCCCATATGAACTGTTTATGTTCATGTGTAGGCAATTGGCCTGTTATTAACATACACTGGTTACCGCTAATAAAACAACAGTGCATTTCCGCAGTTTTGTACTGTTTCTAAATATCCCCTACTTTTTTTGAAGAGTATATAATACACATCAAACCTTTTCGTTACTTACCGCCGCCAGTACATGTGGTCGTTACCGTAGCAGAAGCTTCTGACATTTTTCCTGAATTGCATGTAGTTTTAGCACAAGTGTCGTAGGTCGTTGCATCCCTGTTTTAAATAAATAAATAATTGAATAGGTAGATACATGGATGGATGGATGGATGGGTGGACGGACGGACGGACGGGCGGAGGGACGGGGGAACGAATCAATCCAAATCAAATCAATAGAAAGGCGACAGAAAATAATTGTCTGCATAAATGTATATTGATAGGATTCCTTCTTGTCCTAAAATCCCACTGAGGACTTTAAATTCACAACGAACTCAATTCAGTGTTGCGTTCACTCAAGTTCTTAAGTTTTAACGAAACCAGGCGAAGCCTCCGTAAAAAGTGGTCGAAACATTCTGGGTTTCGATATTGTACTTCCGTTTGATCGTTTGAACAAAAGCGGCAAATCTAAAAGTACCACTAAGTGTTCACCAACCAGCGGACAGGGATATCCACCATAATATAGCCCATGGGGGTATAAAAATACCGAAACACTGCTCAACCGAATTAGTTCATTTGGAATAAAGCATAACCTTAGTAACTACCCCCCCCCCCCCCCAAAAAAAAAAAAAAACCCTACAAAAACAAGGTGTATATTCCCTTAATATTTTGAAAAAAATCCACATCCACTAAAGTGTAGATTTTGAAAAAAACAATTTGTATCATTATCACTTTGTATCACTGTAGATTCAAAATAAGTAAATATACTTACGTGCATGATTTTGCACTGGCATCATATGTAGATTTACATTCATTACAGCCAGTGGCTTAAAATAATATTATAGTTTACATATTAATGACATTAAACTTATAACGTTACATCACGTTACCAGGAAAGAAGATTAAATTAAACACAATGACATAACGTTTTCAGGCAAGAAAAATAAACACACCAGCGGCTGCCAGGCAGGATACGCCCACATTTTCGAGAGATGGATAGAGAACAAGCTAACAAGAAAGTGATTTTTCCTACTATCAAGGGCCATAATTCAGGAAATTACAATTCAATATGCGCGAATATCGAAAGGAACTGAGATCTTTGTGTTATAAACTTACATTTCAAGTTTCAACTAAATCGGATAAAAATTGTGACCTCTGGTCCACAACCTTGATATACCATATTTTTACGCTATTTGTGAACGAACGGCAGCCATTTTGTCTATCAATTTTGGGCCGATTTTCACGAAATTCGAACTCAACCGTCCTTAGGGTGTAACGGTGATATAATAATACGGTTTTTTAAATCAGATAAAAATTATGACCTCTATATGGTCCACAAGCTAAAAACGAGATTTTTCGTACAATCAGGGGCCATAATTCAGGAAGTTACGGTCCGATTTTCACGAAATTCGAACTCAACCTTCTTTAGTGTGTAACGGTGATATAATAATACGTTTTTTTTAAATCGGATAAAAATTATGACCTCTATAGGGTCCACAAGCTAAAAACGCGACTTTTTCGTACAATCAGGGGCCATAATTCAGGAAGTTACGGTCTGATATGCGCGAAGATCGAAAGGAACCGAGATCTTTGGGTTATAAACATACATTTCAAGTTTTAAAAAAATCGGATAAAAATTGTGATCTCTATAGGGTCCACAACCTTGATATACTATATTTTTACGCTATTTGAGAACGAACGGAGGCCATTTTGTCTGTCAATTTTGGGCCGATTTTCACGAAATTCGAACTCAACCGTCCTTAGGGTGTAACGGTGATATAATAATACGGTTTTTTAAATCAGATAAAAATTATGACCTCTATAGGGTCCACAAGCTAAAAACGAGATTTTTCGTACAATCAGGGGCCACAATTCAGGAAGTTACGGTCCGATATGCGCGAATATCGAAAGGAACCGAGATCTTTGGGTTATAAACTTACATTTCAAGTTTCAAAAAAATTGGATAAAAATGGTGACCTCTATAGGGTCCACAAGCTAAAAACGTGATTTTTCGTACAATCAGGGGCCATAATCCATGAAGTTTCGATCCGATACATGCCAATATCGAAAGCAGCCGAGATCTTTTGGGGATAAACCTATATTTCAAGTTTCGTCAAAATCGGATAAAAATTGTGACATGTAGAGAGTCCACAAACAATTGTGGACGGACGTACGTCCGGACGGACAGGGGCGACGGCATAATAGGTCCACATGAAAATGTGGGCGTATAACAACGTTACCACATTAAACACATAACCTTTCCAGACAAGAACGATAAACACACGTTACCACGCAAGTTAATTAAACATGGAATGTTGTCATGGAAATCAAATGAGAAATGATTCTGTAGCAACAACATCTGTAGAATATTTAAATTCATAAAATGTATGTGTCTAATAAGGTTATCATTTTTTAAATTGAACAATTCCACCAAGTCTAAAGCGTTTACAAAGGCTATAGATCAACGAAAAAATAATGTATTTGATAATGTAAAACGGGTCATGCTTTCAGAATTGCACACGTAAAAGTTTGCTCTAGGAGAGAAGTTAGATCATCTTAGGAGGTAGTGCCCTGTAAAGATATCAACATATATGTAGACTGTATAATGTTCATCTACATCACTAGACGTACATTTGTTTTAACTAGGTTTCTGTAACAGAGGCAAAAATGTACAAGTTTAAAAGTATTTTGCAGTTCCTAAAGTCTGATAAAAGCTCTATAAGGCCTTCGCTATCTGCCTCCAAATTTAATAACACCCCTGCGAAATGCACATTATGTTTCACTTCTTTTGGAGTATTTTCTAGTGACTGCTTTGGCTATGTTTCTACATTGTTCGCATAGATGTACGGGCTCGATGACAGTTAGCGGGGTAGAATCCGAAATGCCCGCGAGAGCGGAGAAGGGGAGCTTACCGTGTAGGGACACCCAAAAAAATTTTTGGAAAATTTGACGGCCGCAAACGCGTTTTCCTGCTATTCCAGCCTCTAAATACAGCCACTAGAAAAAGGGTCTAATATAGCCTACTTAGATGGCTGGAAACGCGTTTTTCTGTTATTTCAGTCTGTGAATACAGCAACTTCAACGTGGTCCAATATAGCCTACTTTTGATGGCTGACCTGAATCCCCAACAACCATTCAATCGTCTCGGGGTATGGGGGCCTCGCCCTTCCGTAGGAAATTTTGAAAATGTAACTACCGCAAATGCGTTTTTCTGCTTCTCTAGCCCGTGAGTTAAGCAACTCTAAAATTCTCTAATGGTTTTGTAACCGAAATCCCACTCTATGCTGACCTGAATTCCAACCACCCAATCACACTGTTGCAGCTGCATTCACAAATAATAATCGATAAGGTGCTCAATCGCGCAATTGAGCACGCAATGGCGACACCAAACGACTTCATAATGATGGTTGCTAGGCAGAAGTGTAAAAATGATAAATTCGTTGATGCTCATGCTAAACCTGTAAAGCATCAATGAAGAAGACGTTTTTCTTCTAAATAAAATAGAATTAAAATTTACACTGAACAACTAAAGATTTTGGATTCTATAAGCACGATTTGTGGATTTGGCGCTATATAAATGGACATATTATTATTATTATTATTATTGTCTTAATTTGAAAGTTACATGGATGGAAGTTAAAAATTACAAGAATTGAAGTTAAAATTTACAAGAATAGAAGTTATAAATTACATGAAAAGGAGTTAGAAATTAGAAGATAGCACGTTAGAATTTTGAATCTAATATACCGCCATAGTTACAACCTATTTCATTTCATTTCATTTGAATGCAATTTGGATAACTTACTACAAAATTCCTCCTTCTTTGTGGCAGCTGCAGTTTTAGTGTCAACCAGTGTAGTAGTACCACAGGCATCATTTACACCATTTAAACATGTTACATATGCCTCAGCTACACTATAAGGCATAAAACATGTTATTTTGTAATATGTAACTTTATATTTGACATCACAAATCTGATGTAGGGATTAACGCCGGGGTGGAGCCGGTATGCCGCTAGTCATTAAACCGATAAGAAGAGCCATAACGTTTTAGCTACCAAATATATTAAAGCGGTTATAAATAAGTCGATGCTAGTCAGAATTATTTGTCGCCATGAATCATCTTTTCATCATACAAATTGCATCTTAATTCCGAAATTTTAGCAGGTTTTAAGCTATGGTTCTTTCTGTCGTCTTGAATAATGCCCATTGTTTATGTCTGTATGGCGCAAGGACTTTGTAAACAATAATTAAAAATTAGAGTTTCAAATTTTGTATTTGAGACATGTAGAGGCTTATAAGATTCAATCTGTTTGTAGATGACCATACAATATATAACATGCTTTAATTCCTTGGTTGTTTTTTTTTATAAAGTAATAATAATATTGCACCTTTAAAGAACTATAATAATATTTAGAATCTTACTTACGTGCATTTATTAGCATCAGTCACGGCCACATCAGTATCATATGTATTGGAACAGTCATTACATGTACCTGTATAATATAAGGATATAAAATGATTGTGTTTAAAAATAAAAATAAAACATTGGGGGTGGGTGAGCGGTATTTTTGACCTTAAAGATATTAAAATACATGGTAGGTATATGCATGTAATTAAAGATTCACTCCCGGCTTAATTTGTTACTTTGTACATTTGTGCAAAACGGATCATGCTAACGGGATTGCACACGTAAAAGTTTGCTTTAGGAGTGAATTTAGATCATCTTAGGACGTAGTGCCCTGTAATGTATATGTAGACATTCTATATAAAAGATTTTTATAACGGATACTGCTTATATAAGGGGATTTTTTTCAAATTTGGTAAAACAAATCTGTCAGTCTATCGCCCAGATTTAGGAGTTTAAATAGTTATTAAAATGTTTGTTGAATTGACATGTTTATGTCACTGCATACATTAACTGTCATCGTTTTCATAACCATAGTTATAATTATTTAACAATCTGAATATCCATATATAATACACATCAAACCTTTTCAATACTTACCGCCATCAGTACATTTGGTCGTTACCGCAGTGGAAGCTTCTGACATTATTTCTGAACTGCATGTAGTTTTAGCACAAGTGTCGTAGGTCGTTGCATCCCTGTTTTAAATAAATAAATAAATAAATAAATAAATAAATTAAACAAACAATCGACGGACAGACGAACCAAACCGAACCAAACCAGAGAGAGAGAGAGAGAGAGAGAGAGGTAATTTCGGAAGTAACATGTTTCAATAATCCGCTTGATCGTAGGGGTCTTTAGCAGTCGGAGGAAACCAGCGGACCCGAAGAAAACCCCCGAGGTTGAAACCACGCCAATGACAGATCTTATGATCTAACGCCTATACGTTAAACCATTCGACCAACCAACCCCGCAAATTTACATTTGGGAAACAAAATGGAGGGATACCAATAGGACAAAGATGCTTTCCGTGTGTCGCATTAAGCCAGTTTTAAAATAGTTCCTTTTTGTTCAGTACCAGTTGGAAACTGGTTTATGAAATCTACTCTAACATACCACGCTTTAGGAGTATCGCTTGTCAACAATTGTTTAGTTTCTAAATCACACATAATAAAAACATCGGTTTAAAACTAAAACTATTTTTCGGTGCGATAACGTTACCCTTAACAGAAATGGCCGTTTATCATAATGTAACATGTATTGCTAGTTTTCATATACATTATTTTTTTTTTTTTTTTTTTTGCTGGGGGGGGGGGGGGGGGTTAACGTTCACTCGACACAAACTTGGTCGTTTCGGGACTGTCATGGTTATATTTTATTTTAATAATGCGCTAGCTCGTATGGGTTTTTAGCAGTGGGAGGAAACCCAACGTGTATATCCCCTTAATATTTTGAGAAAAAAAAAATCCATTAAACTGCTAAACTGTAGATTCTGAATCAACAATTTGTATCATTAAGATCACCAAAGCTGACAATTTCACTTTAGATTAAAAATAAGTAAATATACTCACGTGCATGATTTTGTACTGGCATCATATGTAGATTTACATTGATTACAGCCAGTGGCTTAAAATAATATTATAGTTTACATATTAATGACATTAAACACATAACGTTACCAGTCACATTAAAGACATCAAGTTCACCAGACAAGAAAATTAAACTAAACACATAACGTTTCCAGGCAAGAACAATAAACACACAACGTTACCACACAAGGACATTAAACACATAACGTTTCCAGGCAAGAACAATAAACACACAAGGTTACCACCACACAAGGACATTAAACACATAACGTTACGAGGCAGGAACATTAAACCATAGAATATATACAGAGTATATAATATTTCTATGATTAAACACATAACGTTACAATTTCACCCACCACCAACATTTTCATTATGTGATCCAATAATCACTATATGTTGTCATGGAAATCAAATGAGACGTGACTCCGTAGCAACAACTCTATGTTTAAATGTTTAAATTCATAAAATGTATGTGTCTAATATGGTCATAATTTTTTAAACTGGACAATTCCACGTCTAAAGCGTTTACAAGGGCTATAAATCAACATAAAGCTTTTACAGGGGCTATAGATCAACGAAAAAATAATGTATTTGATAATGTAAAACGGGTCATGCTATTGGAATTGCACACGTAAAAGTTTGCTCTAGGAGTAAAGTTAGATCATCTTAGGAGGTAGTGCCCTGTAAAGATATCAACATATATGTAGACTGTATAATGTTCATCTACATCACTAGACGTACATTTGTTTTAACTAGGTTTCTGTAACAGAGGCAAAAATGTACAAGTTTAAAAGTATTTTGCAGTTCCTAAAGTCTGATAAAAGCTGTTTAAGGCCTTCGCTATCTGCCCCTAAATTTAATAGCACGCCTGGGAAATGCACACTAGTTTCCATTTCTTTTGGAGTATTTTCTAGTGACTGCTTTGGTTGTGTTTCTACATTGTTCGCATAGGTGTATGGGCTAGATGACAGTTTGGGGGGGAGCGGGGATCCGAAATGACCGAAAAAATTTCGGGTTACAGACTGCGGCGCCGGTTTTCTGCGAGAGCGGAGGAGGGGAGCTTACCGCGTAGGAAACCCCATAGAAAATTTGGGGAATTTTGACGGTCGCAAACGCGTTTTCCTGCTATTCCAGCCTCTTAATACAGCAACTTCAACGGGGTCTAATATAGCCTACTTAAGATGGCTGACTCGAATTCCAATTCGCTATCTGCCCCCAAAATTTAATAGCACGCCTGGGAAATGCACATTATTTTCCATTTCTTTTGGAGTATTTTCTAGTGACTGCTTTGGTTGTGTTTCTACATTGTTCGCATAGGTGTACGGGCTCGATGACAGTTTGGGGGGGGATCCGAAATGACCGAAATAATTTCGGGTTACAGACAGCGGCGCCGGTTTTCTGCGAGAGCGGAGGAGGGGAGCTTACCGCGTAGGAAACCCCATAGAAAATTTTGGAAATTTTGACGGTCGCAAACGCGTTTTCCTGCTATACCAGCCTCTTAATACAGCAACTTCAACGGGGTCTAATATAGCCTACTTAAGATGGCTGACTCGAATTCCAATTAACCGATCAAGTCCACGGAGACGGACCGTCGGGCGAAATTTTGAAAATTTAACTGCTGCAAACGCGTTTTCATGCTATTACAGTCTGTGAATACAGCAACTTCAATGTGGTTCAATATAACCTACTTTTGGTGTTGCAGTAGTACAGTCGGTGCATAAAAGTAGGTAGTTACAACCTTTTTCCTTTCATTTAAATTCAAATTGGATAACTTACTACAAAATCACACTGTTGCAGCTGCATTCACAAATAATAATCGATGCCCGCAAAAATGTCGCACAGAGTGGAGTATAATTCAGCCTTTTAGGTGACCATTGAATCTAACCTACTGACATTTTTGAATAGTACAATTAAATATTTTACGGTGACAATAAAGCTGCAGAACAGGTACTATGTTTCGGAGATTGAGCACTAATTAGAAGGGGTAGTACAAAGTCCCCATATTCAACTTCGGGTATGTGGTGGGGAGAAAAATAATTTCTCTGACTCATCAGGTATTTATTAGCAAACCGAGTAACTTACTGAAGAATTCGGTTTTCTGTGTTGCAACTTCAGTTTTCTTCGCTGAGAGTGTTGCATAAAAGTCGGTCGTTACAGCCCATTTCATTTCATTTCATTTAAACTCAAATTTGATAACTTACTACAAAATCCCTCCTTGTTTGCTGCAGCTGCAGTTTTGGTGTCAGCCAGTGTAGTAGTACCACAGGCATCATTTACACCAATTAAGCATGTTACATATGTATCTGCTACACTATAAGACATAAAACATGTTATATTGTTTTCCGATGTGGAATGGGGATTAACGCCCGGGTGGAGTCGGGATGTCGTGGGAGTTTTAAACCACCCTCACAATTTCGTTTCTTTTCTCGATTACGATCTACTTGAGCCATATTATGGTAGCGATAACATTAAAATATTTTCAATAATGCACAACACAAAATACAAATACAGTTATTATTTCTAAGGTTGCCGGTCTGTGTTGGATGAGATTACCGTTCCTGCCATAACGTCACAGCTATTTTAATACTAGATAGTGGATAAACGATACATAAAACATCTGAAACGGCTGGCCATTAAACCGATGAGAAGAACAATAACGTTTTAGCTACCAATTATATTAAAGTGGTAATAAATAAGTCCATGCTAGTCAGAATTAATTTCGAAATTTTAGCAGGTTTTAAGCCGTCTTGAATAATGCCCATTGTTTATGTCTGTATGGCGTAACGACTTTGTAAACAATAATTAAAACTTAGAGTTTCAAATTTTGTATTTGAGACATGTAGAGGCTTATAAGATTCAATCTGTTTGTTGATGAACATACAATATTAGCATGCTTTAATTCCTTGGTTGTTTTTTTTATAAAGTAATAACAATATTGCACGTATATAAAAATATTTAGAATCTTACTTACGTGCATTTATTAGCATCAGCCACGGCCACATCAGTATCATATGTATTGGAACAGTCATCACATGTACCTGTATAATATAAGGATATAAAATGATTGTGTTTAAAAATAAAAATAAAACAGTGGGGGTGGGTGTGCGGTATTTTTGACCCTAAAGACATTAAAATACACGTAATTGCATGTAATTAAAGATTCACTCTCGGCTTAATTTGTTACTTTGTACATTTGTATAAAACGGGTCATGCTAACGGGATTGCACACGTAAAAGTTTGCTCTAGGAGTAAATTTAGATCATCTAAGGACGTATATAGTCCCCTGTTAAGCATATGAAGATTTATATATAAAAGATTTTTATAACGGATACTGCTTATACTGGGGGATTTTGTTCATATTTGTTAAAACAAATCTGTCAGGCTATCCACGAGATTGAGGAATTTAAATAGTTATTAAAATGTTTGTTGAATTGACAAGTTTATGTCAATGCATACATTAACTGTCATCGTTTTCATAACCATAGTTGTAATTTAACAATCTGAATATCTACATATAATACACATCAAACCTTTTCAATACTTACCGCCGTCAGTACATGTGGTCGTTACCGCAGATGAAGCTTCTGACATTATTTCTGAACTGCATGTAGTTTTAGCACAAGTGTCGTAGGTCGTTGCATCTCTGTTTTAAATAAATAGATAATGGAATAGGTAGATACATGGATGGATGGATGGATGGATGGTGGACAGACGGACGGGGGGGGGGGGGCGACAGTCTTCGGTAGACAGGGTGGAGCAGAAAAGTAGGACTCTTAGACTCAGTTCATGTCTGTTTAGTTTATCGTCTGCCTCTAAATCATGAATAAACACAAACCAGACAGAAAATGTAAAGTCAACTAAACTCGCTATGCAAAGAAGAAAGAGACAAAGACTATCAATAGAAAGGTGACAGCAAATAATTGTCTGCATATATGTATATCGATAGGATTCCTCCTTGTCAAAATATCCTACTGAGGAGTTTAAATTCACAAATAACGCAATTCAGTTTTGCGTTCACAAACGTTCCTAAGTTTTAACGAAACCAGGATATGCCTCCGTAAAAAGTTGTCGAAACAATGTGTATATCCCCTTAATATTTTGAAAAACAAATCCACTAAACTGTAGATTCTGAATCAACAATTTGTATCATTAAGAGCACCAAAGCTGACAATTTATTTCACTTTAGATTCAAAATAAGTAAATATACTCACGTGCATGATTTTGTACTGGCCTCATATGTAGATTTACATTGATTACAGCCAGTAGCTTAAAATAATATTATAGTTTACATAATTATTAATGACATTAAACACATAATGTTACCAGTCACATTAAAGACAACACGTTACCAGGCAAGATAATTAAGTTAAACACATAACGTTTCCAGGCAAGAACAATAAACACACAACGTTACCACAAAGGACATTAAACACATAACGTTACGAGACAGGAACATTAAACACATAACGTCACTCTCCACCAACATTTTCATTATGTGATCCAAAAATCACTGTATGTTGTCATGGAAATCAAATGAGAAATGATTCGTAGCAACAACTCTGATCTGTAGAATGGTTAAATTCATAAAATGTATGTGTCTAATACGGTCATGATTTTTTAAACTGAACAATTCCACGTCTAAAGCGTTTACAAGGGCTATAAATCAACAAAAATTATGTATTTGATAATGTAAAACGGGTCATGCTATCGGAATTGCACACGTAAAGGTTTGCTCTAAGAGTAAAATTAGATCATCTTAGGAGGTAGTGTCCTGTAAAGATATCAACATATATGTAGACTGTATAATGTTCATCTACATCACTAGACGTACATTTGTTTTAACTAGGTTTCTGTAACAGAGGCAAAAATGCACAAGTTTAAAAGCATTTTGCAGATAAAAGCTCTATAAGGCCTTCGCTATGTGCCCCCAAATTTAATAGCACCCCTGCGAAACGCACATTACGTTCCATTTCTTTTGGAGTATTTTCTAGTGACCGCTTTGGCTGTGTTTCTACATTGTTCGAATAGGTGTACGGGTTCGATGACAGTTAGTGGGGCAGAATCCGAAATGCCCGAAATAATTTCGGGTTACAGATGGCGGTGCCGGTTTTCTGTGAGAGCGGAGGAGGGGAGCATACCGTGTAGGAACCCCCAAAGAAAATTTTGGAAAATTTAACGGCCGCAAACGCGTTTTCCTGCTATTCCAGACTCTAAATACAGCAACTTCAAAGGGGTCTAATATAGCCTACTGAAGATAGTTGACTCGAATTCCAATCAACCAGTCAATCGTTTACAGTCCACGCAGACGGGGCCGTCGGGTGAAAATTTTGAAATTTTAACTGCTGCAAACGCGTTTACCTGTTATTTCATTTTGTGAATCCAGCAACTTCAATGTGGTCCAATATAGCTTACTTTTGGTGGCTGATCTGAATCCCCAACAACTAATCAATCGTCTCGGGGTATGGGGGCCTCGCCCTCACTTAGGAAATTTTGAACATTTAACTACCGCAAATGCGTTTTTCTGCTTCTCTAGCCCGCGAGTGAAGCAAGTCTCTAATGGTTTTGTAACCAAAATCCCACTCTATTCCAACCTGAATTCCAACCACCCAATCACACTGTTGCAGCTGCATTCACAAATAATAATCGATGCCCGAAAATATGTCGCACAAATTAGAGTATAATTCAGCCTTTTAGGTGACCATATCATCTAACCTACTGACATTTTTAAATAATACAAGTAAGTATTATACGGTGACCATAAAGCTGCAGAATAGGTACTATGTTACGGGGAAATGAGCACTAACAATAAGAGGTAATAAAAAGTCTCCATATTAAACTTCGGGTATGTATTGGGGAGAAAATTAATTTCTCTGACTCATCAGGTATTCATTAGCAAGCCGAGTAACTTACTGCAGAATTCGGTTTTCTGTGTTGCAACTTCCGTTTTCTTCTCTGAGATTATTGCAGTAGTACAGTCGGTGTATAAATGTTGATCGTTACAATCCATTACATTTCATTTCATTTGAATGCAAATTTGATAACTTACTACAAAATTCCTCCTTGTTTGTTGCAGCTGCAGTTTTGGTCTCAGCCAGTGTAGTAGTACCACAGGCATCATTTACACCATTTAAGCATGTTACATATGTATCTGCTACACTATAAGACATAAAACATGCTATATTGTAATATGTAATTTTGACATCACAATTCTGATGTGGAAAAGGGATTAAGGCCGGGGTGTAGCCGAGATGTCATGGTGCCCATGCGGGGAGAATTAAACCACCCTCACAATTTCGTTTCTTTTTTCGATTACAATCTATCTTAGTCATATTATGGTAGCGATAATATTAAAATATTTTCAATAATGCACAACACGAAATACAAATACAGCTATTATTTCTAAGGCTGCTGGTCTGTGCTGGATGAAATTACTGTTCCTCCCTATAACGTCACAGCTATTTTAATACCAGATAGTGAATAAACTGTACATAAAACATCTGAAACGACTGGCCATTAAACCGATGAGAAAAACCATAACGTTTTAGCTACCAATTATATTAAAGCGGTAATAAATAAATCGATGCTAGTCAGAATTATTTGTCGCTATGAATCATCTTTTCATCATACAAATTGCATCTTAATTTCGAAATTTTAGCAGGTTTTAAGCCGTCTTGAATAATGCCCATTGTTTATGTCTGTATGGCGCAACGACTTTGTAAACAATAATTAAAAATTAGAGTTTCAAATTTTGTATTTGAGACATGCAGAGGCTTATAAGATTCAATCTGTTTGTAGATGAACATACAATATATTGCATGCTTTAATTCCTTGATTGTTTTTTTTATAAATTAATAACAATATTGCACGTATATAATAATGTTTAGAATATTACTTACGTGCATTTATTAGCATCAGTCACGGCCACATCAGTATCATATGTAGTGGTACAGATATCACATGTAGCTGTATAATATAAGGATATAAAATGATTGTGTTTAAAAATAAAAATAAAACATTAAGCGCTATTTTTGAGCTTAATGTTATTAAAGTACATGTTAGGTATATAAATACAAGATTTACTCCCGGCTTAAAGTTACAATTTCATATTTTCTAAGAAAGTCAAAACATAATTATTTCTATGCCTTTCGCTCAATAGGTTGTCAACTCACTACTATACGATCATAGGTGTCATTCTCACACTTAAAACTCATTTACACCGGAAATAATAACACAATTACCTCCCTTGTTTTCTATTCTCCACCATGGAGTAGCTTTTTTTCAAACGTTTGAATTTGAAGAGGAAAATGACATTTTTGCCAATATCTCAACTGGCAATAGTGAATTATAGGATAAATAGGATTATTCTTTAACAAGGTAGGACTGTTTATAGATACCATCTATTTTAAGGCTTTATTTTAATAAATTTTAAAAATATAACGTAAAAATATGAAATTGCAACTTTAATTTGTTACTTTGTAATCTATTCGCACGGAGCCTTACATAGGTGTGCTATATTATACAGTAAATTTACATCATTTTAAAGTAGCCAAATCTTTAACTCATTATCATCCAAAGTCCTCGACATTACAAACACGACTTATTGGTCAATTCAAACCAACATTGATGCTATTATCTTACCGTGAAAAGGTGGGCTTCTGGTATCCAATATTTAAGACACAATGAAAGTTTTAAACTTGACACGTCTGAATGCCTGCAAGCGCCTTTTGTAATGAGCGACTCGATGAACGAGACTAAACATATCGCACAAGGGAAGACTATCGGAGTAGACTGGAATAACCAGGCGCCTAAGACCGCCATTCAATTTGCACCCTTCACGTATTTCGCCGAACATAACAGATTATAAATTACAGTAAAAATAGAAACGATTAAATGTAAATCAATTTATATACATTCATATTACATTATTTTATGCGTCGCGACCCATTTGTGTCCATTTCTAGATGCCAAAGAATAGCGATTGAGCTCCTTTAAGCCCCGTTCATACGGTGACATCTTGTATATACCTGTATATCACAATTTTGATCCGATTTTGAAGAAACTTAAAATATATGTTTATTTCCAAACGATCTGGGTTCACAATCTTTAAAAACAACCACCGTATAAATATATCACTGTTACACCATAATGACGGTTGAGTTCGAATTTCGTGAAAATCAGACCAAAATTGCCCTACGAAATGACCGCTCCTATGCAAGTAGTGTAAAGCCATGGTTTCTGGACCCTCTAGAGGTCACACCTTTTACCCAATTTTGATGAAACTTAAAATATACATTTATATCCCAAAAATCTTGGTTCATTTCGATACTTTCGTGTTTCGAACCATAACTTCCTGGATTATGGCCCTTGATTGTACGAAAAATCGCTTTTTATAGTTTGTCCTCTGTCCATTGGAGGGCGTATCTTGCATGGCAAACGCTTGTTGGTATTGTCATGGAAAGTTTAAGACTCAGAAGACAGAAATATTTCTTATAATTGGTTTAGGCCTTGTTCTAGCAACATATACACGTAGAATGGTTCTACTATGTCTTGCAACATTTTGAGGAATCAGACTGTCAAGTTATCTTCTTACAGCTTGCCATTTTTTTTATGGTTTAACAGTTTTGAGCCTTTTCATTAACTTATACAAATTTCACCGTTCAACAATGGGGCGTTGCTAATGGTAACAACTCAAAATAACAGTGATGCTGTATCCCAGAGAAATTACTAACCGTGTGTAAATTTGATGTGCGTTCATATGGCCAGATTTGCACAGGTAGCAAGTAAACATGTTTTTACTCACATGCTGTACAAATCTGCAAATCGCGCCGTCTGAACGGGGTTAGGAGGTAGTGCAATATTATATATTTCCATATGTGCAGATCAGCACCATGTGCAAATATCGTCATGCGAACTTGCTTTATGTAAATATCCATAAGAAGGTGAGTTAAGTCAGGGATGTGTTTGGATAAAAGATGAAGTTGACCAATCAAAACGCAAGATTCAAACTTAAGCATGTTACAATTGTTGATAAGCGATACTCCTAAAGAGTGGTGTGCTAGATTTCATAAACTAATATTAAACTGGCCCTGAAAACATTAGAACCCGCCTGTCTAACCTGGTGGGTTTTCTCCGGGTAAACCGGTTTCTTTCGACTGCGAAAGATCCCGCCGCGCAAGCGATTATTATAATAAAATTGAAACATATGTTAGTCCCCAAATGACCTAGTTTGTGTCGAGTGGACGTTTAACCCCATCTCTCTTTGTTTCGGCTATGTTTTTATATCGTTTGTTCTATCTGATCTTAGCCTGGAGGTGCCGTGTTCGATCCCTGTATTGGCCGAGAGTGTTCATCGGGATTTTCTGACCTGGTTTCCTCTTGTCAGCTGTCTAGACGTTCGGGTGGTACGAATAATCGAGGCCCCGTGTATACATTGGCGCGCACGTAAAAGATTACTTGGCAGTTGGAATTCGATATAAGAGTAGGCCATAGTTCTGCTGCCCGGGCAAAATTTCCCTCATAGCGCACTGTATGGCACATGCCCGTCTTCATTATCCCAGCCGGAGCAGAACAGTAGGACGTTAAACCCCATTTCATTTTATTTCTTTCTGATCTGGAGTATTTTCTAATGATTGTTTTGGCTGTGTTTCTACGCCGTTTGTTATGTCTGGGTTTTTTTTGTTCTTGTACTGTTCTATAGTCTGTCCTTTAGGTGACCCCAGAATTTAATCTACTGACAGTGTAGTGTATTTTTAGTGGAATAATAAAGTGAATCACGAAAAATGTCAGTCACATAATTTATCAATAACCTTTTTATACTTACCACCATCTGTACATGTGTCTGAAATTGTTGCGGTGGCTGCCGTTTTTTCGACCTCAGAGCAAGCATCGCTAGTAGCATCAGTTGCACACGTTGAGTAAGTATTTGCATCCCTGTTTATAGTAAAGAATAATATTTGTAGTAAAAAGTGTTAAGCACAACCAAAATTCGGTAATTTTAGATCATCTTACATTAATATTGTTGTCGTATTTCGACATTTGTATCTTAAAATCAATATTTGTTTTACAAATCAACATTTGTCATATCAGATTTTTAAAATGTATTTTTGTTTAATTCAACTGTATTTAAATATAAGAATAACAATTTATTTTAGTAAATTAAAAAAAAGATAGGTTGCCAGGCAACGAAACATACGCCCACAGCAACTAAATCGTCCGGGCAGTCAACAAGGGTTGTCGCATATTTTTCCTTTTTTCGGTAATGAAACCTTTATAATACACTAAAATCTGATTAAGAGCAACAACTCACGAAGTAATTATCAGAAAACTATTAGAATTTGTTTGGTTTTTATAAAGTTCTGCCCCATGCTAACGTTTTGTATGCAAAGCTTTTAATATCATGGATTTAACTGTTCAAGTCATAAAAATTCATTGAAAATCAATATACTTGTTCGTCTCAAGATCTTAAACTCTGTGTATCAATCTGAAGTCAATCGGATGATAACTTAAGGGCCATAACTTTGGCAGTAATTATCGGAAATCATTGAAAATCAATAGGAATCTTTGTCTCATGACCTCAAACACTGTGTATAAATTTAAACTCAATCGGATATTAACTTCAGCCTCTAGAGCATCCACAAGATTTTTTGAAGTGATCAAGGGCCATAACTCTGGCAGTAATTATCGGAAATCGCTGAAAATCAATAGGCTTCTTCGTCTCATGACCTTAAACACTGTGTATAAATTTAAAGTCAATCGAATATTAACTTTCGCTTCTAGAGCATCCACAAGATTTTTCAGAGTGATCAAGGGCCATAACTCTGGCAGTAATTATCAGAAATCGCTGAAAACCAATAGGTGTCTTCGTCTCATGACCTTAAACATTGCGTATAAATTTAAAGTCAATCGGATATTAACTTTGGCCATTAGAGCATCCACAAGATTTTTTGAAGTGATCAAGGGCCATAACTCTGGCAGTAATTATCGGAAATCGCTGAAAATCAATAGGCTTCTTCGTCTCATGACCTTAAACACTGTCAATCGAATATTAACTTTCGCTTCTAGAGCATCCACAAGATTTTTCAGAGTGATCAAGGGCAATAACTCTGGCAGTAATTATCAGAAATCGCTGAAAACCAATAGGCTTCATCATCTTATGGCCTTAAACACTGTGTATAAATTTAAAGTCAATCGGATATTAACTTTAGCCTCTAGAGCATCCACAAGATTTTTCAGAGTGATCAAGGGCAATAACTCTGGCAGTAATTATCAGAAATCGCTGAAAACCAATAGGCTTCATCATCTTATGGCCTTAAACACTGTGTATAAATTTAAAGTCAATCGGATATTAACTTTAGCCTCTAGAGCATCCACAAGATTTTTTGAAGTGATCAAGGGCCATAACTCTGGCAGTAATTACCGGAAATCGTTGAAAATCCATAGGTGACTTCGTCTCATGACCTTAAACATTGCGTATAAATTTAAAGTCAATCAGATATTAACTTTAGCCTCTAGAGCGTCCACAAGCAATTGTGGACGCCGGACGGACGGACGGACGGACGGGGGCGACGACAATATACGACCACATTTCAATGTGGGCGTATAAAAATAATAAATAATCTACATTTACATTTCATCATATACATACAACGAAAAACAATTGTATTTTAATATAAAGGTAATTTTTTATTTTAGAAAATCAAAAAATTAGCTTACATTTACATTTCATCAGAGAAATACAACAAGAAACAAATCTCAAACAACAAATTTCCAAATACAAATCTCCAAATACAAATCTTGCAAAACATTTCTCTAAAAAACTTTTCTCTAAAAAACATTTCTCTAAAAAACATTTCTTCAAAAACATTTCTCGGAATTCATCGAACCGGAACATCATGACGACATGAGCGGCAATCAACCTGGCATACATTATGTAATCATACAATAATGGGGAATCAAGTATAAGCGTATGTACGATAAGAAAAATCGCTCGATGACGGCGACTCTAGTGAAAACAGTGAAAGTAGTCTATTTTCAGAAATTAGGTTTTGTCTGATAGCGACATATTTCTTTGCTCAAAGAGAGGTTTAACGTCCACTCGACACAATTGAATTAAACAAAATACATTTTACAATTCTGATATGAAAAATGTCTGATTTGTGAAACAAATATTGATTTCTAAGATACAAAGTGTTAATTTCGAAATACGACAACAAATTAAAAAAGAAGAATTAAGGACTATGAATTAAGAATTTTAATTCTTAGTTCTTAATTCATAGTCCTTAAGAACACTGAATAAAGAGCTGTTTGGTCTTCCATATACCCGTCTTTATTAGCTCAGTCCGCAGTCGCAATCTCTTTCACGGAGATCTTCTAACATCTCTGTAACAGATGACTGTTTCGACACGTGACGCCACATCACGCGGCTTCAATCAATAGCTTAATAGCGCGTGCATTGTTTACATAAGACGTTACTGATTCGGGCTAAATGGTGAATTTTACTTATTTTGATATCCATTTACACTAAATAGGAAAAGATGTTTTACCTACAAATAATTCAAACGTATTTATTTACTTTTCTAATGAATGAAAAAAATGTTTTAGAATTTAATTTGACGGAAGAAAAAAGTTAATATTTGAGACTCATTAAGTCGCATCGATGTCATCCTTATCAGTGATTGTAGCGGCCTAGCGAAAATTCACTGCTGATCAGTGTGGCTCAGTCGTTGCAGAAAAGTAGGAATTTAAACCCCAATTCATTTCGTTAACCAGGGAGCGATTGCATCATATTTGTTATCTCTTATTAGCATGAACACAGCAAATTAATCGGTACTTTTAAATTTGCATCAATTTGCCTCACAGTAAAACTGAAATAACAGGGTCCTCGGTAAAGAGAGAGGTGTGGGATGGGGGAATTCCTGAACGGAAGGTCGGCAAGCGCTGAAGAAAAATGCTGTTTGTCCACTCATGGCTCACGAAGTTTTTTTAAACAAATATATTATAAAGTATAAATTGTAGCCTCTATCGCGTTAACGAATCAATTTTATTGTTGACAGGCATGTTTGACGACGTAATACGCACACACTGGTATGTGGCCGTAAAATATCTTTGAGCAAATATTGCACCACTAATATAACATTAAAAACGAGGTCATTTCGGGACTAACGTATTGGCCAGTTTTATTTCAATCCACTACCACACCCATTACAAATTGAACCTGTGACCATAGAGAAAACGATGTCGCTCGCTGATTTAAGAAATGGGCCAATATTAAATTCTAATTGTTTGGGGTTTTTTATGTCAAGAGTATGGATATTATTGAGTAAGTGGAGGGAGGGGGGGGGGCTCCTTTATCATACTGGAACCAAGCTTACCAGGTAAAGAAAAGCACTGTATGGCTAGCAATCAATAATGCAATTGTATGCCAATGACATAAAACATGTTCCTCTAACATCAAAATGAGTAATATATACTTACGTGCATGTTTTTGCACTCGTGTCGTATACGGTTATACATTGAGCACATGTTTCAGCTTGAACATATGTTGTCGTTACAGCTGAAAAATTAATGTTTACATGTGAATGACAATCAACAAAAAGTGGAGTTACTGGGTTTAGAGTCCTCTCGACACAGACTAGGTCATATCGGTGCTAACATATGAAACAATTTCAGAGGGAGGGGGAAAAATCATGGCATGAGGTTGGGCAGACGGGTTATACTCCCCGCAGTGTTTCGTTTGATTATACCTAAGCCCACTTAACACTGCTGTAAAGGAAGCAAATTTATGTTCCTAGTTATGACTGGTCAATAGTCCGATTAACAACCAATAGCTAACTGCATAACAAAATCATTACGCTTTAAACAGAGCTCCAAATTGGACCAAATATGTTTACACTAGCAGGATACCCGGCTTCGCTCGGGGGTCATAACTCCGAAACCGGAAGTGGTAGACTAACGCCACCTGGCCTATGTTACTCCCCGGTCCGAGCTACCCCTATACCCCAAATTTCAGACTCGGGGCAGACCTAGTGTAGCCGTCAACCCCGAACAGGTTGGCTTCGCTCGGGGGTCATAACTCCGAAACCGGAAGTGGTAGACTAACGCCACCTGGCCTATGTTACTCCCCGGTCCGAGCTACCCCTATACCCCAAATTTCAGACTCGGGGCAAACCTAGTGTAGCCGACAACCCCGAACAGACAGACAGACAGATACCCGGCTTCGCTCGGGGGTCATAACTCCGAAACCGGAAGTGGTAGACTAACGCTACCTGGCCTATGTTACTCCCCGGTCCGAGCTACCCCTATACCCCAAATTTCAGAATCGGGGCAGACCTAGTGTAGCCGCCAACCCCGAACAGACCGGCTTCGCTCGGGGGTCATAACTCCGAAACCGAAAGTGGTAGACTAACGCCACCTGGCCTATGTTACTCCCCGGTCCGAGCTACCCCTATACCCCAAATTTCAGACTCGGGGCAGACCTAGTGTAGCCGCCAACACCGAACAGACAGACAGACAGACAGACAAACGACAGTCACAAATATATATATAGAAGATAGATAGATAGATAGATAACGTTACCTCATGACTCACGATTTCATTATGCCCAATTAACCAGTGCATAGCAGAATATTGCAGAAAAACTAATTGCGTGCCAAACGAGGCTATGAAAACGAATACAATGTAAGCAATACTGTTTGGAGACGAGCAATACTTTCACCGTTTTTAATACCTTAAATCCCTGTCCAAAGTTTTAGGGAAGACCAAGATTAAACAAAGGGCTGCCATGTTGCTGTACTTGGGATAGATTTGATTGAACGGGAAGAATAGACACACTCCGTCAAAAGCTTAAGTATCAGAAGCCAATCCATCAATGGC